CCCTCTAAGAGCTAGGCTACCTTCTTGATGTCACTCAAATAATATGCCAACTGGGACCATCAAAGCCGCTATTAGCCAACAAGACCAAGGCAACAATTGAACTCATAACCAAATTGAAAAGTAATAGAAAATAAGTACAAATGAACAAAAGTTCCAGATAATGCACATTGCAAAAAGAAACCCAGACCCCATCATCCTTGACAACCGTCTTATCCAATATGCGGATGTAGGCAGAATACTGCGGCTCAAGCTTAATGGAACAGGTATAAAGATTCACGTACAAGACAGAATAAACAAAGCAAAAAAACAGCCTTAGGGAAAACTGCGGAGATTAGGAAGCCTCAATACAAACATACAGCTACACTTATGGCCCTAGTCCGGCCGCATCTAGAATACCCTCCAGTACCACTACACACCTTAAAGAAAACTAACATGCAGAAACTCCAAGCAGTGCAAAATAAAGCGCTAAGGAGAGCTGCAAACCACCGTCCACCATGTGATCAGACAGTCCAGGAGCTCCATGAGCTCCTGAACATCAGATTACAGCACCAAGCCATCAGGGTGTGGAACACCATCGAAATGTTAAGAGGACCCAATGTTAGAAAGATTACTTCAAGATGAGACGCCCCGCTTTCACAGCTGGTGGTCCAAGAGCCTCGATCTACTCAATGAAAACCCAAACCCAGCCCCACAGTACATAATTCCTGGATGAAATACTGACCAGAAACCCCGTCCCTCTCCTAGAAATAACATAACAAAATAATCAATAACAATAAAATAAAGACCCTTATTAAACAGAACGTCAAATCATGTGTGAAAGCATCGGAGTATATATGTGAATGCTACAGTGTTCATCTATAGACATTCACATACACACACATTATATATATATATGCTGATATACACTTGAAGAACCTCACACACTCATAGCTCCCTCAAAACGGGGGGGGGGGGGGTGAAGAATAGGGGTAGAGAGGCACAGGTGAAGAGAAAGTTTAGAAATGAGAAATACAGTGTGAGTTATGACAGGAGGCGGGCTGTCAGCCTTGCTGGCACGATGTGTGGGTGTTGACAGCTAAGGTGAACTCGCTCTCTTGTCATGGAGCTGTGATGTGTGCGAGACGTTCTTCACGTGTATTTCAGCATATTTGGATGTCTATAGATGAACTGTGGAGCATTCACACATATACATTAAGATGCTTTAACACATGTCTTCATGTTCTGTTTATCGATCTTTATTTTATTATTAATTTTATTATTATTTTATCATTTAATTATTTATTTAGTTTATTATAATTTTTAAGAGGGGTTGGGAGGGATTTCTGATCATTATTTCATCAGGGAATTATGTATTGTGGGACTGGGTTTCCATTGAGTAGACAGAGACCCTTGGGCCACCTGTCCACCCAGCAGTAAATAGGTACCCAGGAGTTAGTCAGCTTGTGGTGGCGTTACATCCTGGGGAGGGGGTTAGTAATTACACCCTGGGGGGGGGGGGACCTCGATATAAGCCTAACATGTACTATATGTATAAACTGGCTGCCTGTCCCCCGACACATTGAATTAAATAAGAACATAACATACACGTCAGCCATGCGTCAGAGACCATAACATACACGTATACAGGTCAGACATGCGCCAAAGATCATAACATACACGTAATACACGTATACAGGTCAGACATGCTCCAAAGATCATAACATACACGTAATACACGTATACAGGTCAGACATGCGTCAGAGAGCATAGAGGCGCAGCTTTCCACTGAGAGCAGGCCATCTTATGTCAACAATTCATTCAGCCAACCTACTTCTTCCTACAGATTTCTCCACAAGCAAACATGACCGCGTTAGTTAGCAAGTCCCTTGCACTTTATACCTCATACTTATCCCTAATATCACATGGAGGGAAATGTGTCTACATTCTTACAAGAGATATCAGGACTAAGTGGAAGAGATAGTCGTGTCGTAATCGTTATGACGTGAGCCTAGTTTGACTGGCATAGGCCTACGTGATGCCAAGCACATGAGCATGGTATATTGTGATCACTGGTGGAGGTGGTGGTGGTGGTTGGTGACATGTGTGGTAAACTGAGTACCCAAATGAGCCACAGAGACATTAGAATTGTTTTCAGTGTCAGGGTAGTTAACGAATGGAGTGCATTAGGCAGTGATGTGGTGGAAGCAGACTCCATACACAGTTTCAAATGCAGATTTGATAGAGTCAATAGGGTAAATAATCTGTACATCTGGAATGAAGTAAAGGAGCACGTTGTGGAAGCAAACACTATTCATAGTTTTAAAACTTTAGATATGATAGGGAAGCAGGAAAGGAGTCATTGCTTTAAACAACCGGCGGCTAGAAAGGCGGGATCCAAGAGCCAGTGCTCGATTCTGCAGGCACAAATAGGTGAGTACACACACACACGGGATGGGTTTGGTGTCCACTACCACTCACATGGATGGGTATGGAGTCTACTACTACTGACAGGATGAGTATGGGGTCCACTACCACTCACAGGATGAGTATGGGGTCCACTACCACTCACAGGATGAGTATGGAGTCCACCACCACTCACAGGATGGGTATGGGGTCCACCACCACTCCCAGGATGTATATCGGGTGCAAAAAAGAAATATAAATTAATTTAAAGAGCTTTTGGGTAATATGTCATCCCGGTTTAAACAGTAAGGCAAGAGCTCCTAAGAGTGTAACTGATGCAAGGCAATTCTGGGGTAAACGACCTTGTTACTCCACTCGAGGGGTACTTCCATCATTGAATCTTGCCGTTGGATAACCCTATGATCCCAGTCCATAGGGTCCTGCCCTAACCTGCAACTCCTACCCTCCCTCGGGGGTCCTCCGCGGGTACCTTTGTCCAAGTGGAAAGGTTAGAGTTGCCGACTAACTCTTTGTCCACTCACTATATAAGGCCGCAAGTCCAACAGTTGTCAGAGACAACCACAGGCGCCGTATTGTTGCCCAGTTAAACATGAAGTACAATGACTAGCTTGTGTTTCTTGTTAGGAAGAAGGTAACGAGTAGTTGTAGATGAGTGGTCCTCTACAGCATCGAGCTGGGCACAGACACATGTCTCCTGCGAGACACTATTATCCTTGTATCAGTCATCACGTGCACCAGAACTGGTTTCTGCGCCCCCACTACACGCCCTTGACTTCCCTCCAACCCCCACTCAATCCTTCTCTCACTCTACCGCAACATATCTTGCACTGTAATGTTTTAGTTCATGTATTATGCGCCTAAATACCCATCCTGTGGAAAAGGTTACAGAGGCACATCATGACTCAGAAAATGAACACCAAAATTCGTTTAGCTAAGTTACAGTCTTGATAAGTCTGTTACATGGTTTGTAAACAAATGCAACAACGGTCTATTCACATTTATAAAACACTGGACCTTACCACACTGGAGAAAAGGAGAAACAGGATAGGACATGATAACATATAAGATTCTAACGGAAATTGAAAACTAAACAAAATAGTGCTCATTACACACAGAAATCGAACCCTCGTCACGGCCCTTGTGGATTTGTTCAAAGCAGTGCTGTTCGAAGCTAGGTACAGCAAAACGAGGGGTTATAGATGGAAACTGGAAACGCAGATTAGTCATAGACACATCAGGAATAACATTTTCAGTGTTAGAACTGTCAATAAATTTAATAGGTTAGATGCAGAAGTCGTTGAAGCTAATTCCATTAAAAATTTTTTAATATAAATACAATAAAAGTGTGAGAAATTAGTCATTGCATTAATCTAAGAATGTTTGGAAGGCGAGGCTAGAAGCCTACTAGCTCGACCTTGCAAACACATCTCATAAGAGGCTGTTACAAAAAGTTGGAGAAATAATCAGGAATAACAGGTAAAATGCTCCAATAGATATATAGACGCTAGTTTCAAGATACAGGCTCAAGGTAGGGGACAAACGGAAGACACCAGAGCTGAGGCATAACCCAGTATGGTGCAGAAGATCAAGATGACGGAGAGTCGAAGGAGAGGCATACGAGTAACATGGAGAGCCATGATTAAGTGGAATGCACTAGGCAGTGATGTGGTTGAGGCAGACTCTATACACAGTTTCAGGTGTAGATTTGATAGAGCTCAATAAGCTCAAGAACCTATACACCAGTTGGTCGAGAGGCGGGACCAAAGAACTGAAGCTCAACCCCCCACAAAGACACCTAGGTGAGTGCACAATCACATATACTGGGAGTTGCCCGGTTGTGGACAGTGCCAAAAATCGTCGTGAGGTCAGACGACTCCAGCAAGCTGTTCCCTCTCGAATTGTGGCGACCCCCAACCAGCCTTCAAAGTTGGGTGAAGCTAGTCCCTAGCATCTGGCCTCCAACCTTGGACAACCATATATTTTGTCTTATATAGTGTTGGGAAGTATCTCTCAGCTGTTGTTCATATAGTCTACAAGTGGAGTTTACCGTTGGTAGAGTCACATTGCCTGCAGCCACCTGCCGTAAGTATCCATATCCCAGCATGATTCTGGCACTTATGTTACAATGTCACACAGGTTCCTGCAGGTTTTATGATGCCCTACATATAGTTCTTGGGGTTAAATATATCATGACGTTTTATACTTGTGCTTTCTGCCCACTGTCAGATTGCTTTTGTGTCAGCCCTTGTTTCCTGAAATAATATGGTTTTGACAACAGATTGGAAACTCCAACGGTAAGCTAACTTTGGATACCTGACTGAGATTGCTTGTAGTCCATCATCTTTAATTAAATACTTACAATGTCCTCAATATTTAGGATTTAATTATTTCTAAGTTTTTGAATTTGTTCACATTGAATTTCATAGTGATGCACCTGGGCTGCCCTCACACAGGTGACCCCTCCCACCTGGGCAGAGTTTTGGTCCATGAAGTGCTCAGTCATGGTTGATATGTGGATGAACGCCTCACTCAGTAAATATTTACACGCAAAAATTTTGAAATAATGTGATTAAGGAGATAATGTGTGGTGGGTGCAGGGAAGATCATCGTTCTGGAGGCAGAAGATGCGTACTCACCACAGACTGCTGGACGTCAACAAGGACGGGGTGGTGTCCTGGGATGACTTCGACGCCCTCATCACAAGGTTCAGGGAGCTGGGCCGCCTCACGCCCCAAGAGGTCACCAACTTCACCGACGCCTTGAGGGTTAGTACACCTCTCACAGTCTTGTATTATCACATCACATTTGCTTATAAGTATGACAACAATTATACCATATACAGCTATGTGATCTTGTCACAATTAAACATCTAATTTTAGTTAAGTATTCTGGTGACATATAAACTGTGTCTGTACTCACCTAATTGTGCTTGCAGGGGTTGAGCTCCAGCTCTTTGATCCCACTTCTCGAATGTCAATCTACTGGATTACAGGTTCCTCAGCTTATTGACCTCTACCATATCTACTTTTGAAACTGTGTATGGAGTCTTCCCTCACCACATCACTTCCTAATGCATTCCATTTGTTAACTACCCTGACATTGAAAAGCTTTTTTCTAATATCTCTGTGGCTCATTTGGATACTCAGTTTCCATTGGCATTCCCTTGTGAGAGTACCACCCGTGCTAAACAATATCCTTATCTACCCTGTCAATTCCCATGAGAACTTTATACGTGGTGATCATGTCTCCCCGAACTCTTATGTCTTCCATCGACGTGAGATGCAATTCGCGCAGCTTTGCCTAGTAATTCATGCCCCTTAGTTCTGGGACTAGTCTAGTGGCATAACTTTGAACCTTCTCCAGCTTCCTCCTGTGCTTGACAAAGTATGTGGCTCCATGCTGGAGCTGCATACTCAAGGTACGTGAACTTTGGAACACAGGTGGAAACTGAGCTCTGAGCCACAGGAATGTTAGAAAGAACTTTTTCGGTGTCTGAGTAGTTAACAGATGGAATGCATTATGCATTGATGTGGTGGAGGCTGACTCCATACAGTTTCAAATGTAGATATGATAAAGCTCAGTAGGCTTTGTACACTAATTGATTGACAGTCCAGAGACAGGACCAAAGAGCCAGAGTTCAACCCCTGTAAGAACAACTAGGTGAGTACAACAACTACACGAACACTAGACAACAACTACAACACTTCACAACAATTACAACAATACACAACAACTACACCAACACTACAAGCCCCAACGAAAACTGCTCCACAGCCACACTAGGAGGAAAACAGCAGTGAAGGAACAAATGATGAAACTGAAAAAGGGGGAGAACAGATCAACAGAGAAAGACATGTGAAAAATCAACAAAAGATTCCAAAAGGTCTTCACAATAGAGCAAGGAAAAGTCCCTGTATTGAGAGAGGAGGTGATAGACCAAGCACCCTTGAAGAAATTTGAACTTACCAGTGATGGTCAAAATGAATTTGTTGGAACTGAATGTGACAAAGGCTGTTAGGCCTCACAGAATCTCAGATGGATACTACAAAGATGGTGCAGAAGCACAGTGTGCCACTCTCTATGGTGTATAACAGGTCACTGGAAACAGGAGACCTACTGTTAAGCTGGAAGACAGCTAATGTAGTTCCAATATACAAAAGGGTGACACGCAAAAAAGCACTGAACTATTGCCCAGGTTCCCTAACTTGACTGCATTTTCTTACTGTCAGAAAGCCTTTGACACAGTGCCCCCATGAGAGGCTGTTACAAAAGTTGGGGAAACAAGCAGGAATACTAGGTAAGGACCTCCAGTGAATAAGGGAGTATCTAAGCACCATGAAGCAGCACATAACCGTGAGAGGGGAGACCTCAGAGTGGCGAGATGTCACCAGCGGAGTTCCACACAGCTCTTAATTGTACTCGGACCAATCCTGTTTCTGATACATGGAAACCATCTTCCAGAGGGTATAGAATCATTCCTCTCAATGTTTGCTTTTAATGCAAAAATTATGAGAAGAATCAAGACAGATGAAAATAGACAGAGACTACAGGATGACCTAGACAAACTAGAGAAATGGCCTAGAAAATGGATACTAAAGGTTAACTCGGGTAAGTGTCAAGTAATAAAATTAGGTGAAGGGAGCAGGAGGCCAAACACAAGGTACCATCTGGGAGGAGAAATCATGCAAGAGTCAAGTAAAGAGAAAGATCTGGGGGTTGATATCACACTGAACCTGTCTCCAGAATTTCACATCAAAAGGATATCAGCAGCAGCATATGCAAGATTGACTAACATAAGAACTGCCTTTAGAAACTTGTGTAAGGAATCATTCAGAACCTTGTATACCACTTATCCAGACCAATCCTAGAGTATCCAGCTCCAGCCTGGAGTCCATACCTATTTAAACACAAGACAGAGTTATAGAAGACCAACACTACACAACAATTTAACCACCATTGAACAATAATACACCAACACTACACACAACTGTATCTCATCTTTACTAACCTGATATAAAACATTGAACTTAATTTGTTATCAAAGTGTGCCTTGTTTGGATCCTGAGCTAGTGCACTAACAGTAAATGGCAGCCAGTAGATTAAGTCAGGACCTGTGTTGCGTGCTTTATCATTTCTAGAGATTTGTGTAATTTAATTATATTATACAGTATATGCAAACAATTTTTATTTCAGTTTTTTACATTGGAAATTAATTTGTGAAGAAAGAAGGCACAAGGTAACTTAAGTACTGTATTGTGACTACATGGATACCAGAGCTATAACTAGTCAGTTTATGAACACCAGAGCTATAACCACCTGTCAGTGTGTAAAGCAAGAATTATAAACCTTTAAACACCACAATTCTGTTATTGACAATTCCATAGCTGAGAGTTTTTAAACAAGGGAGGACTGTAAATTTATGAAACAAATCACTGGGTAATATTTAATAAGTGAGAGTTTGATGAATTGTTTTAAGTGAAATGTAGACACATGTATTAATGAATTTTTTGTGCATAAATATATAAATAAGAGTAGCCTCACACTGGCATTTTCCTTTACAATGTATTCTTATGTTTGGTGACAGCATGTGTGGGAGGAAGAGTGGGGGGCATCTAGTGATCCCTACGTCTTCATAGGACAGGAACAATTTCTGACGCAGATGGAACATGTAGTTAACACCAAGGAACTCCGCAAGAGAGTTGCCAGTCCCCTCATCTACTTCTTTAAGGTACCACACATACATTTCTTGTCACTTTCCATATTTTTTAAAACTTTTCCAACTATGAATGTTCACTAACAAATTGCTAGTAAACGCCCTTAAAATGGTAATAATAGGGAAGCACCCCTGTGTTTTGAATACAGTACTATAAAAATTTTAAATATTTATGAGACGTGACTCAAATTCATAATACTAAAGCATATGGCAGACATTTGTCAAAATTAAAAATAGGTGCACAAAAGCATACATTTAACATAAAATAAAAATATGAGAGCTATATTCAAGCAAATTGCACACAAAGATGTTATCACAACAGCACACATCTATGCTGCCATCTATTGGTAGTAGGATGAAAACTTTTGAAGTACTTTTCCAAAACATACCAGCGCTCTCCCTAATAATAATACTGTACAGTAATAATAACCCAAAATTATATTTTAAAGTGAATTGTCTATTAATACAGTACACTGTACCATGATTTCATTAAAATTGCTAACTCTGTTATATTTTGCAGGCTGTCGATACAGACGGTAGTGGAGAAATATCTGTCGAGGAGTTCCAGATGTTCTACTCGGGGCTTGGCCTCTCTGAAGAGGTTTGTTGCTCAGCACCTTGGTTGCAAATATTTGCTAATCCAAATCATATGGGGGCCCACTCCCATTCAAATCATCCAAACATTCAAGGAATGTCAAAACTTGACAATTTTGCTATATTTTATACCACAACCAAAATAATTTGTATTTCTACATAAAAAATCAGAAATTTACGTAGTTAGGGTAAGATCTGTCCACTCATTTTGAGCCATCATCCGTGCCCACTGCCCAGAAAAGACCGGCGGAGTCCAGGGAAAAGTCCTCAAAAGAAGGGGCCAGGTGGTAAGACGAACCAGAGGCCTCAGAAGGAACAAAAGGCTCGACTGCCTCCGCGTTCGAATCCAAAGAAGCAATCCCCCAAAGCCAGCCAAGTCATATCCTGAGCTAAACCCTAAACCCTTTAATGCTTCAGGACCATAATGAAGGAGAAAGGAGGACTAGAAGGGGAGTGAACGATGCCCAATGGGGAAGGACGAGCAGGTTTGGGTGGAGTCAAAGTTGAATTGACTTTGAGAAGAGGAGCATGATGGCAGCACTCCCCACACGACTCAGGGTCGAAGGTGTCACCAACCCAACAGGCAGCATAGCAAAGGTAGAACAAATGAACATCTCCACGTGGCACTGATGATGTACACCCTTCAAAGGTGCACATACCAAGAGTGGGCTCAGGGGAGAAGATCCATGGCCACTGAGCCTGCAGGGAAATTATCAGGGCTGAAAGTCAAAATCTGAATTGGACACCCAGGCACTGGAATGCTACATTGGTACTCGTAAATTAACCCAGTTAATTTACCTAACACAGCTGGGAAAATTAACCTAACACAGTTAAATTAGCCTAACACAGCTGGGAAAACCTACCTAAGCACTCTGAAGTGCAGCTCACATAAAACCCAGTGCACCTCACCAGCCAAGATGCTCCAACTGGGAGAGAGAGATGGAAGCCAAAAACCCTAGACTTGCCCCAAGGCACAGGCCACTACAAGTGAGGTGGACCTTTAAAGGAAAGTCGCCCAAACACTCCAGGGAAGCACTAGATCCCTAAATACATACACCTCCAAATGCAATAAACTCCTGGCCCATGCACACAAACATAGAAGGAACAGCCACCAAGGCAAAAGAGCACTCAAACATAAGATGAGAATTGACAGTGGAATGGCCTGTCCCCTAAAAATACAAAAAAAAAAAAAAAACAAGCGTGGGTGGGGTGAACAAACGGGCACTAGCTTTATAAAATTTTTGATAGTTTGTTTACATAGTTTTTGGTGTTCTAAAGCCATTTTAGAGGCTGCAGGTCTTGGAGGCAGCCAGCTGTGCTTTGTTTGACCCGATGACTTTCTGGGTGCCTTCGTCAGTGGTGGCATAAATAGCCAAAGATATAAATGCCACAGCTCCCTGTGCCTCTATGAGGGGGACCAGATTCTGGTACTGTGTCCCCGGTAGGGATGATGACATGATAGAGGGTTTACAAGTGGATCAATGGGCATAACAAAGGGGATATTAATAGGGGTATTAAAAATATCAACACAAGACAGAACATGAAACAATGGGTATTAATTGGATAAGTTTAGATTCAGGAAAGACTTGGGTAAATACTGGTTTAGTAACAGGGTTGTTGATTTGTTGAACCAATTACTGCGTAATGTGGTGGAGGTGGGGGTTCCTTGGTTATTTCAAATTTAGGTTGGACATGTATATGAGTGGGATTGGGTGGTTATAAATAGGAGCCGACTTGAATGGGCCAATAAGCCCTTTGCAGTTACCTTTCTCATGTAGGCCAGAGAACTTCATGACTGATGGCACCTACATTGGAGATGATAGTTTCAGGGAGCCAAAAGGGGCTCATAAAAAAAAAAAAGTATTATAGCTGAAAAATACACTATACACAATGTTTTTAACTATTATTTGCCATATTAGATATTATAATTTTTTATTTCATGTTTGAATACATTATTTTAAGATAATACATTATGATAAGGCCCACAACAAAACAGCAAAGTATTGTAACCATAAGTATTAATGTAACAGAACTTTCAGGTATAATTGTCTTTATCTGCACAAAAAATTTATTCTAATTTTAACTTACCTGTAGGATGCTGCAGTCTCCTTTGCAGCCATCGACAAGAATGGCGATGGAAAATTAAGTATGAAAGAATTCATCAAGTTGGGGCGAGAGTTTTTCCTCAGTGAGGACGACACTCGACCCAGCAAGCTATTCTGGGGACCTCTATCTGACTGAACCCTACCCAGGAGTTGCACGAGTTCCCAAGACATGCGCACTCAACATATGAAAATGAACCATCAAAGCTTAATGGCCCTGCAAGAGGGGCTCAGAAGAGCGCATGATCATGCGCTCAACAGCCGATTCATCTTGGGAGGGAGAATTTAATGATGCTTACTTAGCCATGGAAAATGTATAAAAATTTATCACCATTATCATGATGATACCATTAAAGTTGAGAGATGGCTATCATGAAATGGTTTTTAGGTCAGCTTATCGTGGATTTTTGTGATAATCCATTAGAGGAAAATACTGATAACTAAAATACTATAGTACAGTATAAGTAAATCATGGAATAAGCATTACATTTTAATATATAGTAATACTCTCAATACTTGTCTACTTGTCTTGGATCATATCACCCCGAAATTACTTCTTGCACAAAATACATGTGTGATCTGGATCATTCTGCAGCTCTCACTTCCAGCAATGTATGGAATTTAAGGAAATATTTTACCATGTAGCAAAGAAAATTTTTCTCCTAGGGTAGTGAAGACAATGTACAATACCAAATTAGTGATAACTATATTTTTTAGAGAGCTACTGAACAATATTTCTACCGAGCTACTGGATGATGTTCCTACTGAGCCAGCGAACAATACTCCATAAAATAATATGGACACTGAAAATAGCATAGCTTGGAGAATGTTTGATTACTAATGAAATGTCTGTAACATGTAGACCTCGACACAAATGTCTCATACAGTATATTATAACTATTACACACATGGTTGTCTGATTATCAGGTTCATGATCATTGTCTCGGTTGTATCATTAACATGTCTTCAAATTAAGGCTAGTTTATCTACTTATTATATTGTAAACTCAAGTGTTTACAAGGAGTATTAATAACTCAATGTTATAATTAGTCACATTATTAATGCTAATCTGTACAAATACAATTTTTCATGCTGTACATTATATACAGTATGCTTTTATATACAATGAAAAATAAATACGGTATTAAGAGAGTGATGTTAGATGATGTACAGTATTCAGAAACACATTTCAAAAAGTTTATTCTTTTTTTTTTTAATTTTACATTCGTCAATAGCCAAATACTTTAATACATATCAGTTTATTATAAAGTTGCATGTATGTTATTCAAATGTACTTTATTATTATATACTTTATGTATACGAGAAAATCAATAGGAGCCATGAGAATGATTTGAACCCGTTCATTTGGTACTCCCAAGCAAATGCCCTAGGGGCATTTACTTGGGGCAAAATGGTCATGGGTTAGTGGTCTAGGGAGTTTCTGGTGGTCTAGGTCTAGCATATTTAAAACAGCCTGATGACCATTCAGGTTTTATCATTTTATATTGTATGTTCTGTAGCTTAAACCTGGACTAGATGACATAGTTGACCACATAACCCAAATGCACTTGGGCACGGGGCTGAATGAGTTGATAAAAACTCTATGGTTTTGTGGGACAATGAATGGTACAGCACTGCTTCGCATCACACAAGTTAAGGTTCCAGTCCCAGCACAGGGTGTTTGGAATCTGTGTGTGTGTGTGTAATTACCTAAGTGTAGTTCCAAAATGAGAGCTACGCATATGGTGCCCAGTATTCTTTGACAAATAACGCTTTGAAGCTACTGACAGTTTTGACCAGTGTCACGATTAGTCGCTACTTCATGTTTCTAATAACTGTGACAGTCAGGTGCCCTTTCCTCTGTCACAATATTTTATAAATTGCTGATGTTTATTAAATCGGGCTTTGCATACTAAGCGGCGTAATGCATTCTGGCTATTAGATAATTATATATATATATATATATATATATATATATATATATATATATATATATATATATATATATATATATATATATATATATATATATATATATATATATATATATATATATATATATATAAATAAAAAATAGACACACACACACACAATTTTTTCAGTGTCAGAGTAGTAGACAAATGGAATGCATTAGGAAGTGATGTGGTGGAGGCTGACTCCATACATAGCTTCAAGTGTAGATATGATAAGAGCCCAGTAGGCTCAGGAACCTGTGCATTAGTTGAGAGGCGGGACCAAAGAGCCAGAGCTCAATTAGGTAAGTACACACACACAGTATATATATACACGTGGGGGGGGGGGGGGGCGGCTGAGTGGACAGCACTTGGGAATTGCAATCCTAAGAACCGGAATCTGGGATCGATACCTGGCCATGGCAGAAACAAATTGGCAGTTCCTTTCACCCTGATACTCCCGTTTACCTAGCAGTAAATAGGTACCTGGGAGTTAGACAGCTGTTACCGGCTGCTTCCTTGGGGAGAAAGGGGGAGTCTAAGTTTGTGTGCGTGAGGAAAAAATTTGACTGACAGTTGAGAGGTGGGCCGAAAGAGCAGAGCTCAACCAACGCAAGCAAAACTAGGTGAATATATACATACACATACACACACATGAGTCACAATGCTTATTTAAAACTTCCAAGATACCATTTAGGATTGCAATATGAGAAGAATACAAAGATCTGCTAATATTAAAAAGAGCTGGAAATGTAAAAAAATATTTACAGTATATCAGTCTAGCAATATTAAAATATCAATTTCATGATCTTCAAAATTAAAACTACTTGAGCATGGAAAAAAAAGATTTTACAGACAATTCCTTTAGTTTATTGAACATATAAATTTACTATAGTATTAGAAAATAAAAAATAACCAAAAATATCTTCCAAAACTCGATAACGTTTAAAATGTGATCTATTAATTTACCAGTACGAATAAAAAACAAACATGTTCCGTTACCAATAAGAGCATCTGAATCATTAGAATAAATGACAAAACATGCGACACTTCAAATACAATCCCTCAATCCTAATGAGGCTGTGTTATTCCCACACCACTCATCATAACTGCAGGTCGTGCTTAACTTGTTTCACTCGCTCCAGTAGACTTGACAACTTCTCATCCCTGAAAATGTCAGTGTCTGTTTTAGGCTCAAGAAAAAAAGTACCAGGAGACAGTACTTGGAAATTATATTTCACATCTGATCAATATATGAAATTTGTACACAATGAATAATTTTGTCCAGAGTTCCAGGAGTTTATTATTTCAGCAATGTATTTAAAACAATTTACACAATATAAAATTTAATTTGTTCTCTAATCATTTTGTCCATGTGTGTGTGCGCGCGTGTGTATGTATAATTACATAAATGTAGTTACAAGATGAGAGCTACACTCGTGGTGTCCCGTCTTCCCAGCACACTGTCATATAACACTTTGAAATTACTGACTGTTTTGGCTTCCACCACCACCTCACCTAACTTGTCCAACTGTCTACCACTTTGTTTGCAAAAGTGAATTTTTTTATATTTCTTCGGCAGCTTTGTTTAGTTTAAATCTATGATCTCTTGTTCTTGAAGTTCCAGGTCTCAGGAATTCTACCTTAACAATTTTATCAATTCCTGTTACTATTTTGTACGTAGTGATCACATTGCACCTTTCTTCTATCTTCTAGTTTTGGCATATTTAATGGCTCTAACCTCTCCTTGTAGCTCTTGTCCTTCGTTCTGGGAGCCACTTAGTAGCATGTCATTGCACCTTTTCCAGTTTGTTGATGTGCCTCTTAAGATATGGGTACCATACAAAAGCTGCATATTCTAGCTTTGGCCTAACAAAAGTTGTGAACAATTTCTTTAGTATTTCGCCATCCATGTATCTAAAAGCAATTCTGAAGTTAGAAAGCGTAGCATAAGTTCCTCACATAATGTTCTTTATGTGGTCCTTAGGTGATAGTTTTCTATCTAGAACCACCCCTAGATCTCTTTCTTTATCAGAAGTCTTTAAAGATTTTCCACATAATTTATAGGTTGTGTGGGGTCTATGTTCTCCTATTCCACATTCCATAACATGGCATTTATGCACATTAAGTGTGCGGGTTTGTGGGCACACGAATATGCCTAGGTTATGTGAATTGACCTGCTGGGTTTGTTAAGTTTGGTTAGGGGGTATTGTACACTGGTATAAATATTGGACATTATACTAAAGTGAACAATATTGAATACCTGCAAGTGAAATATGTTATGATCTAATTAATGTCTCCAACTCTCACTGTGAAGTTAAATGCTTTATCACATGTGGTATGTTATACCCGGCATCATACTTGTATGTATTAAAATGAGGATGAACTGTTCATTTAGTTTGTAAAATTGTATAACTTGCTTGTTACATGCAAATCAAAAGTAAACGCCCTACAATATTTAGTATCAATGCCCAAATTATGAAAAAATGGTTCACACATTGTTCTATGCAACGGCACAAAAACTTATTACAAAATTCATATATTGACTTACTCATTGGTCAAGGCCTGTTTGAGGACCTTGAGCTGCTGTTCCGACACACATGCCACCCGGTGGTTTTTTTCAGCTTCTGTATTCAGAATTTTTTCCATCTGTGGAAGAAGCAATCATTTGCAATGAAAGTATTAAGGTATGTGACATGCAAATCAAACACATCCAGACTTCCGACTCTGATAATGGAGTTATAAAACCAGCATTAAATATAATGAAACACCAGTTTCTAGGCGAGCCCCAGAGGCTTCCTGAAGATATCATGCAATGAAGAATGTATGATAGCGTCAGGGTGCCAATGGGGCTCCTCACAGAAAACCAGCAATTAAAAGCAAGGAGGAAAACACCACAAAGCTCTTACATGACTGAAGGACTCCAAATGAACATATTATATAGCTAAACTATAAGGATATTCTTAAAAGATATTTACTGACCCAGATGGAGGTGACAGGGCTAAAACGAAACCACTGAGAAGATACAATTGAGACGTTATTTAGTATGAGGGAGTTTTGGCTCACAGCCCAAGCATGTCGTTCAGTACTATCTATACAAGTATGGTATTGATATTTGTATTATGGAATTCATTTCATTCTCAATCTGGAGCATACTTATGGCATGCGACCAGAATATATTTGACAGAGATGAGCACCTCTCACATATTTCAAACTATATGGGAGGCACTCCTTCCATTTATTGTAATTGCCCAAGTGTAGTAACAGGATGAGTTATGCTTGTGGTGTCCTGTCTTCCCAGTACTCTGTCATATAATGCTTTAAAACTTTTGTCAGTTTTGGCTTCCACCACCTTCTCACTTAACTTTTTCCAACTGTCTACTATTCTGTTTGCAAAAGTTAACTTTATGTTTTTTCAGCAGCTTTGTTTCCTTAGTTTGAACCCATGTCCTCTTGTTCTTGAAGTAGCAGTTTTAAAAAATTCTTCTTTGTCAATTTTATAGATTCCTGTAACTATTTTGTATGTAGTGATCATATTACCTACTTTTCTTTTATATTCTAACTGGTATATTTAATGCCTCTAACCTCTCTTTATAGCTCTTATTTTTTAGTACTGGAAGCCACCTAGTTGTCTTTGCACCGTTCGAAGTTTGCTGATGTGCTTCTTAAAATATGAGCATCATACAACTGCTGCATATTTTAACTCTGGGCTCACAAAGGTCGTGAATAATTTATCTAATATTTTGCCATTCATGTATTTAAAAGCAAGTCTAAGGTCAGAAAAGTGGCATACACTACTCACACAATGTTCTTTATGTGATCCCCAGGTAACAATATTATTTTTTATCCAGAACCGTCTTTAGATCTCTCTCTTTATGAGAATTCTTTAAAGTAAAGTTTTAACACATACTGTACTGTAATTTGAAGGATGTGTGTGTGGCCTATTTTGTCCTATTCTACACTCCACAATGTGGCATTTATTCATATTAAATTCCTTCTGCCAAGTGTTCCTCCATAAACTTATTTTGTCCAGGTCATTTTGAAGGACATGACAATCATCTAATTCTCTAATCTTCCCTAATAGCTTAGCATCATCAGCAAATGTTAATATAGTTCTGTATTTCTTTTGGTAGATCATTTATATAGACAATGTACATTACTGATGCAAGAGCTGAATTATTATGGCAGTGAGATATGGATACCAGAACTTAATATCTACATACTGTATGTGACATAAAATGCAGGCTACAGGGTGGGGTCAGCTTATACATCAAAGACACACCCATTTGCATAGAGCTGCTAACCACCGCAAATGATATGATGGAAGTTGCTGATAATCAAAATAGAAATTCTAAAGGTGGTTATTGTCCTGGTATATAAATCACCAGATGCAAATGCAGATGATGAGTCACAATAACGTGGCTGAAATAAGTTGACCAGACCACACATTAGAAAATGAAAGGACGATGATGTTTAGGTCCATCCTGGACCTGGACCTAGAATTGAAAAAGTGGTGAATACAATTATACCAGAGTGAATCACAGGAAGCGGCCTAAATAAAGTCAAACACAAATGACATTTTTGCCAATGTGTGACAGATTTGCTTATACAGCAAATAGTGGAAACAACTAGAAAATTTTACAATGATGACTTGATTAGGGACATAATGATGTCCCTAATCATTAGGGACGCAAGTCCTAGAGGCTCCCCGAAGATATACCGGGCTGATATGTATGTATTAGACCGTGGCATCAGTCAGTTGGATTGGAGTTCTAGTATACCGGGGACCACGAGCCAGAACCTGGCCCCCTCAGAGAGGTACAAGGAGCAATTGCCTATAAAAACCCCCATGTGGTTGGAGGCATTCTATGTCTGTCATCTACAGTGTTAGGCACCTAGAAAGATAGGCGTCCCAAAACAAACCCCACCTGGTTAAAAATTGCTACCAAAATTCGAACGATCAAGCAGAACTCCCCAATCTAAACAAGCATGACGTCACAACAGCTTGTGATTGACAGCCGCCACGCCGCTGTCTGCACAGCTCCCCCCTCCCCGGGAGAGGGAAAGGGGGAACCCCTAACTCTCGTGCCGGCCATCTAACCCAAGTTCAGAGGCTTAATATAAAAAAACAGCTCCTCCACATCCTCCTCAAGCCAGTCCGAAGACAGCTCCAGCAGGGAAAAAAGTGCAAGACCGAAGCCAAATGCCCATGAGCATTCGATAGATTTGTTCTTCAGCTATATTTTACTCTTGTTAGGCCCCAATTAGATTATGCAGTTCAGTTCTGGTCATCATACTATGGAATGGATATAAATTCACTAGAACGCGTCCAGCGTAGGATGGCGAAGTTAATCCTGCATTAATCTCCTACCCAAAGTCAAACCCACATTGAGCCCTCCTACCCCAAGGTCAAACAGGAGGAAGAACAACCCCAGCTGACCCCAAGGGAGGGCAATCACCGAGCAGCAAAAGAACCACACGGAGGTAGTTTTCCGAACGGCCTATGGAAGATAACCCTAAACAGCAAGGGTAGTACTTATAGGGCACCTAGGGAAGGTGGTCCTAGGTGCATGCAGCCTCAATACTCGTGGCTCGCTCACCACCACACAGAGCAACACCGCTACGGATAGCACTGCTCAAAAGGATGGAGCCAGAGTCGATCGACTGCCATCAAACACAACAGCCACTGAAATGGGGTCGGGTAGCCGGCGCAGAAGGTCTAAGACCCCACCCCTTTCCCTCCTGGGAAGGGGGAGGATGCGCAGACAGCGGCACAGCAGCTGAGGCGACGTCTTGTTTGTTTACTCGTTTTCTGATTGGGGAGTTCTGTTTACTCATTTGGCTTTCGGTTAGCAATTTTTCACCAGCTGAAGTTTGTTTTAGGACTCTTACCTTTTTGGGTGCCTGACCTAGTATATGGCAGACAAACTGCTTCCAATTACATGAGGGTGTCTATAAGCTATTACTCCCCGTGCCTCTCTGAGGGGGCCAGGTACTGGCATTGGTCTCCTATAGGCTTAGAACTCCATCGATTGACTGTTGCCATGGTCAAATATATACAACAACCTTGTATAGCTCCGGGGAGCCTAAGGGGCTCGCCACAGAAAAAATAAGTTTCAATAAAAATGCATTCAAACAAATTACCTGACTTACGTTCTTTTTTTTTATGTCAAGTCTCACCTGACTATTTTGCCATTTGTCCTTTGCCTTAATTTGTGCTAACTGGTTCATTAACGTGGAGGTGTGGTTCTGCATGGACTCTAACTCCTGCATCATGTTCTTCTCTCCCGTGGATAGTACAGGTAATGCTCTCATCACTAGGCTCAATACCCTCTCTAATCTGAAAAATAAATGCAAAATGTGTACAATCTGAGTAGACATCCATTAAGAGATGGATACCTTGCTCTCTTCAAACCTTTAATGGCAATGTTGACAACAATGATTCAGTCATTCATCACCATTACTTTATTTCTCACTTATTGTGAGGGAAAGCATCAGGCCACTCAAAATGATGAATAATACAGTGAAAAGGGTATATTAGAAATGCAAAATATAACTGATATTCATTTTATTATTCACACTGCATGCAGTATACTATACAGGTACAATATAGCATATAATCAAGCCCAACCACATTCCAGCCATTAGCCACATCAGCAACCCACAACATTATAGCACCAGTTGTAATTCCTCTTGAATTATCATGTACTATACAAATACTGTACATCCCTTCCCCCCTTTACAAACAACTTCCATCCAATCTTGTCCTTAACACATCCCGTGCAAGGTTAACACTATCCTGGTTTGCTCGTAGTCACTCACTCATGTGCTCCCCGACACATGGATGAGAACCATGACTGGCGTCCCATCACATACAAATGTACTGTATTGGGAATTTGAAAAGTAACTAAGATACAGTATAAGAAATAAGCAAAGGTGAGTGAAAAATCAGGACTTATATAAAGTTGATATTTCAAAACAGAAGCATGTCAACAGCAAAGATGACTGCCACCACAGGGTGTAACACCATAAAGGTGTTTTGTATTTTATTTTACATACAATGAGTCAGTCATACAGGATATGGAAGGTGCCAGGTTGTCTGGCCTTAGCAATTAAAAAGTCACACCTCTAGAGTGTTAGTTGCACCAGGCAATTAATTAAACAGATTAATTACAACCAGGTGAACATGGACTAGTTTACAACCAGGTGAATAGTTAAGGAGTGGGGTGAAGTCTACCCTCCCTGTCCAAGGTTCAAAAGGATCAGTGCACAGTCTATCCTTGTCCACAGTTCAAACCTGGCTGTTCTCTGGGAAGTTATAATTTAAGTAAGTAGTTCCTGTTTGATGTGTCCCAATACAGTGCATCACTATTCCTTCCTAAACCTTTAATATCTTTTACCCCTCATTAGAAAACACAGAAAACAAGCAACAAAAATCATAAACATTAACAGCCACAGCACGGAACTAGAATGACAATGCCTTCTCTCAGAGACAGCAAATATCAAACAACATCCACTACCATCAACACCTTCATCTTAAGCATACCTATCAATAATATTACATTAGAGGGATTTATTCAAAACTATGTGGTAATTGTAACAGCCCAAGATGGCGAGATATCCAGGAACTTGGATTCAAACTTTATGCAAGTATGCCCTGTGTAAATAACACCAATGATGAATGTACCACAAACAGGAACTATGAACTTCAAGAATGCTGTTAGGTGCTGCTAACTGCACAAGTGGCATCTAACTGCCTGGTTGACCAGACCAACTTGAAGACCTGGTCAGAGACCAGGTAGCTGGGATATTGATCCTCTGAACCACATACTGATCCTCAAGGTAGCCTACAGATATGCTAAACTTATTGAGAAAAGCAACACTAGAAGGCAGGGCATGAACTCTAAAGCCATCATGCACTACACCACCAATGAGCACAAGTAAAATTTTACAGTACTACCCCATTGGTTAAACATTTACAAAACTTAATTGTGACCTGGTAATCCCATGCCCACTGGACCTCATCCATTTGACATATTTTCCCTCTAAAACTTCTTGCCCTGTGTATTTGTTAGATACAAGAAAGACCTTACAGCCAAAATGTCATCTACGAGTAAAGTCTGCTATTAACTAGATGTTTATACTCTGAATATACGGTTAAGGAAAGTGTCAATTTACTGCTTAAAACATTCATTTTAATTTACAAAACACTTAAATGGCTTCATGGACATTATTATTCACTTGAGTGAGACTTCACATAATGTAATCTATTCTAGCTAAAATGTAAACACAGTAAAATATTCAAGGTGGAGGTATTACAATAAAGGATGTTGACCATACTGTACCTCTCAACTAATTGTTTCTTCTTATCACTGGCTTCTTCATACTTTTCTGCCAATTCATGGGCTTTCTCTGTTAACGATTTCTTTCTCACTTGCAAGTCATCTACTTCAGCTTGTAATCTTTGCTTCTGTTCGTTAAGTATGTCTGACCTACAAAATATGAGTGTTTCCGAGATTAAGAACATATGGTACATGGGTAACAAAAGACAACAAGCATATATGCACTGAACATAATTTACACCACACTGCTACTATTGCCACAAAAGCAATTATTATATACTGAACTTCTTAATTCACAGACGTCCAGATTATCTAGAACAATGGAAATTAGATCACTTCATTCCATCCAATGTTTCAGATTACCCAGACATTTATTTTCTAAAAATAATGAAACACACCCATCTTGGTAAATGCATTAGCTCTCTGGCTAATGAATAGGTTTCCACTGCTAAACCTAAGAATTGTGCCAGGCCTTTGATACCCTAACCTAACCTTCCTTGGCCTAATACATGATATCTGAGGCCTAATATAGTACATATGTGTGCTATACTAGGCCTAGGAATATTTAAGTTTGTTTTAGCTTCATTTTTTTGGACTTGTAAAGTGAATAGAACCAAATTCTACTAATCGATTAATACGTCAATCTTTGTACTATGGTGCAGTTACAAAAACTACTATCTAAACAGGAGGATGGGTTGAGTTCTAACTATTCAGCCATGCTGAATAAACTAGAAGTAGGGTTCCTACTTCTTGTGTGGTTTGAGGCATATGAATGCATGTATGTATTTATGTATGTGTATTCACCTAGTTGTGCTTGCGGGGGTTGAGTTCTGCTCTTTCGGCCCGCCTCTCAACTGTCAATCAACTGTTTCTACTACTACTATTTTTTTTTTCCACACCACACACACACACACCCCAGGAAGCAGCCCATGACAGTTGACTAACTCCCAGGACTCCTAATTCCTAACTGTTACCTATTTACTGCTAGGTAACAGGGGCATAGGGTGAAAGAAACTCTGCCCATCATTTCTTGCCGGCGCCCAGGATTGAACCCTGGATCACAGGATCACATGTCCAGCGTGCTGTCCGCTCGGCCACCGGCTTCCCCATATATGTATGTATATGTGTATATATGTATGTGTGTGTGTGTGTGTGTGTGTGTGTGTGTGCGTGCGTGCGTGCGTGCGTGCGTGCGTGCGTGCGTGCGTGCGTGCGTGCGTGCGTGCATTTTGCTCCTTGTTTGCAAATCATCTTGACACAGGACTTCAAATTTTGGCCTTGCATTTTTTTTTTGGCAGTTATGTGACTTAGTCTGCATATTTATATGTTATATTCATGTTTGCCTTTTTTTTTTTTTTTTTACTTTGAGCATTGATATTGCTGTAGCTCTCAAAGTGCAATATATGGGCAGTTAATGTGAAGAAGAAGAAAGGAAAATTAAAATCCAGATAGAATTTTCTGGCAATAATGTAAAACCATAAATTGTGAATTATTAACCCTGTGATTTTATTACATTATGTATTTAAAATGCTAAATGAATTAAAAAAAAAAGAAGAGAATTCAAGCCAGCAATCAAATTAGCTTTGCTATTGGAATTTAGTTTTACAATCATATATCTACGCCAGAAACTACCTTCTCTGTATGTCTATTCTAGCAGCTCGCTGAGGTTGCATGTAGTTCTTCCTAAGAGTTGCTGTTATACGATTGAGAAGATTCAGGTACTCTCCAGGGGTTACTTTTGAGTTTGAACCAGAGACCAACAGCGGCTGAGACGACAAACGTTGCATAACACATCTAATGTGATCCTCAAAGTTCTCCGTGTGGACCTAATGGACAAATAACTTATTAGTACCTGTGTAGATCCTCTTGGCATTCAATCCAATCTGCTTATGAATTAATTAGTGCAGAAGCATTTCTTGATTTGTTACAAATTTATTAACACCAGTAATAATAGTAATGTTTATTAATTTCTATTAATAAAATTATCTGCAGAACAAGGAGTATTATTTGCATCTCCCAATCTCAAAATATTTGAAACTAAAAATATACAACAAATCTTGTACTGCCAACATAACAAAGAGAAAAATATTAGTAAAGAACATTCTGATAATTATATTTTCAGTGTATCAGCATACGTTACAGGTACTATACTACACTATAATTATATTTGTATTACTCTCAAACTAGTGGGATAATAATAATAGTTTTTATACAGTCCAAACATTATAATATATATCACTGGTTGAAGGGCAGCTTACTAGTGAGAAAAGTGTCCCCTTACTGTCAAGGACAACTCTTGACAACATAAAATAATTATTGTTGCTGGGTAACAAGAAGTCCATTATACTTATTGAGGTCTCCCTAGGTCAACTACTGACCTTCCCAAGGATGCAACCCACAACAGTTGCTTAACTCCCAGGTCTCTAATAACTGTTAGGTGAACAAAGCATCATGTAATGATCATAGCTCTCCTCTTCCCCTTTCCCCTTTCTCCTCTCCCTTCCCCTTCCCTCGTTTGCCTTTCCTTTCCTTGTTCCCCTTCCCTCTCTTGTTGACCATCTTCAGTCATAAACTCCTCGTTTGTAGACAAGGGACATTGTCCGACCATCTCAGGCCATATGTCCCTCTTCTTCCAATCCTCAATCCTACCCAATCCCCCCCCCCCTCCAATCGTTCCCCTCTTCCCCTTGCCAATGCCATAACCATTGACAAATTCGAGGAGCAGTTCACTCAGGGCCAATAAACCGTAGTTCTCAAGTTTTGAGTGAGGTGGCTGGGGGCCATATAACGTCCAGCCGGCGTCCTGTTGTAGCGTGGAAACGATTCAGGATTCTACGGGATTAAAACATAACTGTCAGGGAGGCCTAGTGGGCGGAGTCCCCCAGGGTAGTGCCAGACGTCCCATTGGCTGGGCCCTCAGGCCTGGAGCAAGATTTTGGACTCATTGGCTTAGGCTTGGAAAGGCAGGGCTTAAATGGACTTAGGAAAACTTAGAGGGGGAGAAGCCTGTTCCACTGAACTTTTTTTTCCCTCCAATTCTCGTTTATGAACTTACATGATAACCAACGGGTCTCATCCCCCAAGGGGTTCGGAAACCAAGTGGTGCTCTGTATTTATATGCGGCACTGGAATCCCCTCCCCCCCCTCCCGTGCTCTCCATTTCATTGATATTATAGTTGCCCTTGGTTCCTCAATAAGTAAAGTAAAATTGCATAATTCATTCCCAAAACATTTTTATTACCAAGATTCATATGCCCTTGAATTTCCATGATTATTGAGTTATTCTTCCTGGGAGGTCAGTAATTTAGACACATTCAAATGGTCAGGAGGTGGTGGCAGTCGAGTATGCGTAAGACTTTTTTAGTCATAATTAAATTCATAACCTTTTCATTCATGCTTCTTTCCCCTATTTAATATTTCAGTTTAATAATTAGCTGTACATTTACATTTACACTGCCATATAGTAGTTCACTGGGGGTCATACTGAGCTGTGAGCAGTGTTGAGCTGGGGTGTTGAGTGGAGTAAAGGGAGAGAAGTACCGGGGTTATTACAATCAGGCAAAAAGAAATGTGCTCAACCATTTCTGCCCTGCCTGGGAATATATTATCACAAAAAGAAATAAAACTTTGTAACATTTAATATTAGAAAATATATTTAAATAAAAATATACTGTATAACAATTCCTGCATAATTATGTGAAAAAAATTAGTTAAAACACACACACACACACACACAATATATATGTATGTATGTATACATACACAGACAAGCAGAAGGCATGCATATAGTATTATCTGTATACAGTATATCTACAGTTGGTACTATACCTTTCTAAGTGGGGACACAGCAAGATCATAATCAGCATTTGGGAGTTGGACAACTTTAGGTACATAAGCTGCCTGTAGATTAATGTGAATGATCCTGCCAGAAGCCAGCAGAACATAGAGAGTATGGGAAGGATTAGCGACTAAGCCCACCACGGGCATCGGACCAGCTGCAGTGAGTGATCTTGTACAAAGTAAATGATCCACAATACACGGAGCTTCACTTACTGAAAAAGCTGCATCTGAAAAATTAATGTATAATTTATATAATAGACATGACATAGGCATGAACAAATCCACAAGGGCTGTGACGAGGATTCAAACCTGCGTCTGAGAGCATCCCAGACGTAAGACGTGTATAATGAAGTAAGGGCGAAGAGGTAGAACGTCCTATTGACATAGCTCGAGTGCATGGGGAGAACTGTGCAAAATCCTGGTTTGTGTCTCGGAGAGGCTGCAGGATCCAAGTAAATTCAGTAGAATTTCTGGTTGCAATTCTTATTACCATGTCGTAGCTCAATCGATTAAGGCAGCGTCTGGGATGCTCTCAGACGCAGATTCGAATCCTCGTCACGACCCTTGTGGATTTGTTCATTTGATGCATCACGCTATTATGATTTCTGTGTGTTATGACATAGGCATTGTTGTGTGAAGGAAGGTACAAACATGCTCATGATCAGAGGTAGGGATGCACTTGCAGGAAGAAGGAAAAGCACCAATATTAAACCAAATAGTCTCTAATGTAACCAAGTCCCTCCTTTTTCTATAAGGAGCCCCTCAGAAGCTACCCTGAAAACAGTCCTGGTAGAGCCATGTCTGAGACCCAGTCTTGCTTACCAGGAGAGGAGAAAGGACCAGGACCAGAACCTGGCTCTATGAAGTGAGGGAAGCTTGGGGATTGGAGGACTACCAAAAACTGAGAAAAAAACCACCAGAAAGCATGAACTCTACAAAACAAGCACCTGCTTTAAACAAACTAGGATCCGGAAGGTAACAGGGCAAATGACCATTGCCCCAATACAAACACAACAACCATGTTATACATGACTACTACTACACTACTAGGCACAAAAGTGGGACCATCTGAAGTTTTAGCCAGCCAACTCCCTCAATCACTGGCCTGGTCATGCATAGGATACTCGAACCTCTGCTTGGACCTGTCCCATTGTTTCATGCTAAGCTAAGTGATGTTGGTTACTTAATTCCACTGGAGGCCATTGCCCCTTGGTTTCTGGTTAAGCTTCATGATTATGTTTTTATCACCCACCCTGCATGCCCTAGTTTCCTATTTCATTTTTTACTTTATGGCAAGGTTCCCTTCCTTGGTGGCCAGCTTGGATTTTGCCTGCCCTACCACAGATACCTGCTCAGAGTTCAAATTCCTACCAGCTCTTAATAGTACTTGGTTTGAACCTCCTGGTTTACTCTCCTTTCCATGGGAACCTATCTTCCTCTCATTGGAGAGATTTCCTTTAGGCACTTCTTTGACTTTCCCTGCATTGGAGTTGTCTAACTCCATTAACGAGCTGTTAATTTTACCTATTTCTGCATTTGCTGCATTCCCCCTTCTTGTTTGTGAGGTGGGATGATCTACTTGTCTTCGTTACATACGGTGTTTATGTTCTTTCAGATTCTTACACCTACAACCACATTTGTTTTTCTTGGACAGTGTGCAATTATATTTTTTTGGCACATTTATTTCCTTACAATCTGTGACCTCTTGTTCCTGAAGATGCAGACTTCAAAAATTCCTGTCAATTTTGTTATTATTTTGTACATAGTGATCATATAGTCTCTTTCATCTATCTTCTAGCTTTGGCATATTTAACACCTCTAGCCTCTCCTCAGAGCTCTTGATTTTTCAGTTCCAGGAGCCACTTAGTAGCATGTCTTTGCACCATTTCCAATTTATTGATGTGCTATTTTAGATATGGGCACCATACAACTGCTGCATATTCCAGTTTTGGTCTCAAAACTAGTGAACAGTTTCTGTAATATTTCACTATCCATGTATTTATAAGCAATTCTAAAGATAATTATCAAAAGAAGGCACCAACCCGGGAAGGTTATGTTGCACCATCAAATGTGTGGAATAATTATAGGGCGCTAAATATCACTAAAGATGCCAATATGAGAACAGAAATGCATAAGGCAAACGATATCAAAAGTATCCGATTCACCAAGAATTCTATTGAGACACAAAGTGACTGCGGGGATGGTCAGAAAGCGATTCTAAAGTTGGAGAGCATAACATATGCTCCTCACACAATGTCCTTTATGTGGTCTTCTGGTGACAGTCTACTATCCAGAACCTTTGTCAAGAGTTCTTTAATGCCTTTCCACATAATTTATAGGTTGTGTGGGGGACTATTTCCTCCTTTTTGACATTCCATAACATGACACTTATTCAAACTGAATTCCATTTGCCAAGTGCTGCTCCACACACTTATTTTGTCCAGGTCATCTTCAAAGGCCTGGCAACTGTCCAAGTCTCTTATCTTCCCTATTAGCTTAGTATCAGCAAACATGTTCATATAGTTCTATATTCCTTCTGGTAAATCATTTATATAGACAATGGACATTACTAGTGCTAGAATTGAACCCTGTGATACTCCACTAGTAACATTTCTCCAGTCTGATACATTGCCTTTGATTATCACCCCTCATTTTTCTGTCAGAAAAGTGTTCATCCATGTTAGAAGTCTTCCTGTTACCCCTCTAGCATGTTTCAGTTTCCAGAACAACCTCTTGTGTGGGACTGTCAAAAGCCTTTTTTAGATCCAAACAGATGCAGTCAACCTAACCACTCTTTCCTGTAAAATCTATCATAAAAACTAAGCAGATTTGTTACACAAAATCTTCCTGTTCAAAAATCACAGACTGTTATTGTATCACGTTTTCCTAGGTATTCTAACCAAATAGTTTTAATTATTTTTTCCAGTGTTTTGACCACCACACTTGTCAACAATACAGGTCTGTAATTTAGAGGTTCTTCTCTGCTACTATTTTTGTAGATTGGAACTAAGTTTGCCTTTATACCAGCATATACATTTGCTAATATGTACATAAATGTGAAAAATGAATTTAAGTGGAATGCTCAGCTCAGGTACACATTCTCTCAGAACCCAAGGTGAAACGCCATCTGGGCTAACAGCTTTATTTCTTCCTAGCTTCTTGAGTAACTTTTCTACTTCGTCTCAAGACATCTCTATGTAATCATTAGATTTCCCTTGAAATCCGCATTGGGTCTAGTTCTCTGAAACCCTCATTGTGCACACACATTTTGGAACTGTTCATTTAGTGTTTTGCACATTTACTTTTCATTTTCTGTGAATCTTTTTCCCATTTTTAATCTCTAGATCTTATCCTTAACATGCAGTTGCTTAAAAAAAAAAAAAGATAGAAAACACCTTGTTCTGTTTTACATTTGTCCATTATCCTTGTCTTAATGTTTCTTTCTGGCTCTCTTCTTACTACCATGTAGTTGTTTCGTATTTGTTTGCATTGTTAAGTTTGAGGGTTAGGCCTCTTCCAACACTGATGCTACTTTTTGTTTTTTCTCTAGCTCTCTCATTTTTCATTGACCAATCCTGTTTTCCAGCTCTGTATTTGTGTCAGCACTTCAGTGCTGATCAAGCAGGGGGTGTAGCCAACCACAGAGAAATAGCAAAATTAGTTAAATACAGTCGATTGGAAGGTCAATGCTGTACACTTTTGTTCCCATAGCATCTGAGACGCTCGACCCCTGGGGTAGGAGTGCCTTGGGATTTCTCAAAGAATTCCAGGCTCGTTGACATCACCCGAGACCCAAGGGCTACCAGTTACTTGTTTCAGCGCATCAGTGTGGCGATCCAGAGGGAAAATGCCTGCTGCGTCCTCGGTTCCTGTCCGGAAGCAGAGGAGATCCAAGAAATCCATCACCTTTAGGCATTCATTGTATTAACCAATATACATCTTGTAACCTTTAAACATCTAATAAAACACAATATATACATGTATATATCTGTACAAGTACTGTATATACATACTGTACATATATATTTATTTATTTTAAATTTATATATTGCATTTTAACTGTACTGTACTGTGCAACACACCTTAAGGCGCTCTGAGGGTTGTGTTTTTTTTTAATTTGGCCATATTTTAAGGTTTTTAATGTTTTCATCGTTCTTTGTGGTTTTAAATGAAAATTATTGAGTTTGGAAACATTGACATTAACATTAGCTGAACATTTATAAAAAAAATAAAAAATGTCCTTAACAACTGCACCATGAAATTTTTGCCAAAAACAGGTGCGCAGTTCAGGGGTTCAATAAAATTTTTATAAAATTTAAGCCATGTTAATAAAATATAAACAAAACTGATGTAATGAAAATCAAAATATTTTTGCTAACCATCAGGCAAGTCAGTGTACTGAAGGAGATGCTCAATCAACGGAACAGTAATGCCATGGACACCTGCGTCGTGACTCACCCAGTACCTGTCAAAAAGAAGGTCATTATTTTGGCAAATAAATGCTCATTAATTTGCAAAAACTAATGAATTTTGTCTCTTTCTATTTTGTCCTTACCTTGTTCATTGTACATCTGGTCCTGGATAATCATGAGGGCTGCATTCTTGTATACCCAAATAAATATCCGGCATTTATTATTTAATTAAAGTTTGCCACATTAACATTTTTATATATTGGCACAATATTTACAATTTTCTATTGTCATCTACATCTCCTTCCTGAAGCGAGACTTTGAAGATAATTCATAATTTGACATTTCTCTATGCCTTCAAAATCTTGGGCCATATAGTATCCCATCAAAACCTCGGGTAATAAGGTATCTCATCTAGTCCGGGTGCTTTGCGAGCCAAATACAGAGGCAATTAATGATTCCATGCCAAGGCATATGGATCCTACAGATGCCCAAACATCTTGGATATTCATCGAAAGGTAACCCTGTCCACCTCTGAGTCTGCAGAAATAGGACAGAAGTGAGAGAGGTGCAATTATCTTCAGAGTCCACAATCACAGAGGAAAGGGACAAGTGGACCAACCACTTTTTAAAATTTCAACAGTGAATCACCTAAAGGCAATCCAAAGGCAGCCAGTAATCCAAGCCTTACTGGAAAAGAATGCTACTGAGTACTGATGCACCATTCAGACTGCCATGTGTGCCTGACTTCTTAATGCATGTCAGGGCATTAGGTTGGTTATCTTGAGATGATTTCGGGGCTTTTAGTGTCCCCGCGGCCCGGTCTTCGACCAGGCCTCCACCCCCAGGAAGCAGCCCGTGACAGCTGACTAACACCCAGGTACCTATTTTACTGCTAGGTAACAGGGGCATAGGGTGAAAGAAACTCTGCCCATTGTTTCTCATCGGCACCCGGGATCGAACCCGGGACCACAGGATCACAAGTCCAGTGTGCTGTCCGCTCGGCCGACCAGTTGGGATTGCCAGCTCCAATAAAGAGGGTGTGGTGGCTGGTGTTCCAACTAGGTGGCACTGAGTAGTTTGGGTAGTAATAGTTTAGTGATAATTGGTGTTGCTTCATTTTGCTAAATATCGTTTGGGTGTGTGGGGATATGTTCTTTGCTTCATGTGATTTGGTTAATTGGTGGATGCATTGAGATAAACACACTACTGTCTTTTTGCCCAATTATGTCAAGTGCCTGAAGCCTGGCATCTGAACGATATCCCAGAGTGAAACCTGACTTTTCACGAGACATTTATAACTGATCAGCATCTGAGCAAAGTAATACCACTACACTAATTATCTAGAACAGTATCTCAGTCTTTTCATTACCTATGTATTATGAGTATGTCAATTGTAAAATACTATCAAATATTCATTAATTTGTAAATCTTTATACATTTTTTATTTCTAAAATTAAAGAAGTGGGTATGTGATTTAGCAACAACAAAAAATTCCCCAATGTATAGCATCCCTGCCAAATCTTGTGAATAAAACATGGCAACATCAGTTTGTATATATAATGTAGAAGAATAACCATCGCCTCTATTCCCCTCTTCTTCAACGATAAAATTATTGCTTCATATACAAAGTGTCAATCTCATTCATTATACCACATCAATCCGTATCACAAATGCATTCAATAGCAAAATTCTAAATTAAAGACAACTTTTCTTAAACAATAAAAATATGCTACTGTATAGACAAATGTTTTAGAGGTAAGAAAGCTTCTGAAATACAAAATGAAATCTGAATGTACCGAGTGGGTGTGGTAGGGTCTGGATGGAGAGAGAGGAGCGAAGTGAAATGTTCATCATCTTGGAGAAGAGATAACTGCAGCTCTATAGTCTCGTACACGTGTAGTTTGACTGTCGTTGGAGTAAACTTGGCTCCAAACTTGTTGATACTGTCTTCAGGCTGTGAATTATAGCATATGAATAAAATATAAATACCTGTATATACAATTAAATATAGTCAAAACTATGGTAAACACTACCTACATTACTTCAAAATTTGATAAACATTTTGCCAAATACATTCCTTTCTTTTGAACTACTATTCTGCTCATGGGAAGATCAATTAATGTGTTTTTCCAGATATATCTCTTTACTTACAGGTAATTCCCCTTCATTGTTTATGTCACTGTCAATGACAATGCAGTGGTGAAGCTGCCCAGCCGTGGTAGCAATAACAAGCACCGGAGGTGAGGATTGCAGTACGAGAAGACTACACGAGTCCAGCCCATAGTTGCTGTCACATGATGGAGTCATACTCAGGGGGCCATACAGTCTATGCATGGGTGGTCTAGAAAAAAAAATATATGTATTTGTATGTATGTGTGTGTGAGATTACCTAAGTGAAGTTACAGGAAGAGAGCTATGCTCGTGGTGTGATATAACAAAGAATGCTGGCATTCTTTATTATATCACACTAACACTATTGATGGTTCCTCCATCACCACCTCACTTAACCTGTTCCAACCGTCTACCACTCTTATTTGGATCCGAACTGATCCAGCCAGCAGTCCTAGGGCATTCTGGGACTTTTTTCCAAGATAGCTGCCTCTCACCGGAGGTACCAGGAGTCCTTTTATACCCAACCAACCGTGCTCGCATTTTGAATGGGTACGAAATCTTAAATTGGTGTTTTCTCGGCCTGAGTAGTTTTTGGTGAACAAGTTTTCTCGGCCAGCACAGTCCAGTGGTTAAGGGGGATTCTTAACTTTCTCATGTTTTCCTTTTCTCCTAAAATCACAGACATTTTCCTTTGAAATGAGGCCTTCTCCTAAACCTATTATATTTTCAATGATTTTCATCACTTCTGCTGCTCTGTCCACCCTAGATATTTATTTTTATAAACACCCAAAGATTATGAACTTACTTCTATCTGCAGTGCTTTGTACTAATTTACTGTTGATAACCAGTTCTTTCGTAATTGCTTGCCTAATTTCTGCTTCTTAGTTGTCATTTCTGGTTTTGACTTCCAAAAGTAAATTTAAGTGAATAATAAAATAAAGTATTTTTTCTACAGAAATTCTACCAATACATGTACTACAAAAATAAACAAATTACAATCAATACTTTAGTACTTATCTATATATAATAGTACCTGTATTATAAAAAGTCATTTATGTAGCAGTGCTCAAAGTACAATTTTTTTTTTATTAAAAACACAAGTTATGTAGAATTCAAGTTAATACAATGAGGCATTCTTGAGTTAATGAAAGGAAACCCATTAGAAGAAACAGAATAAAACAGAACAACAAAACCATGCGGTATCCCTGTGACACCCAATTATGGGAGTGTACCTGTTTGAGCCGAGGATTGTAATTGTGAAGTAGACTTCTCCGTTGCCATACAGTATAAACACTGGCCACTGCAGGCCTAAATATGTTTGCCTCTTCACATTCTCTGGGTCAATCTGAAAGGTACAATTAGTTTAAATACCAATAATAACAACATTAAAATCTCTAAATTTCAGAACTCTGAGGAGGAGGCTCCCCATCATCTGGGTCAGAACACCTGCATTGATCCTACAAGGATCTCTGGAAAAGTTCTTTGAGGAAACATTGTAAAGTATTTTAATCTGCATACCTATTCCTATGCACATAGATCTTTCCTTAGTAAACAGCTGAAAGTGATGGAGAGTATAAAGTAGAATTAGAATCATCATTGGTACTGATACTAATATTTTGGATGATATTGTCTTATTAACCGATACTTAATATGTGTCATCAGGTGTTAGAATTGAACCTGCCCATGTATAAAAAAAATACTATTGAAGTATTGGATGAAATTTTAGACACAGATAATGTACTACACAAATAAGCCAATAATAATAATAATAAAAATAATGCACCTCAATTACTGGCTAGGAAAACTAATTAGATTGAACAAGCTTTAGTTAAAGGAAAATACTCTCAAATATGGTAAACCATAGACTGGTATCAGAGTACTGTACTGTATATGCTAATTTTAATGTCATAATACATTTTCTTTTTAAGTAACCCTTAGATCAAATAGATGTATGAAATTATATATGATTTAGGTAAATGAACCTAATCATAGCCATGTCAATTCATTCCATAATTGTGCTATCATGCCAAGGATGACATTATTTTTCACATACCATATAGTGTGAATTTGATGATCAAACCATATATCAGAAAATGAACAAACAACGTTGTTTTTCATCACAAGACTTGACAAGGAAGAAAATGCAGAACAGAACCAGTGAAAAGTAGAAGCGCCATAGGCACACACACAACACTGTCTGAACATCAGGGGTCAACAGCTGTTCAATACCCTCCCAGCAAAGCATTAGAAATATTGCTAGAACAAAGGTGGATATCTTAAAGAAACATCTATACAAGTTCTAGCAAGAAGTACTGAACCAACGAGGTTGTAGTGGATATGTGGACTGCTCCAAACAACAGCCTGTTGGACCAAGTTATCACAAGTTGAGCCTTGCCCGAGGTCAGGCTCTGGGAGTAGAACAACTCCCAAAACCCTTTCCGGGTATGTTCCAGGATTCGACGTGGCTATTACAATCCAGTTATCTAACCGAGTGAATAAACTGAATCGTAACGTATTTATATTTATTATAGATTTACACAGAGATCACACTAACGTGATGCAGCAAATGAACTAATCCACAAGGGCCGTGACGAGGATTCGAAACTGTGTCCGGGAGCATCCCAGACACTGCCTTAATCGACTGAGCTATGACAGGGTTAACCTGTCACAGCTCAGTCGATTAAGGCAGTGTCTGGGATGCTCCCGGATGCAGGTTCGAATCCTCGTCACGGCCCTTGTGGATTTGTTTATATTAAGATGATAATTTATTACCCATATAAGATGTAATAAAGATGCTAGGTTCATGTCTTGTATTGTTGTCTTATTATATATGAAGGAGGAGAGTATTATTGATGTACAGTACTGTATTCTGGTATGTAGGCTTGTATTCGTACTTTTGTATGGGTGCCCTCTTGCGTGAGGGCACGCAAGAGCGTCGGGTTTTGAAGTCGAGTGAAATTCTGAGTCTGGTGGGCAAGGCCTGAGGCGGGAGACAGGATGTTGTGGTCAGGGAGTACCAACATTGTCGTGTGTGGGGAGAATGCATGAGAGTTTCTTGAGGTTTCCTTGGCCCAAAGTCAGTTATAGATCTCTGGAGCCATACAGTCAAGTATGTGTGCGTGAATGCTGTGAAGTCCACGTATGTTTTTACTTCCTATGAATGTTTAGTTATAGTGGAAATTTCCATACTTGAGGGGAACCGTGAGTCACTCACAAACATGGCGGACATGCGGCCTGCTGCCATTTCACTTCATGTTTATTTACAGTATACAGTACCTGTTATTTTCAGTTAGGTCAGTTTCCCCATGGTATTCCCAGTATGTAATAGGTTAATCATATACCCATCACCTGTGAGGGTATGTTAATTCTTTAGTCTTATTTAGCAGTAATGAGTACTCAAGTCTTGTACTCACCTCACCTAGTTGTGCTTGCGGGGGTTGAGCTTTGGCTCTTTGGTCCCACCTCTCAACTGTTAATCAATTGGTGTAAAGATTCTTGAGTGTACTGGGCTCTATCAAATCTACATTTGAAACTGTGTATGGAGTCTGCCTCCAATAATGCCTCACTGAATTGAACATTTTGCTCCAATCACACTGTTCAAACCCCCTAGGAATTTGTTAGAAACAGGACCCATTGTAAATATATTTTTATTCCTTTAGAGAAAATATTTGATCTACAATTCTCTAACTTTGGTAAAACCTCCCAACTATACACCAAGTCAGTTTCCCCAACCACAGGTTCTCAACCTAGGACCTGTGGGGTATGTGTACGACAGGTACACGATGCTTTCTACAAGTAAATTTTATAAAAACTCCAACGTACCAGTACATGAAAATGGCTGCATACCCCAAATATTTCCCACTAGTGAACCCCTAAGAGCATGCATAACCCAGGTTGAGAACCCCTGCAGCCTCACCCTCAAATGTAACTCTTGCCACTTCTAGTCTCAGAACCACCAAAAAATGAACCTAGCATTATAATATCTTGAGTGATTTTTCTATCAGAACTTAATAACATTGCTAAAACATATGACATGAGTAATCAAAATTATAATGAAGTCAGGATCTCTTACCAAATTTTCGATCACTCCATTGGAGACAGGATTCCCAGACAGGCATTTTACGGGTTCACTTGGAAGACCGAAATCAAATGAAACTGCACTTTCTCCTAGATTAGAACTACAAGTGAAACTGGAACTACTAATAACACCTGCTCTTCCTGATCCAACAGATATTGCTTGCTCTGGAATTTCATTTGTTGATAAGTTGTATATTCTGAAACAGATTTAGAATTTTAGGACACTAAAATATGGTTTTGAATGCATTACAAATAGCCTTTTCCAGCATGACATTTAATTTTTCCCTAAGGAAAGAACAATGTGTGTTCTAATGGACTTGATTATACAAAGTAAGGCAGGTCAACAATATGCCCCAGAGTAACAGGGATCTTTTTAAAATATAATAAAATATAGTAATAATAAATAAAATATCCATCAGCTTTTACTGGTGCTTGGAAGACAATGGAGTTTGATCAATCAAGCCCAGCACCACTACTAGAAAATGCATTAGAATGCCTTTTAAGTCCATTTGAAGCTCCACTCAATCTATCAGAACCTGCCAAGAATCACACACTAACCAACAGCAGGATCACCAGGCCACTACCGGGCAGTAGCACCGGCACCAAAATGCCAGTGTTGAAAGTAATGAAAAGCCAATATCTGGGCAAGCCCAGTGGCTCCCTGAAGTTACTACATACTGATATGGTACCATCTACTATGTCACATCAGCTGTGGAGTTCTAAAGACCTACAGAAAACCAACTCTAAAACCTTGCTCACTCAAAGAGGCACAGGGAGTGGTGACATTTATTTTTGCCACCTCACTAAGGAAGGCAACCATAAAGTCTGCAAGTCAAAACAAATCACTGCTGTCTTCAAAAGGGATTGAAGCCACAAAACCCACCTAACGAACTTCCTCAACTATGCAAACAAACGATTGCATTCACTTAGACTTAACAAGATCTCATTCTCCCCACCACCCACACCATGAGTTGGGGTGGTGGGCAGAATGAGACCTTTCACCCACCACCCCACTTGTGGTAGGGGTGGTGGGGCAAATGACAATCTCTCCCCCACTTGCGGGGAGGGGAAGGGGAAAAAGAAAGTAGCTCACGGCCAGCTGGCGTTTCAGCCCTCAGTTCTAGGGCAAATGTAGGTATCCACTTGATAATCTGGAAGAGATAGAGGGAATCAAGGAGACATTGGGGTTCACCCAAAAATTGGCATTTAATAACATTCAGTGGTGGTTTTACACTAATTGTAAATGTGTGGCCACGTCTGTGGTAGAGAGAAAAAAAAATGGTGGTTTTCTGGGAATAGCCCCTTGTGGCTCCCTGAAGCTAACTACCCAGCGAGATGGAAAACATGCGAACTCACCAGGAAGGAGGAAACACCGCAGGATTCACAACGAAGATGAGACACCTGACTTAGAGATGACCCAAAGCCACACAAGTGCACCAAAGTCTAGGGAACAGTAAAAGATACAAGATCTCCAAAACCTGCCACACCTGAATGTTAGCCCGGGACACGTTTGTGAACACTGCCAACAGAGCGGCATACTTCCTAACATGGTCCCAAGGGTAGACCGCAGGCCAGCGGGACTTAATAATACTGTAGACGACCTGAAAAAGACGAGCCTTGGAACAAGGGTCAAGGAAAGAAGATCCACCCAGAAGGAATCCACCAACGCATAATCAGCGGCACGAAGATAGTACTGGACAGCTGCCACAGGACAATGCATCCCTGGCTGAACCAACCATCAATGACAAAAGTACTCCTTTGGAACCTAACCGACTCATTCTTTGCCAGAAAAGATGCTGGGTGAAAATGAACAAAATGCCTACCAGGGCTAAAAGAACAAAACCTCCACCTTCAGAGGAGAGCACGAAGCTCTCCAACATGACAACCGGAAGCAAGAGAAACCCAAAAAAACAAGACTTAAAATGAACAATCATGGACCGAAGGGGACACAGTAAAACAAGACAGAAATGTAACACGGTCTAAACACCAAGCAGGCTCAGGCGGTACATGATCAGGCCTGAGGAGAAACAATGCATGAAAAAGCTTACGTAATGGAGCCGAAGTAGTATCGACCCTAAACACAAGCTGCAGCAGAGACCAAGGCTGAGCTGGCCACCAGGGAGCGAAAAAGATCACCCTTCCCAGGTAGGGACTCCAACATGGCCAGGAACCAGAGCAACAGCCAGACCTGGGGAAAGAAGTAGAGGAATCCCCACCTCGACCAGTCCAGCTGAAAGGCATCCACTGCAAAAGCTTCATAATTGGAGAATGGAGCCACGTACAGGGGAAAGCGCCGATTCCATGCCGACACAAAGAGGTCCATGTTCGAGCACCCGAATGTCTCACAAACCCACAGGAAGGCGAAAGCATTGACAGTCAACTCTATGGAAATGGGAAGGAACTGGGACAGTGTGTCTGTGAGGATGTTGGACACCCTGGACAGCCAACCCTGAGGACCTAGAAGCAGAGCTACATGAAGTGTCCAACTCCAAAGAGACAAGAGACTGAGTAACCCCCCCCTCACCCAGATGAGACGGTGAACCATGGGGAAAACAGACAAAATGGAGCCGGAGCACAGAGCCCAGAGGAATCCGAACTCTCCAAAGTGTATGTCACACAGTTGCAAACTCCCGAACTATACTGTGAGCCCAACAAAGGAGAAGGCACCAATGACCCTGGCTTGCTTGGTGAGTGCTGGTTGGTAAAATCAGAAACCCAGACATTCAACCACTGAAAACTCTGCAGCTGGTAGTCAAAGCTGACCTTGAACACTTGTACAATAATAATTGTTGATTTATTATGTGCCTTAAAAAATTTGACTAATTTGAAATGGAGGTCATCCTCCTATGATGTTAATTATCATGCTTAGACACAATCGAACATTTTGGAAGGATCCCTGTCATGCCGATGAAGATTGCTGGCCTCTAACTGTGCATAATCCCCAACACAATGGGACCAGGAAGGATCTTGCCTAGTAAAAAAGAGAAGGATAGCTCAGAAATATATACAGCACTGTAATTATACATGTTCAAGAAAGATAAAAGTTGACAAGTTATGAAGCAAGCTTCCTCATTAGATATCCATTTATAAACTATATACAGTACAATAAAACACTTTTACTGTACTATAAAATACTTATAATGTACTATAATATAGTACTGTACTGTATATACTAAACTATATACTATACACTATAAAATACAGCTATATAAAATACTTGACAAATTTTATTGTCACTTTTATAATAAACAGACTATTATTTTTAATGGCCAAATAACAACAACAATTACTGTAGTTTAAATGTAAACAGTTTACCGCAGGTAATTATCCGAGGCAAGGATAACTATGTGGTTGTTCTCCAGAGACCCTGGATGCCATGCAGCAGCCACCACCTCCAGTTTAGGATGACATGAGAAGAATCGCTCGGCCACGTACTCCACCCTAAAGTGATATGCATTATATTACCAGCAGTAAACAAAACTTTTGCGCTGAAAAATCATACGTAGAACAAACCAATTTTTTTTAATTATTCCATTCTTGAATTGCCAATGTATAAACAAAATGAATTAGATAAGGTTCACATAGCATCAGGGCAATCGAGATAAGTATACCCAGGTATACTTGTGCGCTAGGCCAGCACATCTCGGGACACAAACTAAATGAAGTATCAAGTGAAATGGATGCAATGATCACATGGTGGCAAAATGATTTCGGGTTGGTGTAACGAGTACTGAAATCGTTACGTTAAAGTCTGGGATGTGTTCCCAATTAATTTCTCCAGTGCACTGTAAGGAATGCATGCTTGTGACAATAGTCATGAGGTTTGTGCTTTATGCCAGTCTGTAACTGAATATTGGGAATACATTTGCCCTCTTTCTAGAATTCTGGAAGTTCACTAGTTTCAAGCACTTTATATAAATTCTTAGTGGATATAAAGTATGCAGCATCCTTCAGAGGCTAGTGACACCTAATTAATTCCTAGCTCTTTTATCTAGTTCCTTTAGGTATTTTTTTTACCTCTTCTTCAGTGATTAGCATAAGGTACTGTATAACATAGCTTCTGCCTGCCTATTGTCTCCTGGTTTTGGTCTCCACTCTGTTTTGTAAACCTGGAACCTTTAGTTGAATTTTTCACAGTAATTTATCACTTTCCATTAAATTTTTATTTTTGATTTCTCAGTTTGATCAAAGGATTCTTTACTGCATGTTCCTCTGTACACAGCTATGCAGCAGTTTTGCCTGGGTTTTATTTTTTTCTGCCGTGTCATTTACAAATTGCTACTCAGTTTCTCTCATTGCTTTCGTATACTCACCTCTGGCATTTTTCAGTGCATCAATTTTTTTATGAATGTTGGGGTGCAGTAGTGGTATGTGTAGGTATGTGGCAGTACTTTTGAGGTTACCTTGAGATTGTTCCAGGGATAAATGTCCCTACTGCCTGGTCTCTAACCATAACTCCTGACTGACTGTCTAGTTGAGCAGGCTGTAGACACCACTGCATGCAGTCTGATGTATGAATCTTAGCCTCATTGATCGGGTACCCATTGGAGGTGTTTATCAAGTTACCGCTTCAATGTCAGAACGAGGTCAGCTAATTATGCCTTTTATATTTACAGTACATAGAGGATGCTAGAAATTCTTGGACCCTTAATGTTTATATTATTGCCTTAAAGAGTATCTATTGCAGCAGCCCTCTTCAGTGAGGTTATTTAACACCTTTGGTCATGCCTCTCAGGGTCTCAAATGGAATTACAGTATTTCAATGAGAAGTGGATGTATTGGTAGTACATGTATTCCATTCACCTGGGCACTTGAAAAACTGTGGACCCCACGCGTGTGAGGCAGAAGCTCTATTGACCGAGCCATTGAGCAGTCTTGGGGAAAGTTTACAGAAACAGCATCCTGCTGCCAAACTGGAATTTTATTTCCTTATTAAAACTACTCAACAGCTTGGTCGATAGAGCTTCAGTTTCATAGAGCACAGAATGTTTCCCAAATATCTGCCCTCAGTCATGGGAGGGAATGCCCAGGAACAACTCTCATATGGAAGTAGCCTAGGTTACATTGCCTCATATGACAGTATTCAATATGACAGTCTAATGAAGACAGAAAAATTGTATTTTAATCCCTATTTAGAGTACTGTACGTATATTAATACTAAACTCACAACTTTACCTGCACGTTATTGTGTTTCTCCCTCCATCATACAGTGGAGGAGTGCCAGAACGATGAGGCAACTCAACGATGGCAACACCTCGGTGGCCAATCAAGGCAACATCACTCCCACTTTTGTTTATTTTTATATGTTCCACCTCCCAAACTGGTGGCTTGGATAGAGCTAATTTCTGAAAATGAAAAAATAAAAATAATGTAGTACTGTACCCAAGCATGGAGACCATCTTTAGATGGCCATATTTACCTTGGAGATTTGTCAACCTGGTATGAAATCAACTCTCATACCAGGAAAGTTGAGTGCCACAGAAATAACCCCGCAAACTAACCCCATCCTCCTAAAACGATAGCACTTATATTTATGAGAATATTTAACTTGTAAACTCTGTGACAAACCTTTAAGACATTTACTTGAATACTATATTGTTGAATGTGAAACTGTAAAAGATTTTAGACCTCCTGGCCTATTGTACCACCAACTGTGTAACTATTTCACCGAATCTGGTGTATTGGACCACATCCCAACAGTTTATTCTAAATTTGCTTGTCCATTTTAACCACCGTGCTGTGTAGAACGCCCTGCGACACTCTTGAGAGTTTTGCTATAAATTTTTTTAATTAGGCTATTCAGTATTTTTAATGTTTTTCATGGTTTCATCACTCTTTGTGTTTTAAAATGAAAATGGTTGAGTTTTGAAACATTTGTACATTAACTTTACCTGAACATCTATAAAAACAACAAAAGTATGTCCTTAACAACTGCACCATTAAGTTTTTGTATGTTATTTCTAAGCTACACCTCTTATGAACTCATCCCTGTTTTATCCTCACATCTTTTTACTCTGAAACATCTTACTTGACAAAGTTCCTCCTATATTCATAAACCAACATTTTTTTTATTTTTATAATTTTTTTTTTATAAAACTTTATAGAAGTCTATAACTTCTAACTATATACTATAACTTCTAACTATATAACTATAACTATAAAATACTGAACAAACAGGAGGATATTAATACTCTGTATTTTTTATATGAACCAATTGATTTTTAGTAGGTATTCTCTACTAAAGAGTTCCTCACCACTACAGTACTCATTTTGGCTTATGTCCTCCACTTCTCACTTTAGTCTACAGTCTTGCACACTACTACTTATTATGATCTACGGTCTTGCATACTGCTTCTCATTTTAGTCTACGGTCTTGCACACTACTACTCACTTTAGTCTGCGAACTTCACACCTTACAAAAAAAGGGGGGGGGGGGGGGTAAGAAAAACTACGGATTTTACAAGCCCAATTTAAGTCTACGGGTTTGCACGTCCTCCTCCAAATGGAGGGGACATTCCCACACAGGAAAGTTGGATTTAAAAATTCATAAACTGAAACATATAGTATAGTACTGAACAATACTTTCTAATACAATACAATGTTCAGTAAAATACTGAAACAGGATATTAATTCAGACCAATTCTTTAAAAGGTCACATGTAGCACATCTGAAGGGCAACAAGTTCAACAAGCCACAATGAAGGACTGAAAACAGTAGATGCTTTTTCATCCATTGAGTTATTAACCCTTGGCACTACCTACCCATCGAAGCCATAAATGCCAAGACATTACTGCAGTTCAAAATGCAGTTGGAAGTCTCATAAAAAAAAAAAAATTTGCTAGAAATTAGATTTAGGAAAGACTTGGATAAATACTGGTTCGGTAACAGGGTTGTTGATTTGTGGAACCAATTCAATTATCAGTCTCCGTGGTGTAGTGGTAAGACACTCGCCTGGCGTTCAGCGAGCGCCTTGTCATGGGTTCGTATCCTGGCCGGGGAGGATTTACCGGGTGAAAATCCTTAACTGTAGCCTCTGTTTTAACGCGACAGTAAAATGGGTACTTGGTTGTAAAAACGATTCTTCGCGGCGGGGATCGTATTCCATGGACCTGCACAAAATGCTACGCGTACTAGTGGCTGTACAAGAATGTAATAACTCTTGTGTGTGTGTGTGTATGTTATAGATATATATATTATATATATATATATATATATATATATATATATATATATATATATATATATATATATATATATATATATATATATATATATATATATATATATATATATATATATATATATATATATATATATATATATATATATATATATATATATATATATATATATATATATATATATATATATATATATATATATATATATATATATATATATATATATATATATATATATATATATATATATATATATATATATATATATATATATATATATATATATATATATATATATATATATATATATATATATATATATATATATATATATATATATATATATATATATATATATATATATATATATATATATATATATATATATATATATATATATATATATATATATATATATATATATATATATATATATATATATATATATATATATATATATATATATAAGAATTACAGCGTAATGTGGTTGAGGTGGGATCCCTTGATTGTTTCAAACATGGGTTGGACATGTATATGAGTGGGATTGGGTGGTTATAAACAGGAGCTGCTTCGTATGGGCCAACAGGCCTTCTACAGTTACCTTTTTTCTTATGTTCTTAAATTACCTACTTAAAATTATCCGTTAGATTAAGGATCTGCCCGAAATGCTATACATGATAGTGGTTTTACAAAAATGTAAAATCATCAATGCTATGTACTCTCATAAACCCCAAAAAACTTTCTTGTATATAAATACCTTGTACACACATTACATCACGTCACAAAATTACCTGGACTTTAGAATTGGTTGGAGTTAGTAGCTGAGAAAGAAGACAGCCATCTTCCCTGCTCCAGGCCACAATAACATCATCAACAAGATCTAGGAGTGAATACTGTGAAGACTTAGTGAAGTGTTGATGAGTGTGTGAGTGAGAGAGGTAGTGAGAGAGCGCCAGTGTCTGCCCGCCACCACCCGCCATGATGTCAACACTACGCCTTAAGCCTCATAGTGACCTCGGCTTCCCATCATCCTTACCCTTCACTTCTTACCAAAATATAACCCTCTAATTGAAGTATTTAGTTACTTTATTAAATATTGCAATATATTTACTATTTTTAGCCATAGCGCAGATGAAAAATGCAGAGGAAACGATATTAGAAAATCCAAATCAGTGGAACGCTTTCGGACATCCCCGACGTTTAAACACCACAATGCCAGAGTTAACATGCAGCAGCAGCAGTGGTCGGGATGATGTTGTTATAGATTCAGCTACTCGGAACAAGTTCCAAGTAGCACGGGCTATGGTGAGCCCGTAGCGGACTTGCCTGGCACAGGAGCGGTGCCCTGATCCAGTGGTCGGGAGGACGGGCACTTCATGCTCACTCCACCTACTACCAACAAGAAGAAAAAGTAGAGTTTACCTGAGGGACACTAACACTTAAGTGGTCTCGACGAGGACAGGAAGCCGGCAGTTTGTCAAATTCCCCCCCCCCCCCACATTAACCCTGGTGATTTTTATCAAGCTAGATTTTAAAGTTTGCAGAGTTGTCATTTATGCCTTCGGTCGGCGGGTAGGCGGTTCAATGGGTTTATATATATACAGTATGTGTGTAAATCACGAAAGTTAACACGTGGTGAAAAATGTGACAGTGTCAGACCACGGAGGAAGAATTGAAACAGGAATTTCCTCAAGTACTTTGGTATGTAAAATACATCTTCAGAAGGGACCCTTCTGAAGATGTATTTTACATACCAAAGTACTTAAGGAAATTCCTAATTTCAATTCTTCCTCCGTGGTCTGACACTGTCATATACAGTATATAATATGTTGTTAAATATGACCGAAAAAGTAAGATTAATAATTCTAACACAAATTTTCTCACTATTACTTATGTTTCTTTTTACTGTCGATGGTAATTGAAAAATCAATTCTCCAAAATTCATTTTTATTTCTAGTCTGACGCGACGCTTGAACGCGTTTCGTAATAACTTATTACATTTTCAAAGACTTTAGTTTACACACACAAAACTTGTAACCTGAAAACACTTAACAGTTTTTTACTAATTCTAATGCTAAACATCTTGTCGCATTTGGGTGAGGTGATATGTTGAAACAGTTTTGGATGAGGTGGACAAACTTTTGACCAACACAAGACAGAAAGAACATGGTTCAAGGGGTATAAATTGGATAAGTGAAAGGGAAGAATGAAAGTAACTGCAAAGGGCCTATTGGCCCATACTTCCTCTTGATGCTTCTATATTGGTACGGAGTTTTGAAGTGGGTAGAATATAGTTGTGTATTAATTGGCTGTTGATTGCTGGTGTTGACTTTTTGATGTGTAGTGCCTCGCTGATGTCAAGCCGGCTGCTATCGCTGTATCTATCGATGATTTCTGTGTTTTTGTTAAGATTTCTCTGGTGATGGTCTGGTTGTGGGAATGCTTTTTTTTTTTTTTTTTTTTGCTTTATTATATATTTAAAGGTTACAAGATATACATTGATTGATATGTAACACGGGACACGTATTGGCTCTACTCTGTCCTTCTACCCTGCCCGTGAATATGCAAACTGAAACTTAACCAACTTCCAAAGGCCCCCAGAGTATAGTCTATAGCTGAGTCCCACGCCACGTGGTCTTAGCAGTTTGATCAGCTAAGCTTCTACAGCCACGTGACGTCATACTAGGTTTTTTAACAAACTCAAGGCATCCCTTTACGCCGTCACCACCAGACCATTAACCAGAAGCGTCAATTAATTGGGGTCGGGACCAATTAGTCATTATAACCTTGGGGCTTGATCCCCAAATTACTTGGAAAAAGAGGGGGGGGATGAATCTACGTTAAGTGTGGGAATTATAGCAAACAAAAGGGATAAATGAACTCTTAAAACTTTGTTAGGGTTGCGGCCCAACTAAACTTCATGCTCGTGGAGACCCCGTGACCAGGACATGTACACATTCAAAAATGGAAATAATAAAATACAACAAACTAATTATTTATTAATACAAAATCTAAAACAAAAACTAAATAAAATCAGTCCTTATATCTTAACACTCCCTATCGAGGCATGAAAATGAACTATTTCCCTATACAAACTGTAGCAAACTATACCTTTTAATGCGACCAGCTGGTCTTCTACTGATCTATTTGGGGGAGAGGCGAGAGTGGATGACCTCTCTCAGTTGTTGACCGGCCCACACTGATTCTCCCCGCTCTGCTCAACACTGAAGCCAGAGGGGTATTCCTACACCAGGTTACTAGTTTACTAGCAGGGTTTAAGTTGAACAACTAATCTCTGTTGTACTGAACAACCCAGATGGTTGAACTCTTTTTAAACTGAAGGTAATTGCACAAGCATCTTGGGGAAAAGCTATTTCCAATTACAATATGGCTATTTGACCTTTGAGAATTACTGACTTCAACACTGACCATTGTCAACAAAATAGTCCCCAAGTTTACTGCTTCCTAAACAGCATGAATTCCTGTATGCTAATCCCCATGATGACCAAGCCCACCCGAATCATGTAAACATCCGCTACAACATTGAATCACATATGGACTAACATAACAGCCCTTCCCCCTTGCCTCTGGTATAATGACTAACAGAACAGCCAACAACTATCCTACCTTCCTCATAGCAAATATGGGCATACTGTACCACCATGAGATACTATGAAAGTAACCTTCAGACTACATAGTAAAGCAGCAATAAGCAAACTTGTAAATACGCACAACAGTATCAACTGAGATTCTGAATTCAGTAATACACCGGATATAAATTCATTAGCAGACATCTTCTCTCCAAAACACTAAGCCTCTATAACACACTCTGTCCTCTCCTCACCAACCAAATAATTCCCGAAAGATTAAACAACCCCAGGCTCATAAGTGGCATACTTAAAGCATGTATTCAACCTTGCCAGGCTAAGAGCCAAGTCAAAGGTTCCGCTGAGGTGTCTGCATGGCTTCCTTTTTGCCGACGATGCAGCAGTCACTGCCCACTTAGCTGAAGACCTGCAACAGGTCATGAGACTGTTGGACTCCCCACCTAACATCAGATGTTAGGTGGGGACTCCCCACCTAACATCTGCATTTCTGATTACAAATGAAGTCGTGGACGACTTCTTGTACCTGGGCTCCACAATCTCCGACTCCCTCTCTCTCTTGACACAGAACTCAACAAACACATCGGTAAGGCATCTACAACTATTTCCAGACTGACAGAGAGACTGGGCCAACAATTAGCTGACCGAGTACACAAAGATCCAGGTTTACAGAGCCTGCATCCTGAGCACTCTCTTATACGGCAGCGAGTCCTGGACACTCTGCGCCCGACAGGAAAGAAAGCTGAACGCCTACCACATGTGCTGCCTCTTGACACATCTTGGACATCACCTGACAGGATAAGGTGACAAACAAGTGTCCTGGGGAGAGCTAGAATCCCCAGCATGTACACAAATGCTGAAGCAGAGACGAATGCTCTGGCTTGGGCACGTGGTGTGAATGGACGACGGCAGGATCCCCAAGGATCTCCTGTACGGATAGCTGATGCAGGGAAAACATCCAACAGGCAAATCCCAATTACTGTACAAAGACGTGCAAGAGGGACCCGAAAGCCATTGATGTTGATCTTGCCGAGTGGGAACACTAGTCACACGATCAGCCTGGAGACGGTCTGTTCAGAAAGGTCTCTACAGGTTTGAGGAGACACTTGCCAAGCAATTAGAGGCAAAGAGACTGAGAAGGAGTCAGTAGCCAGGAAGACAGACCAGAATCAGACTTCGCTTGTGCTCAGTGAGGGATGGATTGCCATTCTTGGATTGGCTTCATCAGTCACACCAGACGCTGCACCAGGATTGATAACCAGAGCCCAACTCCATAGTCTCCCGAGACTGAAGGATGCTTACTACTGTATAATATGCTGTGGTATACTTTATAGTATACTGTATTATATAAAATAATATCTCGGTATTTGAAGAGGAATTGAAACTTGTAAGCAAAAAACTTAATAGTTAATAAAATATTTCAAAATATTTTTGAGGTGTTTATGAAAGAAACAATAGGATAACTTAAGTACATTTATTAAATGTTAAATGTCAATCATATGTTCTTCTGTACAAGCTTGGCCCATATTTACAAAACTAGAAAGTACCATTCTGCAATGTATTAAATTTGTAAAATTGTATATTATACTCTTGGAATGTGTGTGTGAAGTTACAAATATCACATATGTCACAATCAATAATGACTTAATCAAAGGAATTAATACATACGTCCTAATATCAAAAATTTGTGTTAGAAATGTTGCCTAGTCTGAGAAAAGTGAAAAGTCTGAGTTCAAGGTAATTTTAAATCATTTTTCTTAAAATTTTCAAATATGTATAGTGATAAAGTATGAAAATAATATAATAATGTCTGTAGAGGCATAATTACCTTTATTTCTTCTTAAGCTTAACCAGTAAATCATAATACAAATTAAGTATTGGCTAAAGTATCAAGTGAGATCATAGACATTTTATTACAACCCCATAGTACCCTACTGTAAGGTAATACACTTCACACTACCTCTACTGTAAAAGGTAATTATTATTTAAATTTCAGATACTGTATCCATAACCACTGTATCCTGCATTTAGAATATATTAGCTTGAACTCATTTTGACATAAAACGGTGATAACAAAGAAAACTTTACAAAACTTGTAATTGTTTGCCCAACCAAGAAACCCCAATTACACTTGTAAACACAAAATACTCCACAAAGTATGCTAATATCTGTGAATGAAGGTGACAGCAATACTTAGACTGTACAGTGTGATAGACCATGCCTTGAAACAGGCACACACTATTCATTATAATTAAGATTACAAATAGTGCCACAGAGGTGATAGTCAGTTAACAGTTTGCTCCAATATCCAAAGTGATACATAGCACAGCATTAAATTCAAATACATTTGAAGCAAGCTATAGATGCACATTGTCTGTAATGATTTGTCATTACTGGGAATAGGAAGCCTTTTAGGCTTTTAGAGGTCCCAATGGGACTGATCTTCCTCAGGATGCAACTCAAAACAGTTTCCAAACTCCCTGGTAACACTTTAGTGATGGGTGAATAGAGGCATCAGGTGTAAGAAAACATGACCACATGTCTCATTTTGACCAGCAATTGAACCTGGACCTTTGGGGTGTGTTCTGACTGAGCTGACTACTGTTAAAAGGCATTTGAGGATGGCTTCAGGATAGATCAGCCTCAGCCACCCGACGACACTGGGTGTCATATGATAAAACAAAATTCTAAATTGATTCAGTAAGCAATTGGTTTGGTGTAGCTAATCAACCATGGGAGGGTTACTAAGGCCACCACAAGAGCTTACTGGTCCACCAGCATATATACTTTAGTTCTGAACATGGCTCAGAAGTCAAGTAAAGTCACTGTATATACACTTAAGAAGCAGGGTACACCTCTTGGTATAACTCGGTATATATCTCCTTCCTTTCACAATCAGCAACACTTGCAGTGAATGGAGAAAAAATACTCATGCTAACCAACTTTTTACTTTACTCTTATTTTAAGAAACTTTCCTGTTTGTCCCAGAGTGAGCTATTTAAAGCATGGTATAATATGATAAACTACAATATAGAATTTATAGTATAAAAAGCAGACTGGTAAGGACAAATGGGATGGGGGACCTTTTGACAAGCTGCTGGCCTCCTGTCCTCGAGGCATCTAGAGAGAGATAGCGGCCCCTCAGGTAAATTGTCAAATTAGAGGACGCCTTTTCCTTATTAACATCAACTGTGGGACCCCAGATGAGACAACAGGCAATTTAAACAGCAGAACTATGATATACTATTGTACACAGTAAAATTAACTACTGTATATAATATACATATTGTACACTAAAGTGTACTGTATATTATATTATTGTACACAAAATTTTACTGTATAATGTAGTATACTATGGTATACTTTAGTATACTATGGTATACTTTAGTATACTATGGTATACTTTAGTATACTATGGTATACTTTAGTATACTATGGTATACTTTAGTATACTATGGTATACTTTAGTATACTATGGTATACTTTAGTATACTATGGTATACTTTAGTATAATATGGTATACTTTAGCGTACTATGGTATACTTTAGCATACTATTGTACACTTTAGTATATTGTGGTATACTTTAGTATACTATGCAATACTGTACATACTGTACTATGGGATATCATGTGGTATTACATAGTCATTTACCGGAAGCCTGTTAAGTCTATTGTAGTCACCCTAAACCAAGTACTGACCTTTCCCAGGATGCAACCCACAACAGTTGCCCAACTCCTGGGTACCTGTTTACTGCTAGGTGGACAGAGACATCAGGTGAAAGGAAATGTTGCCCGAGTAATTTTGTCGTGCTGTGGGAATTAAACCCAGAACCTATCGGTTGTGACCTGACAACTCTATGGTATATTGATGTTCTATGACATACCGTATTGTATATTGTGGCATACAAAATTGTATACTATAGCATACTGTATAGTATACAATAGTATATGTATGTGACTTTGTACAACTTGAGTTTGTTGTTAAAATGATTATTATAAAAAATTAAAAAGCACAAGTTTGGGGTGATGAAGCATGATGATCTAATGATGCTAAATGCTCATCAGTGGCAGTGCTTATCTCTGCCAGAATTTCCATAACAATTCTGAAATCCATCCTCATAAAATGTGGATGTACCAAAATGATGGTACATGTACCATCATGTCCATGTACATGTTTTGAGGATGTACCATCCTCAAAAATATTACTGTACCTATAGTGACTCTGGATGGAATGTACAAAATATGGACTGTTGCATCCTAAAATAAGTCAATGTTCTATGGGTATAATAACCAGTACAAAAAACTATGTTATGTTGACATAGTTTTATGTTAAAAAAACTATAAAAACTATGTTATGTTGACAACATAACTTACAGGTTAACTCTTGACCTAACTTATTCTTGGCCTAAATAAGTGATGCTAGGCCTAATGTATGCAATATCAGGCCTGATTTATTATTTGTGTACTATACTAGGCTTACAGAAAATTTGGTTGGCTTCTTTTTCAGGTCCTTTACAAAATCATAGTACAAAATGTGAACATTTTTGGGGGGCACATTTACATTTTGTACGTTCCAGCCACCATCATACTATACTATAGATACACTACTATAATTTTGGAGAATGGGTTGCAATTCTAACAAATACAGTAGTATGAAGACATCTTTAACATGGTAGACACTTCACTTAATAATATTGTGGTAAATATTACTTTTGTACATCATTAACTTGTCATCATTTTATAAAATCATTAAATAATCAACTATGTTTATACCTGGTTATTCTATCTGCCATTATCTATCATCCAGTAGATATAGGCAAATATATTTTAACTGAAGCATGTAATATTAATTTAACTATTTACAAAATATATACATATTTATCATAAACTACACCTAATCAGATCCTTGATATGATTGCCTCTAAGAGTTCATATCCCATATATATATGACTGTAATAAGTTCATATCTGTAATAAGCCACATCTTGCATGTGGCTATCTCTGTAACAGGCCATATTAAACATGACCATATCTTCAACAAGCCATCCTACACACTCTTTTTACCTATAACAGGTCATATCCTACAAATAATTGCCCACCAACATTATTCATATAAGCTAAATTAAAACATTGGTTTAAATTTTAGAAATGTAATGAAAATCCACCAAATTAGGTTTAGTCCATAAGTCTTATAAAAAACAAAAACAGAAATGTTCACGAAAATAAAATACTGAATGATGCATTTTTGGCACAAATACTTACAGCCAGAACTGCAAGGTATAGCCAAGAGCATAATCATGGAAACAAAAAACAATTTGACCATTGATGCATTATCTTACCTAAGTGTTTGATGAAAAATTTAATTTAGAATGTGCTTATAATAAATTTGTTTCCTTCAATCGGTACAAATACGTTGAAATATGAAGTTTAATTCATAATATTTTTCCCCAATGTACTCTGGTGTCAGGTTGCAGGGATCCTGAAAATAAAAGTTTTACATCAATATCTTATATACAAATATTAATATTAACACTTTCGCGCTCTCGGCGTTCAAAAAAAAATCATACCCTAGATGCTTTCGGCGCTTCGCGCGCCTACGCGGTAAGACCGAAAAAGTGTACACTCTTTTGACTGTCCTGACAATATTTGAAGGTGCACGTATTTAAATTTGGTATCACTGTGTTCGCAATAAAATTGTCTATAAGAACATATCTATAAAATGCCGCCAAAGCATAAGGATTATCAACACCAAATAAAAAAACTATTCAGATCACTAGCCGAGAGTGCCAAACAGCAACAAAATGTTTCCACTCTCTTATTGGTTGCGAAGCCTACAGTTGTCCTACATCGCTAATTGTGGTATCATTGGAATTGCAATAAAATTCTCTACACGGACATATGCATATAAATATAGATTCAATGTCGTAGCCCACCCAAAACAGTGTGAGAAGTGGCCGAAGTGTTACCCGCGGCGGCATATCGGCGAAACTCGCTTTGAAAAGTGTATATTCAATTCACTGTCCTGACATTATTTGTCGATGTATGTATTTCATTTTTGTACCAATGTGCTCGCAATAGAATGTTCTATAAGAACATAAGTATTAAAGGTCACATAAGGATGCGTTCGACCGGCAACATATATAAAACTACGTCGATTATACTTGTCGTGTCAATAATACAATTGTTTTACCACGGTGATTCACTGCCACGCCGTTCTCTTTAATAAGCTGTTCGGCTATTAGAGAAAACGTAAATTTCATGGCAAACATTTGTAAACTATTCCCAAGTTGATCGGATAATAAATGGATTTTATACAAATATTTTTGCTCGTGACTCCCGAGAGGGGCACGCGTGCGGTGTGATTAATAATATTGGTGACAACGACGGTCTGCTGGAAAGCGCCAAAGTGTTAAAATGAAGCATTATAATTATTCAACAGGTTTACACTATACTGTATTTAACCACTGAACTGCGCAATGTGCTTGCAGGCCCTCGACAGGGGGTGCGCAGTGTGCCTTTGGGTATTTTTATTTTTAGCGTATGATTCAAAACTCCCACGCCTACATGAGGTTCACATCAGCTTCCTCAAGGCTCTTGTAAACAGATGCCATTAAAAAAAAAATCGTGGGCAACATTCCTGGGTGAGAACACGTCAGTACTGAGTGAGCAACCAAGGCTGGCACACGCAGCATGAGCTCACAGCACTGCTGTTCAGCTTGTGACCACAGTATCGCCTAATAATGTCAAAATATATATATAACTGGTATTATTTAGCCATGATAGTATTAAAGAAGAACCTGAGTGTGGGGGGGGGGGATTTCTACAGGTCATTTCTATTTCTATAGGTTGGCCTGTGCGACAAGGAACCATGCGCTCGGTCGACCCGAACGCGTATCAGTGAATATCGTTAGTCGACGACACTATCGTAAGTTGAGTCCCATTTTCCGACCAAGTTTACATCGTAAGTCGGGGCAATCATAAGTTGAGGTGTCACTGTAAATGATATATTGCAGCATGATTTGCAGTAGTAATAAGGAAAGCGAAGAGAACTTGGTAGTTATGGAGGACCATAAAGATGTAATATAAATTATAAGGCAGCAATGAAGATGCCAAAAATTTAATTTATGATGTATAAAATATAATAATGGTGATAAATCAACTAACCTCATTTCCCCCGCCAACTGGTATACGAAACTTGTATGCAACCTGATGCCACATTCCAACATTGAGAAGTGTAACGTAATGATCACGTGGACTTTCCCCATTACTTTCCACCACTTCATAAGGAGAAAGTACATTGACAGTATCTGAACACTGCTCAAATGGAAATGAAGGAATGCTGTCACTGCAGTTGGCACAAAAGGATGGCTGCCTGGCAAAATCATCTTCCATGAATCTGAAACGGAGAATTTTTTTTTTAACCACTGCACTGTGCACCCGTTTAATAAATGCAACTCCACAGTGCGCAAAAAAAAAAATAAACGTTAATTTTCTTTTTAATACTCGTTTGTTAAAATGCGTTCCCTGATTACAAGAAAAAATTTAATGAAGCTTATTTTGGCTGTGGTGGAGAGAAGAAAATCACAATGACATCACTGATTCACAAGCACTGACAGACGAGATATTCGGTGAAAGTTGCTCGAGCCAGGCAGGTATCGGGCATTGCAGTGAATATATTTTGATACTACTTTATTTCAGTGCCACTGACTTGTTTTTCAATACTGTAAGGACAGTACTTGACTTCAGGTAGTTAGTGGAGCTAGGATATCGCCTGTTTTTGTCGGGGTGGCCAGTTTTGGAGCCAGTTGCAGGGCCGCTTCCACTTCCTTAGGTCAGTTCTTCAATTTTTTTTCAGGGACTCATGTCTATTGGGCGAATGAGCTTGCGCTAGTTTTATAACTTTAAATCGTTTGTTTACATTGTTGGGGGAGTTCTTTTGGCAAGTTTGAGGCTTTGATATTTCCTTGTAACCAGCAGTGTCTGCTTTGTCTCTCAGACTTTATGGGTGCGTCCTCAGTGGTGGCGAGTATGTTTCAAATATACTGACAATTTAATCATAGTGCCACTGCTCTCTGTCTCTTTAGAGGGGGCTAGTTTTGGCTTGTGGTTCCTGGTAAGCCTAAAAGAACTCCAAAACTGATGGCACCTAGTAGTTTGGCACTGTATCAGCATTGTAGCTTCAGGAAGCCATTGGGGTTGACTCAAAAATTTGCACTTCATTACGTTCAATGCTAGGTTTTTACAGTGCTGTAGTGAAAAATTATGAAAGGTTTGGTGCACCACAATCCTTGGTAAAACAAATCAGGTCTGGTCCCAATTAGTCCATTTTAGCAAGGTATCATATATATTTATGCACCTTTTTTTGTTTAGTGCATAGTGCTTTATATAGAAAGATAGCATTCCTTTCAAAACATATTGAGACGTATAGGTAAATAAAATTATAAATTGAATCGTGGTATCCAAAATAAAAATAATTAAGCGTCCTGTAGTTGTGGATAAGAACACTGCTAGGCTTATTGAGATCCCTCTAGTTCAATTACTGACCCTCTCCAGACTGCAACTCAGTGGTTCCTAGGTATCTATTTACTGCTTGGTGAATAGTTATATCAAATGAAAAGAAATGTTACCCAATGCTTCTGTCCTGTGGCAGGAAGTTAACCAGGGAACTTTCACCTGTGACCCAAATGCAAAATGGAGCACTTACCTGAAGTGCAATGTGAGATTGGTGTGTGGCATGAATCTTGAGATAGGTAGGCCATAGGTGTAGTTTTTGGCTGTATTGGCAAAGCAATCTTGATAGGTGTCAGATGAGTTGAGACAATACAAGTGACTGATGGTTGTGTTCAGTTCCACAATATCTATTGTTGGGATCTGGGCATTTGTACCTGCAACCATGGCATTAATATTATTATTATTTTATATAAATTAATAATCTTAATTTCATTTACCTGATATCAGTCATCTCACTGAGAAAATCCACTAGGGCTGTGAGGTGGTGCGAACCTATGACCTCGGCATTGCTAGCCTCATACTCTACCACTAAACTACCGTTGACTTGTAAAAGCCATACATCTCGTTTACAGACTTCACAGGAAGTCTGGATGCTCCTACTGAAGCCAGTCCAAATTTTACGTATGACCCACAAGCACTTGGGAGGAAGGGCAATGTGGTCCCATACCTTTTGCCCCAACTTCAGAAACACAGAAATCACACTAATGTGATATACTGTATATCAATGAGAAAATTCCCTAGGGCTGTGAGATGGCATGAACCCATGACTCTGACTATTTTGTACCAGGAATGAATGTTGTGATTGATGAACACTTGTTCTCTCAAGCGACGACTGTGTTCAAGCAGCACATACCATCAAAGCGACACAGGTTAGGAGTAAAGTTCTTTGTATTATGTGACTGTGAAACTGGTATGGTCATGGACATGATACTGTATTCTGGTAAGGCTGTTGACATACCAGGTCAAGATCCACACGGGTTCTTATCCCGGACACAGACAACTACTATACCAGACCCTTGCTGACCACATTCCTCCTGGACTAAAATACTGGTGTAGGTCACACTGTCAAGCTACACAAGAAGGAAATGCCAGTGTTTGGCAAATCTGAGTAGTATTCTGTATAAAAAATGTATTTTTAAATTAATATTTTTGAGTGTGTGGAATGGATTAATTCAATTTACATTATTTATTATGGGAAAATGTTTCAGTTTATGAATTTTTGATGTACGAACTGTCTCTTGGAATGGATTAAATTTGTAAACCAAAGGTCCACTTTATGTGAGATTAGGCTTGTTGGTCAGTAGTTTTCTGCTGACAAGATTAAGCTTGGATAAAGTGTAATTGATAATGATAAAAAAAAATAAAAAACCAGCATTGAATGTAATGAAACACCATTTTCTGGGTAAGACCCGGAGGCTCGCCGGAGCTATATTGTGCTGTGTAGTATATATTAGACCGTGGCAACAGTCAATTGATGGAGTTCTAGGCCAACCGGGAACCATGCCACTCAAAGAGGTCCACCTCCGGGTGCCCAAACATCTGGCAGAGCCAAAGGAATGAGGTGTTGTCGATCATCCATTCTGTGGACAGGGAAATGAAATGGGATAGACCACCAGGACGTTGGACACCCCTTGGGTATGAACCACCAGGAGAGCCAAACCTCGAGAACTCGGCAGACGAGTCACCTGAAGCGACCAGCCCCAAAGAGCCAAGGAGCACATCGAACACAAGTGGTTCTACAGCCACACCAAACAGAACCCCCACCAAGCAAAACAAAACAAAAGAAAATAAACACCCCACAAAAGAACAACGTCTCCAGGAGGAACAGAACTGGCCGCTATGTGTATTAGAAGACAGCTGCACAGTACATTGTGCCCCTTCCAGCGACAATGCTACCTCCTACCCAAGGCCAAACAGGTAGGAAAAACCCCAAGGGCGGTCAATCACCAAACAGTAAAAGAACCCCGTGGAGGTCGCCCCCGAACAGTTTGTGGAAGGTAACCCCAAACTGCAAGAGCAATACTTACAGGGCACCTAGGAAAGGGAAGCCTAGGTGCATGCAGCCCCAGTACTTCAGAAATTACTCCAGAAGTAATGGCTCGTACACCACCACACTGCTCCTGACTCGCACACCACCACACTGCTCCTGGCTCGAACATAACCGCAACACAACACTACAAGGTGCAGCACTGCTCAAGGATTGGACTTGAAGCGATCAACTGCCACCAAACACGACACCCTCTGAACTGCGGTTGGGTAGCTGGCACAGGAGGTCTGGGACCCCCCTTTGCCCTCCCGGGGAGGGGGGGAAGTTGCACAGACAGCAGCGAGGCAGCTGTGGTGACGTCATGCTTGTTTTCGATTGGGGAGTTCTGCTTGCTAGTTCGGCTTTTGGTTTGCAGTTTTTAACCAGTTGTAGTTTGTTTTGGAATTCCTACCTTTCTGGGTGCCTGAATTGGTAGATAGCAGACATAGACTGACTGCTTCCAATTACACGGGGATGTCTATATGCCATTGTTTCTTGTGCCTCTGAGGGGGGCCAAGTTCCGGCACTGGTCCCCGGTAGGTCTAGAACTCCATCAACTGACTGTTGCCACGGTCTAATATACGGTATATACACATCAGCCCAGTATAGCTCCGGTAAGCCGAAGGGGCTCTCCACAGAAAAGAACACATTATAGGCTACACTTACTCATTTGTGACTTATAATATGATGAAGTGCTCTCAGTAGACCGTTTGGAGTGAATTGAGCGCTTACTAAGGGTTTGCTTGATACTGCGAGAACTGGAAGGTCGACTCAGTTGGGCCCTGTGACGAGCCAAACGGGCCATTTGATCAAGAGTGCCAGATTTCTTGCTTGGCATGGGCTGTGGAGCAATTTATACATAACATATGAAGTGAAGTAAAGTTTTAAATGTTATGTGCTCGGTAAGTGAGAAAACTGTTAAAGCACAAACCACCAAAAACAGTTAAAAGATGTTTTTGAAAGCAGTACAATATAGTCAAGTTTACTCTAATGTAGACAACGTATGTTGTGTGTGCTGTATTTGGAGTGTCCTCTAGTACACTGGTCAATGTTGTATCTGGAGTGTCCTTAAGTCAATATTCTATCTAGTGTGTTCAATAGTGTAGTAGTCAGTGTCATGTCTGAAGTGTCCTTTATTGCAGTGGTCAGTAATTATACCAAGTGTAGTTACAGGATGAGAGCTATGCTCGTGGTGTCCCATCTTCCCAGAATTCTTTGTCGTATGATGCTTTGAATCTGCTGATGGTTTTGGCCTCCACCACCGTCTCATATAACTTGTTCCAACTTTGCAAAACTTTCTAATGTATTTTTGGCAGCTTTGTTTCCTTTGTTTGAACATGTTCTCTTGTTCTTGAAGTTGTAGTTTTCAAAAATTCTTGTAAAATTTTGTTGATTCCTGTCACTGTCTTGCACATGGTGATCATATCACCTCTTTTTCTTCTATCTTCTAGTATTGGTATACAGTATTTAACACAACTAACTCATAGCTCTTATTTTTCAGTTCTGGGAGTCATCTAATTGCATGTCTTTGCACCTTTTCCAGTTTATTGATGTGCTTTTTAGATATGGTCACCATACAACCACAGCATATTTAAATTTTGGTCTCAAAAAGGTTGTGAACAATTTCTTCAATATTTTTCCATCCACGTATTTAAAAGTGGTTCTTTTAGTTGGAAAGTATAGCATAGGCTTCTTGTGCAATGCTCTTTATGTGGTCCTAGGGTGACAGTTTTTTTTATCCAGAACCACCCCTAAATCTGTTTTTCTTTCTTTATCAGAAAGATAAAGTTTTTTCACATAATTTGTAAGTTTTTCCTGATTTATCTAAGGGCCACTAACCCTAGTGGCCTCAACGAAGACAGGAAGCTGGCAGCTTGTTGAAGGTCCCCCCATTTGACTTGATCTTTTCCAGGGTATATTTTGAAATTCAGCACAGTTTTAGCAGTTTTTTTTTTTTTTTTTTTTTTTTTTTTTTTTTTTTTTTTTTTTTTTTGTTTTTTAAGATATATACAAGAGTTGTTACATTCTTGTACAGCCACTAGTACGCATAGCGTTTCGGGCAGGTCCCTGGAATACGATCCCCTGCCGCGAAGAATCGTTTTTTCATCCAAGTACACATTTTACTGTTGCGTTAAACAGAGGCTACAGTTAAGGATTTGCGTCCAGTAAATCCTCCCCGGCCAGGATACGAACCCATGACATAGCGCTCGCGGAACGCCAGGCGAGTGTCTTACCACGGAGACTAACAGTTATGGCTTCAGTGGGTAGGTGGTTTCATTGGTTAATAACCCTGTGGGTGAAAAAACATCTCTTTTCAGTTCTACAGTGTGTCTTTTTGAGCTTGAAACTGTTGCTCCTTTATAGTGTCACATCTGACCTGAAGAAAATATCTGGATCAACATCCTCTAACTTGTTCAGCATTTTAAAAGTTTCAATGAGATCCGCCTTGTCATACCTGGTTTACAGTGTTGTTAACCCTGTGGCCTTCAAGCATTCCTGATATGAGAGATGACTTAGCTCTGGAATGACCTTTGTTGCCCGGTGTTGCACCTTCTCTAGAGCAGCTATGTCCTTTTGAAAATAAAGTCTTCATGCTTGATACAGTAATCTAAGTGGGGCCACACCAGAGATTTATACAGTTGAATCATTACCTTCTTTCCCATTTCCCTTTCCTTTTCTATGCATAAAATAGTAATGGGAATCAACAAAATTGATAACAAATTAGTCTTGGAATCTGGAACTTCAAGAACAATAGGTTATAGTTTTAAGCTATAGAAACAAAGCTGGCACAAATTAGAAAGTTCACTTTTGCAAACAGAGTGGTAGATGGTTGGAACAAATTAGGTGAGATGCCAAAACCATCAGTAGTTTCAAAGTGTTATATGACAAAGAATACTGGGACGATGGGACACCACGAGTGTAGCTCTCATCCTGTAACTACACTTAGGTAATAGTTTTGGCTCTGCCTTCTTTACTATTTTGTCTTGGTGTTTCAAGCTCAGGGGGGTTTGGAAATCTACTAATCTACTGGGATCCAGTTGGTATAATTTTTGGAGAATATTCCTTGGCTATGCCGGGCTTGCATTTCGTTGGGTAGATTACCCCTGTGCTACTTGTCTTTTCTTCAGGGGTTACTGGCTGTTGCTCTCCTCTTTTCCCTGGTAAGATCCTATTTTGTGCCGTTCTACATGGTGAGATATCTTTGTAGGGAGGTTCAATTAACTAGTGGTGGTAATTGGCTAATGATTGTTTACCAAGTAAACAGGGATCTTGCTAATGTTTCTCATTACGCTCTACCTTTATGGTGACCTATGGTTGATATAATATTCCCAGATTCCCTGCACCTCTATTAAATAGTCCAGTTGCCGCTTTTGGTCAGGTAACAATTGTACTTTGTATTAATGATTTTGGTATTGAAAGATATGCAAATATTTCTTCATTCATTTGCACTAATAAAAACATAACAATTCTGGACATAAAATTAATATAAATTCAAGTTTGGCTGCAATATAAGTCTTTTCATAACAAATGTATCCCGAAAGAATCATTCTGTTTGAACAAGACTTCAATATACACATATATACATCTCTGAACATACCTTAAACCGTGGTGTTTCAGAGTGAGTTGTTGAATCATTAACTGTGTTAGGATCACTAGTCGAGAGCTTGTTAGTAATGACTTCACCATAGCGTGACATTGTTGCAGGAACTGTTGTAGTACCTGTCAAAGAAAAGAACACAAATATAATACCTAAAATAAAAAATAAACTAACAAATAATGAAATACAAAACATAAATATATGCAAATATTGCACGAGTTAAAAAATCGTCCTTTCTAACATTTCAATTTATTTGTGAATCAGGCAGTATAGTTATTATAATAAATATTATATTATATTATTATATATATTATATTATGGGTACCACCTCTGGTGCCAATGTGGGGACCCATAGCCTCGGAGAAGAAAATAAAAAGTATTCAGAGGAGACCTTGTGGTTTCTCACTGAACAGAGAACAGAGAATATTATATTATTATATATATATATATTCATGTAGAGAATCTAAAGATTTTAATACAAGTGCTTTTATCTAAATAAATTATGGCTCCTGGTGGTTTCTTTGTATATCTGTTGTCATATTGTGAGTTTTTTGCTTTTAAAGGTTACTCTTAATGAAATACTAAACTGTTCTACCATAATATTAGCGTGCTGCTAATTTACTGAGGGCCAAAAGTTTATACATCCATCTCTAACATCAGTGTACAGTACAGTATTACACTTTGTGTTTATATTTCAAATAGCTTAACTTAAGGAATAGCCGGCGACTTTACCAAGTCATCGTTTTGCCTTTTACTGACCATAATGTATGATGCGACGAGTGATGGTAATGGCGGTGGCAGCAGTGCTCGGGCTGGGATGAACAGGTGTTATGACACCCATCCATAGATTACTTGCAGGGCAGCAGTATACCTGTTATTATAACAGTTTGATGTTGTAAAGGTTAATATCTTTCTGCCATCTCTCGTACAAAACCAATTTTTATATATTTGTATTTTTATATACAGGAAGGTACAATAGGCTGTAAAGGTACATAAAATTCAAAATATATGTACTTATATAGCATGCTGTATCTTCCTGTATATATAAATACAAATATATAAATATGTATGATAATATGCTGGTGATTAAGTGGTACAGTCATGCAGGTTCTAAAGTTATATACAGAATTTGCAATGAATTTAAAATTAGAAGGTGAAGTAGTCAAATTTGAGTAAAAAAACAGTGTTGAATGTAATGAAACGCCCATTTTCTGGGTGAGACCCGGAGGCTTCCCGGAGCTATACTGGGCTGATGTGTATATATTAGAACATAGCAACAGTCAATCGATGGAGTTCTAGTCTACTGGGGACCAAATGCCAGAACCTGACCCCCTCAGACACGAGGAGCAATGGCCTATAGACACCCCCATATAGTTGGATGCAGTCTATGTCTGCCATCTACCAGGTCAGGCACCAGAAAGGTAGGAATTCCAAAACAAACTCCGGCTGGTTAAAAATTAGCAAACAGAAAACCGAACGAGCAAGCAGAACTCCCCAATCAGAATACAATAGTACCTCAGGTTACGAATGTCCCTGTTTATGAACTTTTTGGGTTACAAGCTTGATGTGTTCAGAAAATTTGAATTGGGATACAAACTTTGCGTCGGAATACGAGTTTCTTGATACACATACGGCTGACCTAGCTCGTGGTGGCACGGCAATCGCGCCTCAGTTTAACAGTGCCTCGCACCCAGTGACTATCCCACCTGAATTCTTCACAAGAATTTCCAGTTTTTTGTCGGATTTTTGGCCATTTGAGCATAAAAGTTGTTATTATATATCTCGCCTGTAGTGATGCCTCACTACAGACAAGTGTTACAAAGAAGAGAAAAACAATCTTCAATGGAACGTTTCCCTGTGAGAAAATGAAGAAGTGAGCCACAACCAGGACCTAGTGGTATGCAGGCAAAATGTGCCAGAATGTGCCAAAGTCAGATCCGACCCAATGGGTAAACCAGCAAGGCGAAGTTCAGGCTCCTGCACAGCTGCTCCAACAACCGACGAGTGACCCTAGTGTTCTCCAAAATCAGCCGATAGCGGGACTGCAGCCGCAGCAATGCTGCTGGAGGGCGAGCAATCATCGAACAGCAAAAGAACCCTGCGGAGGTAGTCCCCAAACAGTTTGTGGAAGGTAACCCCAAGCTGCAAGGGCAGTACTTACAGGGCACCTAGGGAAGGTGACCCTAGGCAAAGTACACCTGGCTCGTACATCACCACACAGCAGAAGAACACCGTAAGGCACAGCACTGCTCAAAGGATGGAACCAGAGTCGATCAACCGCCACTCAACACAACAGCTCAGAACTGGGGTTAGGTAGCTGGCACGGGAGGTCTGGGGCCCCTCCTACCACCTCTTGGGGAGGGGGAAGCTGCGTAGACAGCGGCACAACAGCTGTCGTGACGTCATGCTTGTTTACTTGTTTTCTGATTGGGGAGTCTGCTTGCTCGTTCAGCTTTTGGTTTGTAATTTTTAACTAGCTGTAGTTTGTTTTGGGATTCCTACCTTTCTGGTGCCTGACCTGGTAGATGGCAGACATAGCCAACTACATGGGCGAGGGTGTCTATAGGCCATTGCTCTTCATGTTTTTCAGAGTGGGTCACGTTCTGGCATGTGGTCCCCGGTAGGCTAGAACTCCACTGATTGACTGTTGCCACGGTCTAACATATACGTATAAGCCCGGAATAGCTCCGGGGCTGAGAGCCAAAGGGGCTCTCCACAGAACATAATGTAATGACAGATATATAATACAGTAACATAATTGAATTCACATACAGTATTACTGTATCAATATATGGTGGTGATAAATTATATTTGATATACAGTACAATAATTATGTCGCTTGATTGTAAAATACTAGGTGAGTTAGTAGCATAGTCATAAACCTCATTAACATATGGTATTGTAATTACTATATGGTACATACCTGGCATACTGGATCTTCATTAGGAACAGTTTCTTGACAATCTTCAGGTTTCCCAATGACAGGTGGTTTTGGAATGGATGGGCTTTGTGTAGTGCTCCCGAAGGTTGGTTTGGTGGTAAATACAACGGATGTAAGAGTGCCATCATCACTAGATAAGGAAGTTCTTTCTGTTGAAGCTGGCCGCAAAGTTGGCGTCACCATAGAGGATGACAGGAATATAGTGGTGGCTGTCGTTGTCCTGAAATGACAACACATAATGCCATAACTTTTGAAAAAAGAAAAATAATTTGTAAAATTTCTACAGACTATTACCTGTACATTATTTTCAATGTTTTGGCCATGTCTAACCCTTAGACTATTATGCCCTTAATAGCTGTCAACACTGCTGTGCACCAGAAATAAAAAAAGAATGGTGAAGTTGTTTTTGTCTTATAAAAGTGTTCATTTGTGTTTCCTGACCACAGGGGTGGGAGAGAGGGGGGGAAACGCAGGTGACATATTTTGGCCGCAATAGGGCGAGGAAATCTGACAAAATGTAGGCGTTGACAGCAAACATCGGAGGCGGTCAGCTCCGCCCGAGCTGTCTGGTGAGAGTTGCCACAAAGATATTACCTAATTATTTCAATGTTTCTGATTTATTTTTTCTTACCTTTTTTGCATTAATATTATTCAATAGTGTGAAGTGTGATATATTTGTATAATGTATGAATAATTGCTATACTGAAAAGTATGGTGTGCATATTAGTGATTCAATTATGTTCATAAAACAATAAACAAATAGTTTTTTTCTGTTATTACACTAAATACACACATTATATATAAGTATCTGCATGTTTTGTTCACATAACAAAGTTGGTATGGGGAGTCAAAACAACGAGTGACCACCGCACACCAGCTAGCAAATGCCACCTCCTTCCCTCCCTCACTAACACTTCACATGCCAACATTCATCCTACCACCAGCGGCTCTAGGGTCTCTACTTGTTTCAATTAGCTTGGAACCCAGCTCCTTCAAAAAACTAGCAGTACTTTTACCCCAGGCACCAAGTGTCTCTGAGGCAATGGAGACAAAATTGTAGTGGTGATCAAGATCTCTGTATTTATGCGACTTGGCTGCTTCACGATGATTGGCAGCACCTCCTGTCTGTGTAGAAGTTAACATAGGTGTTGGCTAGAGTTGAAATGCAAGTGTAGTCCCACACTAACTGTCTACCATTCTTCCAGGGGTTCACCGTGATCCCGTCTGAGCGACCGACAGGCTCATCAGAGTTACGGGGCATTAGGAAACGGAGTGCTCTCTCTGCTGGACAACCGGCTGTAGTAAGGCTTTTTTTAATAATGTCATTGACCTCACCATGTCTTGCATGCCATCCTCCTGTCCTTTGACAGAGAAGGCCAAAGCGAAGAGGAAGTTGCTGTGTTGCATATATATGCAGAGCCTTGCTGTAATCAGTAAAGTTCCCAAAGGAACAAAGCATACAATATTTAGGTATACAGAATATAAAAGCATAATGAGAGAAACTCAAAATAAAATGGTAACTTACATTGCTGTGGTCATGGTTAGCTCTTTGCGTCTTTCTTGGTAATCCAGAATATAGATAGTTGCCATTGCCATCAGACTGTCCAAATAAGATACATTATTTTAAAATAATATTAGTAATTACACTTCTGATAAACAATGGAAATGTAAATTCACATACAATATCAATATTAAATTAAGCAAATTGCAGTAAGGGTGGCATGCTTAAGCTGCATGATAATATTTTGTATGTCTTACCAAAATGCCATTATGCACACGAGAGTAATTGTGGTAACTTGAAGTGTCTTATTGCTGCAAATACCATCATCATGTGCACTGCCCATGTGCTTGTGACGCTTGGAACAGCCACGATTTCGGTGACACACTGATGATACTCGGGATGTAGCTATAATATTAAAAAAAATTTTTTACTTATTTGTTTCATATATTTAGACCAGTTAACTTACACGTGTATGAAATATTTATTTTCCAAAACTTCATAATAGTTACACAATTAATCCTACTTTTTTTTTTTAAACTCATACAGTGCTACAGTGCAGCATGAAGTAAACATTAAATATTAAAATTGGTTCAACCACTGCACTGCGCAACGCACCATGAGGCTCTCGGTCAGTGGTGTGCAACGCGCCTCAGTGCTTTCATGGGTACAGTATATTGTACGATTCAAAAGCAGCGGCCTTTCTCACACATGTTAAACTCAGTGAGGCCCGTGCATGCTCCAGAATTTGATGGAAAAACTGTACCCAAATGGATCCATGAGTGTCGTCGATATCTGGCTGTTTAATTCACATAACATCATTAAATTATCTGGCCCCTCACCTGAAGTGCGGGTCGATACAGATGATGATGTTGACTTGAAGGATTCAAATCTTCGAAGCTGTGATATTTTCTTATTCATTATTTCAAGTTCTCCAATTCGGTTTTCTAAATTTCCCGTCACCTTGCACAGTTCCTTCACTGCCCCAACATTCTCCATGAATATGCGCTCCTAGAAAGAAAATATAAATAAGTAGTAATGCTGAATTCATGTTGAGAAAAAACCCATCCTCCCAAAATTATAGTACTTACAGCAACTATTGGTCTTATTCATTATCACTATCATATTTACTACCACCACCTTACTCACTATTATCACCTTACTCATTATCACTATCATATTTACTACCACCACCTTACTCACTATTATCACCTTACTCATTATCACTATCATATTTACTACCACCACCACCTTACTCACTATTATCACCTTACTCATTATCACTATCTTACTATGACCACCTTGTTCATTATCACTACCTTACTATCTATCATCAACACACTCATTGTTACCACCTTACTATCATCATCTTACTTATTATCATCACGTCACTATTATCATCCCCCTCATCATTATCAAAACGAGGTTTACAAAGTCGTCTGGATCAGAGTAAGGTGATGATAATGAGTAAGACAGTAACACTGAGGAAAGTGATGTAATGATTCAGGTACACGTAATTACACTTAGGTAATTACCTTAATCATTATCATCACCTTCCTCACTATCATCATCTTACTCATTATCACCTCTCTCTGATCCAGACAACTTCCTCAAAAGGTCAGATGTTAACACAAACAAGGATCAATGGTTTCAAGCTAAACAGGCCACAATGTAGGACAGGAAATAAGAGATATAAATTGTCATCCACACTTCCATGGAAATAAACATTCCATTCGCCTGGGCTGTATGGGTCTCGAACCGTGGACTCCAATAGAGGCCGAAGCTCTATAAAGTGTGGATGAGACTAATATATGAGTGTGTATTGAATTTATGACAGTTGTATTATAATACAACATCAAGTGGCAATATATACAACAATACTGGGAAAATTTTGTTTTTGTAAAATATGCCGTAGCTACTGTAAATAATGCCGCAGAAATAAATTTGCGGTAACTCGGGCGGCTTGAATGACCCGCGCGACGCCTCCCCGACGCAGCATGCTTGAGCGAGCAGGCTGGATGATGTCATCGGCGAACTTCTCACCTCATTTACTTCATTGGTAAGTACAGTTAATTTTTATTTTTATTTTTCCTGTGCTCAAAGAACACAAATGAACACTTTTATAAGAAGACAATTTTTGAGGGACTTTATTGTTGTTGCGCCTGACGGTGTTGAAGCCCTTAAGACCCTTAGCAGCATAAGGGTTAATGAAACACAACTCTTAGTGTCATGCCAAAAAAAACTAAAAATGGACTTTTGATGAGTTAATTTTTAAACTTCCTTCTAAAGTGAAGAAAAAATGTAAGGAAAATAGAGAAGATTCGTGCAAGAATCATTGATCTCACCCTTTCAGTCACATTCAATAATACAGTATATGCCTGCAGGAAAGACTCCTACCAATATATACTACTGTAATATATATATACACTGTACAGTATATATCAAATAAATAACTTCATTACCTTGTTAACCAATAGAAAGTTCTCAATTTTTTCTCCATTAGATAAAGTGATGTCACCAGTTGTTTTGACTGCATCTGGAATAACTTCTTTTACCTGAAGGAAGAATGTTTAATATTAGTAACAAATGTTGAACACTTGTTTTAAACTTTCTTAATTACCAAATGAATGGAGTATAAGACATAGAATCTTGCATTTTTTACTGTAACATTACTGCAATCATTATATACCGTGTTCACAATAATTCTAAAATAATTACTGTACCAATATTGCATGAAGAACAGCTTTATGATTGGTGCAACATTAATGGAAGCAACTGCAGACAATTAAAAAAAGGGAGCTGATCATATTCAGCAGTGCTCAAAATTGCAACCATTTAACATGTGTGCCAAACAAGTTGTAAATATATACTGACCTCTTGGGCTATGACACCGGTGTCATACACATCGTCACCTGTCATGCCAGCCTGGTCTGCAAACTCTTCTCTGTATGCATATTTCACCACTCTTAAATTTTGTACATTTTTTAGCTGCTCCTTTGTATCTATCTGAAATATAATATGACTGTTAACACTAACAGCATCTAATTTATTTTCTATTCATTACTCATCCTATGGTGGCAGTTCATTATGCACCTGTTTATCCAATGGTGACAGTTCATTATGCATCTATCCTATGGTGAAAGTTCATTATACATTTATCCTAGGGGTAATACAGTAGTTCATTATGCACATATTCATCCTATGGTGAAAGTTCAATATGCACCTATTTATCCTATGATGATAGTTCAGTATGTACCTATTCATTCTATAGTGATAGTTTACTGTACACCCAATATGCATCCTGTTAATGGTAATTTATTGTGAACTACATACTCATGCATTGAGTATGTGAAACTAATGTGAGCATTAGTGTCTGAGAGACCCCCCCTTATGTCTACCTGGGAGCTAGTTGGGAGTTATCTCTCCAAGATGGCTCCCAACTTCTAGCTTGCATCAGCCATGGAGTTCTTAGGGATACCAGGGACCAGAGCCAGAACCTGGCCTCCCTTAAAGAGGCGCTGGGAGAAGATGACAATCCGTAACCTCACTGGGAAAGGCAACCAGAAAGTCAGCGAACCAAAACAGACAACAGCTGGATTCAAAGTAGATCAAAGACTAGCAACCTGCCTAATGACCTCCCAAATGATGCAAACAAACAATTAAATCTCTCAAAACTAGTATTTGCTTGTCTGCTTGTTCTTACAATGATGTAGTTCTTACCCCATCAGTTCTTACTCTGTCGAATGAGATACTGTTGTTCTACACCAGAGTCGTTCTTACTCTGATGTGCACTTGACTGCAGTAAGGTCAAGTAGGGTTGCTACTCTGCTGTGCAAGGCTCCACTGTTTTTCAGCTAAGTGCTTTTGGGACTTTGCCTTCTGTGTACACTGTAGTGTGTTTGGAGCTGCATGTGCTCAGGTCTCTCTTCCCTAGGTGCTTCCTAGCACTGCCCTTGCACTGACAGATTTCCTTACCAGGTTGATACCTGGTTGATGGGGTTCTGGGAGTTCTTCTACTCCCCAAGCCCGGCCCGAGGCCAGGCTCGACTTGTGAGAGTTTGGTCCACCAGGCTGTTGCTTGGAGTGGCCCGCAGGCCCACATACCCACCACAGCCCGGTTGGTCCGGCACTCCTTGGAGGAATAAATCTAGTTTCCTCTTGAAAATGTCCACGGTTGTTCCGGCAATATTTCTTATGCTTGCTGGGAGGACGTTGAACAACCGCGGACCTCTGATGTTTATACTGTGTTCTCTGATTGTGCCTATGGCACCTCTGCTCTTCACTGGTTCTATTCTACATTTTCTTCCATGTCGTTCACTCCAGTACGTTGTTATTTTAATGTGTAGATTTGGTACTTGGCCCTCCAGTATCTTCCAGGTGTATATTATTTGATATCTCTCTCGTCTTCTTTCTAGTGAGTACATTTGGAGGCAAGGGCCTTAGAGGCCCTTGCCTAGGGTGAGTCAGGAGTCTTGTGGCCCCTCTGTTTTGGCCTGGGTCGTGAGCAACACTGGTTGGAGGAGCACACTGGTAACTTGTATTTTTAACATTTATGGTGTTCAGAGGTTGGTGCCTTCACAACCATGTAGCCCGGGCTGTGTCAGCTTACTTTTAGGTCCAGCATAGTGGCCTGGTGCTTGGATGTACTGCTTCATTTACCCTTTGAGCCCTGGAAATCCCAATGAGTTCGGTATTTACCTATTTAGCTTCGGGGAGCCGAAGGGGCTCCCCCCAGAAAACCAGTGTTGAATGTAATGAAACACCATTTTCTGGGTGAGACCCGGAACCTCCTCGGCAACCCTCCCTCCCTCCAGTCAGCAGCTTTCATGGGTTTTGATATCCAGCCTCAGATAGCTGGTGCGGGGGTCTGGAGCTCCCCCTCCCCCTCCTGGGGAGAGGGAAGCTGTGTAGACTGTGGTGGCGGTTGTGACGTCATGCTCGTTTGTTTTTGTTTGGGGCAGTCCTGTCCAACAGTTCGACTTTCAGTAACAATATTTTAACCAGATAGGGTTTGTTTTGGGGGCCTAACTTTCTGGGTGGCAGACCCAGTCGATGGCAGACATAGAATGCTTCCAACCACATGGGGAATCCTATAGGCCATTGCTCCTCATGCCTCTCTGAGAGGGCCAGGTTATGGTTCATGGTCCCCGGTAGGCCTAAGAACTCCATTCACTTTGACTGATGTCAGGGTCTAATACATTCATATCAGCCTGGATAGCTCTGGGAAGCCTCCGGGTCTCCCCCAGAAAATGGCATTTCATTACATTCCATGCTGGTTTTTTAACACTTTCCTGGATTTTCGACTTGGACTTACGGGCGGTTTCCCTAACCGCTTGTCGGATCACGACGTAAATTTACGGACCGTGTTTTATATTGGGTATTTACTACTCGATCGACTTGGGGTTTGTATGAATATGTTTGCCATTAAATTTTTGTTTTCTCTAATAGGCACTGTGCCTATTTGAGAAAACGGCAATGTATTGTAACTTAGAGGAGAGACTATTGAATTGGTGTCACAACGAGGGTAATCGCGCACTCCACACACTCTTGTGTTGGCCGCAATCATGATTCAACATTTATATGCATATGTCTGTGTAGAGAATTTTATTCCGAACACTATACAAACAAAAAAAACGGAGTGAATCAAGTATAAACTTGAAAAAACATGAGCAAAGTAAAAACTTTTTACGCTCACGGGTACAAACACGCGTAAGATTCGCGTAAGATTTTATTCGCCGCAAATTTATTTGACGCTCTGTTGGCCAATTCTACCCACGTTCTTATAGAACTTTCTATTGCAAACACATTCCTATAAAAATGAAATACGTAGCTCAAGAAATAATGTCATGACAGTGAAATAAGTATAAACTTTTAAAGCGCTGCATCACAACAGTGTCGTCGCTGCTGAAATCACGGCTAACGCTTCGCCCAGTTCCCACACTCTTGCGGAACATAATTAGACATTGATAGGCATATGTCTGGGTGGGGAATTTTATTGCGAGTTCAGTGATATCAAAATAAGCGCTGTAGGATGACTATGAGGCTGGCAACAAACGAAAGAATATGAACATTTACTTCCTGTTTGGGTGTCACGGCGAGTCATCTTCGTGTTTATTTACTTCGTGGTGGGATAGCAAATGCTTGGGTGACATTTTATGCATATGATCCTGTAGAGAATTTTATTGCCAACGCATTGATACCAAAATGAAAAACGTAGCTCGAGAATTGATGTTAGGAGCGTGAAAAGATGATAAACTTTTTTGTGCTCACGCTTGAGCGCACAGAACGCCGCGCGCACAACCCGCTTTTTTTTCCAGGGAGTGCCGCGCGCACTAAAGTGTTAAGTTAATATTTTTGGGATGTGGAACGGATTAATTAAATTAATATTATTTCTTATGGGAATATTTGTTTTGGTTTACAAATTTTTGGTGTACAACGTGTGTCTGGGAATGGATTAGGATCGTAAACAAAAGTACCACTATGTATAGTACACTAGGTACTATACTGTATATGCATTATATTAGGCCTAGGATGGTTAGGTTAGGTTTTATTAGCAACATAATTACAAAATCTTTTCTGGTTTGTTCAAATTCAATATTACCAAACTCTATTTTCTATTGCATCAATATATGTATGGTGGTCCACATAGTTATTATAAGTACTATCTAAACAGGAGGGTGGCTGATGCGACCTAGTAGATGGGAACCATCTCACTACAGTATATTGCTTCTGGGAGCTACAAGGGGCTTCAACCAGAAAGTGGCACAGACACCAACATTTAACCAAACCACACACTAGAAGATGGAGAACTACTTCTTCAGATACGTTATTGGGACTCATCAACTGCAACAGCATTTACCTCGGCCACATCCTTCTTGGCACGTTTATCTGAAGGCTGAAGTAATTGTCCGGTGATCTTGAGGTTGCCATGAATTACAAGTGCCTCATCAGGTCGGTCTGTATTAATACCCACACGGCCCATGTGGTATATAGATTCAGGGTATGTTCCTCGCTGGAATGTGTACTCGACATCACTTTCAAACTGACCTGGATTTGATGCCTGAAAAAATATATTGGCTGCATTATTTATGAAGAACAGTTAATTTAAAAAATATTAAGATAATTTTTTTTTAATAGAGTGACTAAGGAAGGGAACGATGATTCTTTATGCTAACATTCTATATATTACAATGCAAACAATATTAAGAATATTGAGAAAGACCTGACCTGACTCATCAACTGCAACACTCTTACAAGGTTCTCAGAGTCCCACTTATGGACCAGGAACAACAAGGACACTCACCGAAGGGATGAGGTTAACTTTGACCATGCCTGAGGCCAACCACCCCACAATGACCAGACTCAAAGGCAGGGAAGAAACATGATCTGAAAGCCCCGACCCCAAGAAAGGGGAAGAGACCAACCAACTCTACTGCAGGCCATGGGAGACAACCCAAAATGCCCATGAATAATGAGACCAGGAGCTGGTAAAATCAGCCAGATGCCTCCCTTTGGCATCATTAATGGGGCAAACCACAAAAGATTCAGCATACCATGAGTAGAACCATCCTTCCACGACATATAGTTGTAATGTCTAACAAAAAAGAACTTGCAGCAGTAAGTGTAATGATCTGGGAATCTGACTCTCCCAAAGACCTACCTTGACCAACAGCAGGTGAGGTTCCAACCCTACCAGTCTACCTCTGAATAGGGACAGAACCTCGAGAACACAACAAATGATCAATAGGCCGACAGAAAAAAACCACTGCAGACTTTGGGATATGGCATCCTCTGGAAAGAAGAGGCAAGAAAGGAGAGGTGGACAAAAGGGAAAGGGGCCAAGCGAATCTAGAGAATGGTGGACAAAAGGGAAAGGACCAAGCAAATCACAGAAAGTGCTAACATGGCCCATGACATGCAAAGAGGACTGATTAGGCAAAAAAGGAGAGGGGGTGAACATTTTGGACAATGCTGCCAAGGCAGAAACTGAAGACTTCAAGGCCTCCACACCAAGGATGGTACCAAGCAAAGCCACATCCTCATGAAGCTTCCCAGCGAGTCCCTCCAAGAGGACCCAAGCTTGAAAGACGTCTGCTGTAAGGAAGAGAGCTTTGTAGTATATTTAAATAATGATTGTGCTGTAAAGTGTACTTTCAATACTCCTGTCAAAGCAGTAGCTAGCCCTACACATGCACAACAATATATTTACAGTGGGAGAACTATTTCCTCTGGTATAATCACTGACAGAATAAATGACCACTATACTACCTTCCTCATAGTAAACATGGACATAACACCATGGAATACCCCAAAAAATAACCTTCAAACAACACAGATAAGCAGCAATAGGCAATTCCTTTTTCTCTAGGAATCCAAACTTAATCATAACTTGCTTCTTCTAGAAGGTAACCTTAATTTTTAGAACCTCTATCTCTAGAAGCTTGCCATAAATCAATATCTTATAGAAACTGTTCTAGATCAGAACTTTCTCCTCAAGAAGCACATCAAAGATGAAGCCTCCTTCTCCAGAAGTTCTTTCTAAAAAACTAATTTCCTAGAAATGTGCCATAATCAGAACCCCAAAACTAATTTAAATCCAAATGCTTTGCATAGACCCATAAAAATTCCAAATAAAATGCATTTCTTTAGATGTGAAGATCTCCCTATTATAATGGTTTTCAACCTGGGACTCACATACCCTTATAAGCACTAGGTTATACATACCTCAGGCAGTTTGGCATGCTTTTTAATAATTTGATTTTGCTCAAACTCCAAATAAGCAGCATTTTTGGAATTGATGCATATCCCCCCAAATATTCCCTTTTCATAACCCAGGTTGATAAGTCCTGCTTTACTAGCACTCACTCTGACGATGATCTTTTCTGAGGCATGGGCAGCAATGGGGTAGGCATTGTCTCCACAGTGAGCTTTAAGAGCCACCACCAAATAGAAGTAGCGTTGATCCGGGTTGGGCTTGCCCTTCTTACGCATATTGTTGCTTGTGGTTTCAGAGAAATGCAGACGACCCACTGTGATCTTGCTCATCTGGTCATTCTTCAGGTCAACACTGTGGGCAGAGCAGTAGGGGCAGGTACAGAGGGGAAAATATACTCATGATCAGTGGAGGCACTTATCATAAAGGTTTATTTTGGTAAAAAAAAAACAAAAAACTGAGGTTTGAAGGGATGAATAAACTATCTGTATATTTTTGAGAAAGTGAACAAACAAGAAATATTTTTGTAGGGACTTTTAAGAAGTAAGATGTTCAACTGAAAAATATTTAAAAAAATAGTACACATTCTCATTAAGAATCCTTAGCAGTCATAATTTAAATTACTGTAACTTAATTCATGAAATCATTCAAAAGGAAGAACTCTATGTATCACTATGTACTGTAATCTAATTTTTAGTTATATGTATATAATTTTTTAATTTATTTAATTTTTAAAATACTGTAGATGCTTACGGTACTGGGTGGAAGGCCTTCTTACTCCTGTCACTTTGGCTCTGTTCCACGCGTATCATTTGTGATGGAGACTCTGTTTTGACACCAAAAAAGTGCACATAGAAGCGGTCCACTTTTTGCAGGCCATCTGGACTCTTCACAAACACAGGTTCACCAGATGCCTGTCAAGAGATGCAGAAGCTGCCGTCATTGGAGAATTGACATAGGATCTATTTTGTTGCTACAGTATTCAATTAAGTTTTTGTGATAAAGAATATGGAGCAACAGTTATGATGATGAACCTTAAGCAGAAATTATTTTGTTGCTGAAGGACCATTAGAGGAGTTAATGTTATTGAAGAATTCAAAAGAAATTAATCAATTGTTATGTGATACACAAACTGGGATCTAAGAAGTTATAGATTCACAAAGTACCCTCGCATGTGTGGGTCTGAGACACACAATCCCCCCCCCCTTGTGTGGTCTGGGACACACTACCCCCCCCCCTTGTGTGGTCTGGGACACACTACCCCCCCCCCCTTGTGTGGTCTGGGACACACTACCTCCCCATGTGTGATAAATATTAGTTGGCTTCCAACTTGTTGCAAATACAATACACTTGCACTTAATGCAAATTGCAGTACGGAGTGTAGGGCCACCGCACTGTATAAGGTCTCTGGATGTAGATATGTTTCTCTTGCAGACATAGGTATTGCTAAAAGAAAATCCCCTACATGAATGGGGCCCACTCATTTCTCTAAATCAGGCTTTTTCCTGTGGTGACATTGTAGCATGGCCTCAGCTATTGCCTTCCATTGGGCTGTACCAGCTGGACCTTTTTTTTTTTGCTGAATTTGGTTTGGTATAAATATGAGCTGCCTTGTACAGGCCAAATGGTCTTCTGTAGTTTTATTTATTCTGTTGTTCTTATGGATGATGACCCAAACATTAACAGGGCCCTGGAGGAAACTGACCTGGACATGAAGTAATCTGAAAGTTACTGACCTGGACATGAACAGTGACCTGGAAGTGATTTTTCTTCTGGCAGACAAAAGCTTCATCTGGGTTAGAGAAGTTGAAGCCTTTATCAGCATCCACACGGAAAGTTGGCAGTGGTCTGTTTGTATATAAAACAATTTGTTAGTGAACCAAAATTAATCATATTCTAATATACTTCAGAATTGTAGGTGTAGCTACTGAAGGCATGTGTAACTCACAGCTCTTTCAAGGCAGAATCACAGAGGGCAGCCCAGGAGTGCTGCTGGAAGTTGTGGAACCGGATGCACTGGTAGGAGGAATCCATGAAGGGTCCACCAGTTGAATCCATGGTGTACTCATCCTCTTCTGAGTACGACGTAACTGCCACGTTAGGTCCAAGATGGCTCGTTACTCCTTGGTCTGGGGAGGGTATATAGGATGTTACTCTCTAGTTTATGGAAGGGTTTGGAAGGACGTTACTCTGTGGTCTGTAGCGAGTATTGAAGGACGTTATTTCCTGGTCTGTAGAGGGTATTGAAGGATGTTATTCCCTGGTCTGTAGAGGGTATTGAAGGATGTTATTCCCTGGTCTGTGGAGGGTATTGAATGACGTTACTCCCTGGTCTGTGGAAGGTATTGAATGACGTTATTTCCTGGTCTGTAGAGGGTATTGAAGGATGTTATTCCCTGGTCTGTAGAGGGTATTGAAGGATGTTATTCCCTGGTCTGTGGAGGGTATTGAATGACGTTACTCCCTGGTCTGTGGAAGGTATTGAATGACGTTATTCCCTGGTCTGTGGAGGGTATTGAATGACGTTATTCCCTGGTCTGTTGGGGGTATTGAATGATGTTATTTCCTGGTCTGTGGAGGGTGTAGAGGATGCAACCCGTTCTAGCACTTGCTTTTAGTATATATTGGCTTATTTAATAAGTGCATATGTGACATATTAATTGATTGTGAATATTTTAGTTTACCTTGAAAAGCTTCATAGAAAACACCGACCTCACCTAACCTCCTTAGTATGTTAAGATAAGCATCTTATTGCTTCTTATTTACAATTATTACTTAACCTATCAATGGTATAGGTTAAGTAATAATTGTAATCAAGAAGCAATAAGATGCTTATCTTAATTACTAAGGAGGTTAAGTGAGGTCGGTGTTTTCTATGAAGCTTTTCAAGGTAAACTAAAATATTCACAATCAATTAGTATGTCACACATGCACTTATTAAATAAGCCAATATTGACTGTAAGCAAGTGCGAGAACGGTTGGAGGATGTTATACCTTGGTCTGTGGAGGATATAAAGGATTACCTGAATTTACCTGAGGACCACTAATACTACTAACCTCGACGAGGACAGGAAGGTGGTGGCTTGTCAAATTTGCCTTGATGATCTGTTTCAGTTGAATTTTAAAATTTAACAGTTTTGGCATTTATGGCTTCGGCGGGTAGGTGGTTCCATGGGTTTAATAATAATAATAATAATAATAATAATAATAATAATAAATATAATAATTATAATAATAATAATAATAATTCATTGTGTCGGGGGACAGGAAGCCAGAGTGTATTCGTACATTATAGGCTTATATAAAGGTCATCCAAAGCTTGAATTACTGACCCTCCCCCAGCATGCAACCCCACAAGAAGTTGACGAACTCCTGGGTACCTACTTACTGCTAGGTGAACAGGAACATTGGGTGATAGGAAATGCGCCCTACTATTTCTGTCCCGCCCGGGACTCGAAGCCTAAATTTTCAATTGTGTGTCGAGAATGAACCCGACTGTACTACCAAGACCCTTTTTTATAGCCCTGTGGGTGAAGCAGCATCTCCCTATTCTCAGACCAACATTGTAGTTTGTTGAGCCTGAACCCTTTGCTCATTGTTTGTGTTACATCTGACCTGAAGAAATTGTCTGGATCAACATCCTCCAAGTTGTTCAGTATTTTAAAAGTTCCAGTGAGATCTGGCCTGTCATGCCTGGTTTGCAGTGGTCCGTCTAATAACCAAAAGTTACCCAAAGCTTCCTAGCATTATAAATAAATAATAAATAAATCTTTATTTAGGTAAGGTACATACATAAAGAGATTTTACAAAGTTTGTTGGGTTAATAGATAGAGCTAGTAAGTATAAGAGCTTATGTATAAGTATAGAGCTTATAAGTATAGTTATAAGTATATATATATATAAGTATAGTTATAAGTATATATATATAAGTATATAGTTATAATATACTTAAGTATATAGTTATAAGTATAGTATGTAAGTATAGAGCTTATGTAAGTAACGAAAACATATGATAAATTTACTCCCTATAATAATGGTGCTGAATGTAGAACATGAAAAAAAAAACGTTTTTACTCTGAAATAATATCACTATATAACGAAATTGGGTCCATCTAATTATCCAAAGCCACAACAATGTCGCTTGGATCGTCGACTTCCCATGGCGTCACTTACTTTCATCTAATTTAGTTATAAAATTATATTGTTTCAGAGAAAAAAATGTGTTTTTTTCATGTTCTACATTCAGCACCAACATTATAGTGAGTAAATATATGATATTTCTTCATTAGTTACATAATGGTAGGAAGCTTTGGGTAATTAGACTTTGGGTAATTAATACGGACCCAGGGTAGGGTGCAGCACGCCCTGAGCTACGGCGACCAGCGCATGATGGGATGGCCATCATATTTGTATTTTATTTTTTATGTATTTTATATATACAAGAATTCTTATATTCGTGTGCAGCTACTAGCACGCATAGCGTTTTGGGCAAGTCCTTAATCCTAATTTTCACGTACACACATCTTCAGGAAGCAACCCGTAGCATCTGTACAACTCAGATTTACTGCTGGGTGAACAGGAGCATCAGGGTGAAAGAAACTCTGCCCATTACTTTCCGCCTCCACCGGGGATCAAACCCGGACCCTTAGGACTACGAATCCCGAGCGCTGTTCACTGAGCCTTCAGGCCCCTGACGGCTGATCAACTCAACGTACTGGCGCTCCAGTGCATCTTACAAAATATTTCTGGGTTACTTAATGCACGACAGAACCCATAGTGTTTCCCGATCAACCTTCCAAATCTCTGATAATAGCCTTCCCAGTTTGGTGCCTTCTTTTGATAATTACTTCCAAATGCCTGCAGTGTTACCAGGGAGCAACCTTTCAAATCTCTACAGTGTTGCCAAACCAATCTATTAATGTGACGTAACAGGTGCCAAGGCGGTGTAATATCGGCGACTAGCAAATGGTGTCAAGGTAGTGTAGCAGGTGATTGGTAACCGGTGTCGAGGCGGTGTAACCTGGGCACATAATGAGAGAGGCAGGCGAGCATTCATCATAGCTCAGCTACACGCACCACAAATTCTTATTACAAATATCTGCGAGTGTCAAGAGTCGCTAAATATAGCGAGGGTCCGAGCTCGCCCAAGGGGCCAGGACAAATACTGAAGCATTATGGACGATTTAGGTATCAAAACAGTCTTAGAGTTGGAAGACATGGTTAAGCCAGAACTGTGAATCATTTATCGTGAGGTGGAAGTTGATGAGCAGGTATCGGTGAGGGAAGCCGAGAGTATAATTAATTATACACTTATCACGGCGTAAATATCCAGGTATACGAGTTACCTGCATGTTGGTGAATGACGTTACGGAAATTGGAAACAAATATATTTAAACCGAAGGATTCTAAGATTGTGTTCAATTAGGAATGTGACACGAGTGTTTGTGTGGGTTGAGCTCCAGCTCTTGGGGTTCAGGAGAATGAGCTCCAGTTCTTGGGTAGAGGAGACTAACCATCGTCCTCTATACATATTACACTAAACTCTCCACTGGTTGTTAACAATTGGGGGGGGGGGGGAGGGGCAGTCCCCCAATTGTTAACCGTCCCCCGTCCTCTCCACTGCTAGCTTGCCCTCAAGGAGCCACGCTTGAAGATGATCTAAAGTGGATATGGATAACTAAGTTCTGCACATTCATATATATAGCTGGCTGGATTCATATACAAGACTTAAAATACTGAACAATTTGGAGGTTGTTGATGGAGACGACAAGGTGTTCAGGTCAGGTGTAACACCACCAAGGACCAACGGGTTCAGGTTCAACACCCACAATGTTGGTCTGGGAACACCAGATGCTGCTTCACCCACATGGCTATAAACCCATGGAACCTCATACCTGTCGAAGACATAAATGCCAAAAAACTTAAATATTAAATTCCAACTGGAAAAGATCAAGGCAAATGGGGGGGGGGGGGGAGAACCTTCTTCGACAAGTCGCTGGCTTCCTGTCATCGTCGAGAACATTAGTGTTACTGGCCCTCAGGTAAGTAATTCAGTGACACCTCGTCGTCGTGTTTAACATCTCTCATAGTGTGTGTGGCATAAACATCTCTCATAGTGTGTGTGGCATAATGTCAACATTTGAAGGTTTATGCTTGAGTGTGTATCCTCACCTGGCTCTTGCTTAATGTTAACCATGGGACCCATACCGCCAGAATCATTCATCTTTCTCTTCTTAGCCGCAGCCACCGCCGCCGCCCCTGGAGGTGCGGCAGGAGAGGCTGCAGCATTAGCAGCGCCGCCAGAAGCAGGCCCCTGGCTCACTACACTCTGCGGCCCGCCGTAGACTGCCGTAGACGTAGACCCCAGTCCTGCGGCAGGCACTGACGACCCGCTCAGATGAGACCCTCCCAGCATTATTGGCTGCTGATATCCCAGGCTGTTGTTGCCATGCATGGGGTTGTGTGAGGTGGGGTTGGGGAGGGCCTGCGTAGCCTGTAACACGGGGTACGAGGAGAAGGCCATCATATTGCCGCCAGGGGCGCTGCTGTACAGGTCGACAATACCACCAACCTTCTGGTCTGTAAGCCACGAGAACACACAATCACCACTTGACAGAAATAGTCTCCACAGTGTTGGAATAACAGCTATATTTAGTAACGCCCCCCTCCCTCCTCCAAAAAACAATTAGGATCTAAAATATATATCAACATATGTGCCCCATTATATTTCGAGTGCTAAATATACGTTCAAAAAGCTGCCCATTGAGTAAGTAGAGTTGAAGAAGAGGAGAAGTGTTGGAGGCGAGGGTTGTCTCTCTAGCCAGACCTCGTGCACAGCATATCAACTCCTCCACCGTATTCACAAGGTGCCCTCGGAAATACTAAGGGAGGGAGGGAGGGAAGGAAGGAGGGAGGGAGAGATTGGGGGGGGGGAGAAAGGAAGAGATGGAGAGAGAGAGAGAGAGAGAGAGGTAGGAAGGGGAAGGAGGGAGAGTGGGAGGAAGAGAGGGAGAAAGGAAAGGAGAAAGAGATAGGAAGGGAAAGGAGGGAGGGAGAGACTCAAGGGAAAGGTGGCGTGGGAGGAGAAAATAATTACCACAAAGGCCACGGGAGTAATGAGGAAAAATATTTATAAAGAGTGAGCAGTGGGCCGGCGAGGCTGGGCTCTACTGGCCTCTCCTCTTGTGTATGTTACCGGAACACTGCTCGCTTGGCCACGGCGATATTCACCTTTGTTGGCAGTTTACTGCCTTTTTGGAGAGGCATGTTCAGGTCAGGAGAGAGTTTACTTGCTTGATACTTACTCTGGTGGGTGAGGAGAGAGTTTACTTGCTTGATACTTACTCTGGTGGGTGAGGAGAGAGTTTACTTGCTTGATACTTACTCTGGTGGGTGAGGAGAGAGTTTACTTGCTTGATACTTACTCTGGTGGGTGAGGAGAGAGTTTACTTGCTTGATACTTACTCTGATGGGTGAGTAGAGGACACAAAATGAACCGTTTTCGTGACGCTGTGAAACCTTAGGTGGACGGGCTGACATATTAAGGTTTGGGAAGAGTGGGAAGAGGTATACTCAGGTGGAGAGAGGTATACTCAGGTGGGGGGATGTATACTCACGTGGAGAGAGGTTTGGGTGGTCGAGGGGGGAGTAGGGCTCGGAGCCAGAGTCAGGCGGACTATCAGGAAGGTGGTGCCTGTGTGGAGGAGGAGGGCGGGGCGGCATATTAGTGTTTGGATCAAGTCTTGAGGCAGTAAATATCTCATGTTACACCCAGGACTACCCAACGTGTCCTGTTACTCCCAGGACTACCCAACGGTGTCCTGTTACACCCAGGACTACCCAACGGTGTCCTGTTACACCCAGGACTACCCCACGGTGTCCTGTTACACCCAGGACTACCCAACGTGTGTCCTGTTACACCCAGGACTACCCAACGTGTGTCCTGTTACACCCAGGACTACCCAACGTGTGTCCTGTTACACCCAGGACTACCCAACGTGTGTCCTGTTACACCCAGGACTACCCAACGTGTGTCCTGTTACACCCAGGACTACCCAACGTGTGTCCTGTTACTCCCAGGACTACCCCACGGTGTCCTGTTACACCCAGGACTACCCCACGGTGTCCTGTTACACCCAGGACTACCCAACGTGTGTCCTGTTACTCCCAGGACTACCCAACGTGTGTCCTGTTACACCCAGGACTACCCAACGGTGTCCTGTTACACCCAGGACTACCCAACGGTGTCCTGTTACACCCAGGACTACCCAACGGTGTCCTGTTACACCCAGGACTACCCAACGGTGTCCTGTTACACCCAGGACTACCCAACGTGTGTCCTGTTACACCCAGGACTACCCAACGTGTGTCCTGTTACACCCAGGACTACCCAACGTGTGTCCTGTTACTCCCAGGACTACCCAACGTGTGTCCTGTTACACCCAGGACTACCCAACGGTGTCCTGTTACACCCAGGACTACCCAACGGTGTCCTGTTACACCCAGGACTACCCCACGGTGTCCTGTTACACCCAGGACTACCCAACGTGTGTCCTGTTACACCCAGGACTACCCAACGTGTGTCCTGTTACACCCAGGACTACCCAACGTGTGTCCTGTTACACCCAGGACTACCCAACGTGTGTCCTGTTACACCCAGGACTACCCAACGTGTGTCCTGTTACTCCCAGGACTACCCAACGTGTGTCCTGTTACTCCCAGGACTACCCAACGTGTGTCCTGTTACACCCAGGACTACCCCACGGTGTCCTGTTACACCCAGGACTACCCAACGGTGTCCTGTTACACCCAGGACTACCCAACGGTGTCCTGTTACACCCAGGACTACCCAACGTGTGTCCTGTTACACCCAGGACTACCCAACGTGTGTCCTGTTACACCCAGGACTACCCAACGTGTGTCCTGTTACACCCAGGACTACCCAATGGTGTCCTGTTACACCCAGGACTACCCAATGGTGTCCTGTTACACCCAGGACTACCCAACGGTGTCCTGTTATTTTACACTCTGGACAACAAGACACAGACCCACCGTCTTATAGTGATTACATTCTACCTGACAATTGACCTGTCATGTCAGTACACCACAACCATAATATTACAATAATTGCTCACCAATAAACTAAAATTAAACACAAAAACTAATTATTTAAACCAAGTTATTAATGTTTTAAGTCAACTAGTGGAGAGTAAATATTTGTGAGGTAGTATTAGTGTTGAGAGGAACTAGGTGAGGCTTTCTCTCATGATATTCCTGCGTGCTGGGTGGACCTTCACTCCTGTTGTATCAGGCACCTGCACCTCTCTAATTACTTATCAACTCAATGTTCTTGAGGATATCCTCGTAATCCATCCACACACTTGCCAGTGCAGACTACCCATCGCATACCCATGTATGGGAGCTGGTCGGCCGAGCGGACAGCACGCTAGACGTGTGATCCTGTGGTCCCGGGTTCGATCCCGGGCGCCGGCGAGAAACAATGGGCAAAGTTTCTTTCACCCTATGCCCCCTGTTACCTAGTAGTAAAATAGGTACCTAGGTGTTAGTCAGCTGTCACGGGCTGCTTCCTGGGGGTGGAGGCCTGGCAGCGTGGCGGCTACGCTCAAATCTTAACAGTTCTAAAAGTTTACAACAATGCTGGAGAAAATAATGTTAAAAAACTAGCTATGTTCGTATGTTTATGTTTTCCCAAAGATTATACGTCAATCTAGCGTAATAAATGAAGTGTGATCAGAATTAACAGATGTTACGCCAGAACCTGTGTAACCTGCCTGTTAATTAACCTAAACTAACCAAACCTGAGTAAACTGTTCATGTACAGCATAACTAACTAGTTTATCACTGTTCAAACTTGTTTAAGTAAACTAACATTAGGGTACAGTTCCTGAGCCCATTATGTGCCTCTTATAACATTTTCCACTACGACTCACAGGATGGATATGGCGTCCACTACGACTCACAGGATGGGTAAAGGATCCACTAAGACTCTAGCCTGCCCTTATAAACAAAGGCCAAATCCTCGTTAAACAAGCCCCCCCCCCTGCTGTTTATGAATGAACACCGTTTTACAAACGACTGATGACGTTCGAACAGTGTTTCGTTGACGACCTCTGTTCGAACCAAAACGCTTTAAATGCTTCATCCACGCTCTTCAAATACAAATAATCTCCAACAGAACCTAACCTAACCTAGGTAGAAATGTAATATATAATATTATATTTCTATAACTATAAATAGAAATTTAATATATAATAATATTGACATATATAAGAAGAAATACATTTTTAATACACAATGTTAAAATTAATGAATGTGTCTTTGGTCGTTTCTGTAACGAACACAATCACGGGAGATTTGCCGTCGCTAATCTATTGCTATCAGTGGGTAGGGATACGGTATCTGTGCATGGGGGTTCAACCACTGCAAATTATCTCAAGCTCATCATCATCATCATCATCATCCAGTCAAATCTAGTATCAGAACCACTGTATAACGAACTCTGTCTTCAGACAGACACAGCCCATCTGTTAAACATACTAAACATTCTCTATCGACTTGATAATGGTCCAGGACGGACCGAAACGTCGTCGTCCCTTCACATTCTAGTGTGTGGTCTGGTCATCATACTAAACATACATTCACTTCACACATTCTCATGTGCTATTTGCATGTATAAAACCTTGTTCCTAAATACTAATCTTCATCTGAAACTTTTCTTGATAGGCGTAATAGAACCCATGAGCACCACACTAGAAATAAATCTCTTTGATATCCCCAGAGTCAAACTAACACTCCATGCAAATAAAGGGCCCAAGTCTATGAAACTTACTTCCTAATGAATAAAAAATTGTCCAACCTATGCCTTAGTCAAAGGTAAGATAAAAAAGTACCTAATTTCAACCGCACAGTTTCCTACCTTGTGCTTCAAACTCATACTGTATCTTGTGCCATCCACTTCCTCAATATTAATACTTAAGACATGCATCTTCATCATTGTAATCATCTCCGTCAATTTATATTGTAGTTATTATCTTGAACTAAAATTGTGCTACAATGTTCCTATTCATCTAACCTTATTTAAGTCTGTCAGCAGACTTTGCGTCACTATGTAATCCAATAGTTACTTATCCAATGCTTAGCTCCCTCCCTTGTGTCGGGGAATTATATCTGCTGATTTAAGCACTTCTGGTTTTCACCCGTGTCCAAGCTTTTCCTCCACACTACACTTGAGTGCGTGTGCTACTGGCACTTCGCATTTCTTTATAAATATTGAATTCCAAGAATCTGGACTTGGGTCTGAGTGCATGAGCAGGTTGTAAATTTATCTTTCAAAATATGAACTGTTTGTGTTGAGATCAGTTATATTGTTAGAGGTTTGAATATCGTTCATAAAGAAGCTCTTCCACTTTCATTGGGAGCTAAATTTAGCCTTATACTGGTCTTTGAGGATTCTACCTATTTCCTTGTGCTCTATGTACGAACCTTCACTTGTGAGTATAGGTTCAATGCTGGTGGAGGTTTAATATTTTGATTTCGCATATGTGAAGAAATATTTTGGATTGTTCTTCATCTCACGTGTGATTTTTTGTTCCAAATTTCCCTTCTTCAGTCTGGTATGATTGTTTCAGATTCTGCTGTGTTTCTTTAATCTCCCTGTTTAATTTTTGTCTGTTGGGATAGTCGTGTTTGCTAAAGCAGTTCCATTAATTTGTTCCGTCTTCTGTATTGTCGTCTGCGTTCTCTTCCTTAGCTGGTCCTCTTTATGACCTTATGTGAAGGGAAACATTTCAAGTAGACTTTGTATGCTTCAGCAGTCAGTTGTTCTATTTCTTGCATAGGAGATTTGTTACTTAAGACAGTTTCCTCAATGAATGCATGCAGGTTCCACGTTTATTTTTTCCAAGTCAATCCACTTAGTATTAAAATTTAATTTATTGAATAACACCTCTTACCTGATAATTTTTTGGACATAATACGAAAATATATGCTGAAATATTTATACATATGATTTACCCTTACAATTTTGTTCAAACATATTGAAAATGTATTGCCTAAAGTGACCAACCACCAAAAAGCAATGTAAAATGGAAATACATAACTACATGTAATGCATAAAAGAGGCAACGAAAAGTGATAAGGTAGCATGCAGGACCCACCGATAACCAGTGTAGGCGGAGTTATAGCTGTGATAAGGGTTGTAGTAGCCAATAGGCGTAGTGCCCCTGGCCCCTGTGGCCTGGGATTGCCTGGCCCTACTGTCCATACTGGAGGGAGGTGGAGGGCCACTCAGCCTGGGCCTACTGTCCATACTGGAGGGAGGTGGAGGGCCACTCATGCTGGTGGTAGTGGAAGAGCCACTAGAACTTAGGTGAGGCTGAGCCATGACCAGCTGCGAGGGGGCCGAGCTGCAGTGAAAGGTGCACTCAGCAAACTCTTCTACATGGAAACAATAGCAAGAGAGCTTTAATGCAAAATAGGTTTCTTGTTTCCAGTTCGAGGGCAGACAGAAGAGAAACTAGTAAAAATAGGGTTACTACAAAGATGCAAACAATGGTTTCTAATTTAGATAAGCAGTTGCTAATCAAGAGAAGTGGTTTGTAATAAGACAAGTAGTCTATAATTAAAGTGACATTTAATTAAGCAAAGTGGCTTCTATATAAGATTGATCGTTTCTAATGAAATCTAACAGTTTTAAACTCAAAAAATCACTTTCTTATTAAGAAAAGTGGTTTCTAATTCAAGTAAATGATTAATAATTAGAAGGCGTTTGTAATAAAAATAGGTGGTACAAAATAAACTGGTTTCAAGCTAAGATAAGTAGTTTTTTTTTTAATTAAGATAATGGTTTCTAAACAAGCAATGGTTTACAATTAACAGAAGTTGTTTCTAATTAACAGAAGTTGTTTTTAACTAAGAGAAGTCGTTTCTAACTGAGTTGCTTCTAATTAAGAACTGTGGCTTCTAGCCAACAAAAGATGCTTATTGTTAGGAATAATTTATAATCAACAAAAATAGTTTCTTATTATAAGAATATTTTCACTGAGTGTAAGTGGTAGGTAATATAGCAATATCTTCTCCTGAAATGACAGTACTGTTATTAACTATTTGGTGTAAGTACCAATATGGAGTGATTGACCACCCAAAAGTTGACGTTTTGTAATTTAAATTTTATAGAATCTATAAAAAATGCAGCTAAACACCAAACTTAAACATTCCTAGACCTAGTATAGCACATATATTATTATATTAGGCCTAGGACTGCTAGGAGAGGTTAGGTAGGGTTCTATATTTATGTTACAGTTAAACAAGTTTCCCATTTGACCAATTTCATTACTACAAAACTTAAATTTTTTGTTGGTTCATCACTACATATTGGTACTATCAACCAAATACTGTAGTTATTATAAGGACTATCATTTCAGGAGGATATCCTCTAATAGATATTAGTTCCTAATATATGGATTACTATATAAGCAGGTGGTTCCTACTTAAGTAAATGCTTTCTAATAAGGAGAATGGTTTTTAATTAACAGTAGTTTCTAATTAGATGTAATTTCTAATTATAGAGTTGATTTAGAATTAATATGCTTTCTGATATGTGGTTTGTAATCAACAGGAGTGGTTTCTAATTAGGAGATGACATAATTATATGTGGTTTCTAATTAAAAGAATAGGTTTCTAATCAAGATAAGTGGTTTATGTTTAAAAAAAATAACTTATAATTAAGAGAAGTGTTCTCTAATTAACATATGTGGTTTCTAATTAAGAGAAGTGGTTTCTTATTAACATAAGGGGGGTTCTAATGAAGATTAATGGTTTCTGATAAGGAAATTTGGTTTAAGGCAAAAATATGCTTGCTATATAAATTTTAGAAGAAGTAGAGAAGGTTCCCGTGCTGGAGAAGACTACGTGGTAAACATCTGACCGGTGAACACAGTAGTGAAGCTTCAATACAAAAACCATACATTAAACACATTTAGGAAAGCATTACGAAGAATTCTAGTGTTAGCTATTATGAAAACTTAAATGTAAAAAGTTCTTATAAATACGTCAGCAGCAAGAAGCTAATAACTATATAGATGCAAGAAATTTTGGTACAATATATTCTTTGCAATGCATAGTGCATCATGCAGCAACGTGAGCTTAACTACTAGAGCTTGTAGTGATAGGAGGAGTGTAGGAGGTACTAGGAGGGCTTGTAGTGATAGGAGGGGTGTAGGAGGTACTAGGAGGGGTGTAGGAGGTACTAGGAGGGCTTGTAGTGATAGGAGGGGTGTAGGAGGTACTAGGAGGGCTTGTAGTGATAGGAGGAGTGTAGGAGGTACTAGGAGGGCTTGTAGTGATAGGAGGGGTGTACCTGCATGAGCTTTAGGGAGTTCGTTTACTCTCTCAGCCCGGCCCGGCGCCACGCTTGATTTCTGAGAGCTTGGTCCAACAGGCTGTTGCTTGGAGCGGCCCACAGGCCCACATATCCTTTACAGCCCAGTTTGTCCGGCACTTCTTGAAGAAAACTATTCATTTTTTTCTAGAAAATGTCCACTTTTGTACCGGCAATATTTCTTATTCATGCTGGGATGGTATTGAACAATTGTGGACCTCTGATGTTCAGTGTTCTCTGATTGTGTCTATGGCACCTCTACCCTTCACTGGCTCTATTCTGCATGACACTTAATTCCTTCTGACACACATACTCCATCTGAATCATGTCTTAAACTCCTGAGTCGTTAGTACGAGACTCCTATCATATAGTCGTAGCCTTATTCTGTCATATAGTCTTAGCCTCATTCTGTCATATAGTCTTAGCCTCATTCTGTCATATAGTCTTAGCCTCATTCTATCATGTATTCTTAGACTCATTCTAAGTAGGTACAAGGGGGAGCAGTAGAGGAGGTACAGAATGTATTAGGAGTGGTACAGTAGGTACAAGGAGAGGTACAAGTGATACTAGGATAAGTACAGGAGTTACAAGGATGGGTACAGGCGGTACTAGGAGGAGTACATGAGGAACAGCGAGAGATACAGAAAGTACAACGAGTGGTACTGGAGGTACGACGAGGGGTACAGGAGGTACAAAGACGGGGTACAGGAGGTACAAAGACGGGGTACAGGAGGTACAAAGACGGGGTACAAGGCTGCAGGTGTTGGGACTGGTGAGAGTGGGAAGGTGTACCAAGGAGGAAGGACCCGTTAATACACGTGTCATAGGTACGAGTCCGCTCTCTCCCTCAGCTGCTCTTGTGTCACCGCTCGATAACAACCATCTTATGTCATTACTGTATAATGTTTACGCTTTAAATAAGGGGAGTGCATTAGTAGGGATCATCAGAGTGTAGTATATACAGGTGAGAGGTGGAGGGGGAGGGGGAGGCAAGGGGGAGGGGGAGGCAAGGTGCAGGGAGCGCGGCGCCCGCCGTGTCCCAGCACCGGGGCAGGCCACACCAGCTCCAACTGGTCCGTAGCACCTCTCAACAACCAGTCTTACCAACACTCATCAACAATTACACACAACTAAAATAGTAAACATTAGAAATGCTATTTAGAGATTCGTAGTCCCATACTCCCTCTGTGTCGTGTAGTGAAAGTCTTCTTCTTTCAGTAATGATAGGCTCCCTCTATCATGTGGTCTTTGACGCCTTCTGTCACATAGTCTTAAGACTTCTTCTGTGTCATGTAGTCTTTCACTGGGGAAGGGTGTCATATAGTCTCAGACATGAAGGGTGTCATATAGTGTCACACAGGGGCGACATGTAGAGCTGGAACACAGTATCTTGGCAGGTGTGGTGACCTAAAAGTACTTACCTATCAGTACCTGATAGGTAAGGAGGTACACCTAGGAGGGAGAGAGGTCTAGCTCTTCATACCTCACCTGCTGGCCTTGTTGTACCTGTTGTGTACAACTTAACTGTTGTGACGCTCAAACTCTTTGTCGAGTCTGGCCTTAAAGTTGTGGATGGAGGTGGCTTTGGCAGCGTGTGCATGATACATGTAAGTAATAACTGAAGCTAGGGTGAAAGGGAATTTCCATAATGGAGAATGATGATAAAGGTGGTAGAAGTAGAGGGTAGACGAAGAGTTGAGGAACATTATAGTGTGTATTAACTCACTGGTGCTGGAGGTTGGCGTGGTGGTGATGGTGGTGGTGGTGATGGTGCAGGAAACGTGAAGGAGAGTCCCTTGGTGTGCCACTCCCAAGACCCTTCATGTCGGCCAGGCCGCCCTGTAGGTCACCGAAGTACCTGTGTGTGCAGAGGTCCACTCATTATAACCTCTCCTCTTACTTCATATACTCACATGTGTACGCTGTAGACCCCCAAACTCTCAATATCTGGGGTTTAGTATAATGAACACACTCGGATAATGACGCTTCATAAGACACAACCAACGGCCTCGACAGTTGGTTCTCCTGCTTCTGGGAAGGCTAAACCATGCACACACACACACACACACACATACGCACACACGCGCGCGCGCGCACACACACACACACACACACACACACACACACACACACACACACACACACACACACACACACACACACACACACACACACCGTAACATGGGCAGCTATGGCGTACTGCCAAATATAAGAACATCGTTTAGAAACCTAAATTTACACCACATTTGTTAGACCAATACTGGAATGCAACACCAGTATGGAACCTGCACTTGTGGAGCAAAAAGCCAAAATTACAAAAGTACACACGTTTGCAACAATATTAGTGCAAGAGTTGAAAGGGTTAATCTATGAACATAGGCTAAGGGAACTAAATTTCACAACCCTAGAGGGCAGAAGGAATATGATCACAGCCTATTAGATATTAAGGGGATTAGATAAGACGGACAAGGATAGCTTCTTCAAATTGAGAGAAAGCAGGATAAAAAAAAGGAGATAGGGAGAAGCTGGAAGCACAAGTGAGCGGAAGGAACGTAAGGAAATACTCGTTCGCTGATATGGACCTGGGGCCAGATTCACGAAGCGGTTACGCAAGTACTTACGAACGTGTACATCTTTTCTCAATCTTTGACGGCTTTGGTTACATTTATTAAGCAGATTACTAGCATGAAAACGTCCCAGTCAATTGTTGTCACTGTTATAAACAGCCTCCTGGTACTTCGGAGCTCATTAACTGGTTAAGAATTGTAAACAAAGCCGCCAAAGATTGAGAAAAGATGTACAGGTTTGTAAGTGCTTGCGTAACTGCTTCGTGAATCTGGCCCCAGATCAATCAGGCTGCGAGCAGCCGTATCCAATAACCCGGTTGACCAGTCCAGTAACCAGGAGGGCTGGTCCAGGACCGGGCCACGGGGGACGTTGAGACCCGAAATCATCGCAAGGGAACCGCAAGGTAAGTAAGGTATATATATAGGGAGAAGCTGGTATATATATAGGGAGAAGCTATATACCTTAATTATATATATTCCTGTATAAAATCCTGTATGGAAACAGTTGACTAAATTGAAATTGAAATAAGTTTATTGAGGTACAATACACACAAAGGGATGAGGTAGCTCAAGTTATTCTCACCCCGTTCAGTACAACGTGTTCATACATATATAGACACACATCACAAACAATAAACATATTACCGAACATTCTGATATGCGTTGACTAAACTGCTCTTTTACCAATAAATTATGACACACTTAGGTTTTGAGACCAACCACAGGATGTTTGAATCTTACTAGAACAGGTTAGGCTCGGTAGAGTTTCTTAACGTATGTGAAATAACGGCATTTCCTTATAGTTTAACACTATACCTTGTCACGGCTGATGCGGACAGTTTGATTGACTGGCAAAACCAATCAAGCTACAAGAACCAGATGTTGGAAACTGATCCTTTGATAACGTGTCCTAGTATTGAAATAACAGCATCCTCCAAGAATGAGGAAAATACAGGTAAAACCTACAAGATCTTAGATCGAAATGGACTCTTTTGTTATGACCAAGTATTGGAAATTTTAAGACCTAGGCGAGATGAAAGTTTGTATGGACAATATGAAGAATATAATAAATATGTTTAGAAATATGTGGGCGTGTGCTGAGAAAGAGAGAAGTTTAAAATCAGTTGTTTTAACTCTATAGTAACTGTGTTAAAAGTAACATAGTTGCTCCAAAGTTCTCACAAGTTAATTGCAGGTAAAATCGCTTTGCGTAATAGTGGCTTTAGGCATTGTATGTATTAGCTCTATCTATAAATTCAACAATATTTGTATCACCCCGTGTATGTATGTATATACTTTACCTGAATAAACATTTGAATTTTGAATTTTCCACATACAATAGGGCAGCAGCACATTGATATGTATACCGAAGCTTAAAAAAAAATGTTGTTCAAAGATATGACCTTAAAGATTTCTCTCACAAAGTGAAGAAAAGTTTTTGAAAGATTCTTACAAAAAAGTATGATATGGAAAAAAGTTAAGTTTTTTTTTCTCGCGATCTTCTACATCACTTTACATGGTATATAAGTTAAGTACACCGGCCTGTAGTTTAGGGCCGCCTGCCTATCCCCATTTTTGTATATTGGGACTACGTCAGCTCTCTGGTATGTTATAGATTCAGCTACTCGGAACAAGTTCCAAGTAGCACGGGCTATGGTGAGCCCGTAGATTACCTGGCACAGGAGCGGGGCAAGTAGCACGGGCTATGGTGAGCCTGTTGTGGACTTACCTGGCACAGGAAAGGTGCTGCTCTCTGGTAGGAATAATTCTGTATTCTTTCTTGTAGGTCGTTTATGTAGACAATGAACATTACTGGTGCAAGAACTGAACCCTGTGGTACTCCACTCGTGACGTTTCTCCAGTCCGATACATTGCCTCTGATTACTGCTCTCATTTTTCTGTCAGAAAATTTTTCACCCATGTTAGAAGCCTACCTGTCGCTCCTCCAGTTTGTTCCAGTTTCCAGAACAACCTTTTATGTGGGACTCTGTAAAAACATTTTTTCTTTTTAGGTCCAGATAAATGCAGTCAACCCAAGTATCTCTTTCCTGTAGAATCTCTGTAGCTTTATCACACAAAATTAAGTAGATTTGTTACACAGGATTTTCCTGACCAAAAACCATACTGTCTGTTATTATATAATTTCTTTCCAGATCTACCAATTTGGTGTCATTTGTTTCCAACATTTTGACTGCTACACTTGTCAACAATACAGGTCTATAATTAAGAGGGTGTGCTTTGCTGTCACTATTGTAGACTGGAACCATCTTAACCTTTTCCCATATATCTGCCAAGGTTCCTGTACACAGAAATGACTGAAAAATTTCAAAGGAAAAAAGTTCCTTGAAAATTTTCCCCTTCGTCTCTAGACACCTCTATGTGCTCTGGGATTCATATTGTCTGTAGGACTGAAAACCGGAGATGCTTTTTCACCCACAGGGTTATAAGCCCTTGGAACCGCCTACCCGCCAAAGCTGTACATGCCCAAACACTGATGAATTCTAAGATCCAGTTTGAAAAAATTATCAAGACAAATGGGGACCTTTGACAAGCCGCCAGCTTCCTATCTTCGTCGAGGCCGCTAGTGTTAATGACCCTCAGATAAATTCGAGAATAACAAGTCTTTCAACAAGGCGGTGACGGACTTGGTCTCCTGGGACCCACCGACAGGCACTGATGTGGGATTATGATGACGATGCATCTTTGTCCTTCCCTCTGTTATACTCTAGTTCCAGGCCTCGAGGGAAGGCTGGACGTAGTTCCAGGCCTCGAGGGAAGGCTGGACGTAGGTCGAGGCCTCGAGGGAAGGCTGGACCCAGGCTGCCCTATTATACTGGACGTACCAATGACACGTGTGTCCCACGGGCACCCTCACACTCTACCAACTTGTGTTCTTGTCTTCGCTCCATAAAAAGTTAAGATGCTATGTGGAATATGGATCTATACACTAGCTAGAGGAGGGTATTTATAGTGACGTAGGAAGAAGACTTAATTACTCACACACACACAGCCTCACTTGCTCACACTAGGGGCCGGTGGCTGTATGGACAACACGCTGGACATGTAATCCTATGGCCCGGATTCGATTCCCAGCGCCGGTGAGAAAACAAAATGGACAGAGTTTCTTTCACCCTGATGCCCCTGTTACCTAGCAGTAAATAGGTACCTGGGAGCTAGACAGCTGTTACGGGTTGCTTCCTGGGGATGTGTGTATGTGAAAAAAAAATTAGTTAGTAGTTAGTAACAGTTGATTGATTGACAGTTAAGAGGCGGGCCGAAAGAGCAGAGCTCAATCCCCGCAAGCACAACTAGGTGAATATACACAGTCTCACTCACTGCTTCTCCCCACAACTCCTGTAAGCTGCCCAATATTATCCACACACTGCTCAGTTACAAGGCACTACGGGCTCACCATAGCCTGTGCTACTTGGAACTTTGTTCCAGGTAGCGAATCTTTAACAACAATGCTCAGTTAGGTTGTTATGTTGTCATGTTATGTTGGGTTATAATGACAAAGACACAAGATAACAATGACACTAGCAGTTAGTGGTGAAGGCAGTATATGAGGATATGTTTTTTTAAAACTGAGTCAGTAATATGCGAAGTCTTACAGATGTAACGCCCATAGAAGACTGTATATTGAATACAAATGGCGGGAGATATGAGCCAGAGTAGAGGTAGATGATGGCGGGGAATATGAGCTAGAGTAGAGGTAGATGACGGCGGGTAATATGAGCCAGAGTAGAGGTAGATGACGGCGGGTAATATGAGCCAGAGTAGAGGTAGATGATGGCGGGTAATATGAACCAGAGTAGAGGTAGATGACGGCGGGTAATATGAACCAGAGTAGAGGTAGATGATGGCGGGTAATATGAGCCAGAGTAGAGGTAGATGATGGCGGGTAATATGAGCCAAAGCAGAGGTAGATGACGGCGGGTAATATGAGCCAGAGTAGAGGTAGATGACGGCGGGTAATATGAGCCAGAGTAGAGGTAGATGACGGCGGGTAATATGAGCCAGAGTAGAGGTAGATGACGGCGGTACTCACATAGTGTCAGTGTTGTCATCGTTGATGTAACTCTCCAGCTGACTAATGTCCAGGCCATCGTTGTCAACGCCACCCTCCCAGTCGCGCTCTGCCAACACAACAACACTACATTAGTTAAACAATATACATCTCGTTGTCAAGAAATACAAACAAAATCATATGTTCCCCAAAATACTTTCCAGCGGTACAGTTTATTTTATTTTTTTTAGCAAAATTAGGTATACACAGGGGGCTGGCTGGCTGAGTGGACAGCGCTCTAGACTCGTGGACCTAGGGATCAGGGTTTGATCCCGGCAGAAAAACAAATGGGCAGAGTTTCCGTCATCCTGATGCCCCTGTTAGTTAGCGGTAAATAGGTACCTGGGAGTTAGACAGTTGGTACGGGTTGCTTCCTCTGTGTGTGTGTGTGTGTGTGTGTGTGTGTGTGTGTGTGTGTGTGTGTGTGTGTGTGTGTGTGTGTGTGTGTGTGTGTGTGTGTGTGTACTCACCTAATTGTACTCACCTAATTGTGCTTGCGGGGGTTGAGCTCTGGCTCTTTGGTCCCGCCTCTCAACCGTCAATCAACAGGTGTACAGATTCCTGAGCCTATTGGGCTCTATCATATCTACATTTGAAACTGTGTATGGAGTCAGCCTCCACCACATCACTGCCTAATGCATTCCATTTACTAACTACCCTGACACTAAAAAAGTTCTTTCTAATGTCTCTGTGGCTCATTTGGGTACTCAGCTTCCACCTGTGTCCCCTTGTTCGCGTCCCACCAGTGTTGAATAGTTCATCCTTGTTTACCCGGTCGATTCCCCTGAGGATTTTGTAGGTTGTGATCATGTCCCCCCTTACTCTTCTGTCTTCCAGTGTCGTAAGGTGCATTTCCCGCAACCTTTCCTCATAACTCATGCCTCTTAGTTCTGGGACTAGTCTAGTAGCATACCTTTGGACTTTTTCCAGCTTCGTCTTGTGCTTGACAAGGTACGGGCTCCATGCTGGGGCCGCATACTCCAGGATTGGTCTTACATATGTGGTGTACAAGATTCTGAATGATTCCTTACACAGGTTCCTGAACGCCGTTCTGATGTTAGCCAGCCTCGCATATGCCGCAGACGTTATTCTCTTTATGTGGGCTTCAGGAAACAGGTTTGGTGTGATATCAACTCCTAGATCTTTCTCTCTGTCTGTTTCATTAAGTACTTCATCTCCTATTCTGTATCCTGTGCCTGGCCTCCTGTTTCCACTGCCTAGTTTCATTACTTTGCATTTACTCGGGTTGAACTTCAACAGCCATTTGTTGGACCATTCACTCAGTCTATCCAGGTCATCTTGTAGCCTCCTACTATCATCCTCTGTTTCAAGCCTCCTCATAATTTTTGCATCGTCGGCAAACATTGAGAGGAACGAATCTATACCCTCTGGGAGATCATTTACATATACCAGAAACAGTATAGGTCCAAGGACTGACCCCTGCGGGACTCCACTTGTGACGTCTCGCCAATCTGAGACCTCACCCCTCACACAGACTCGTTGTCTCATGTTGCTTAGGTACTCCTCTATCCACCGGAGTACCTTCCCTCTCACTCCAGCCTGCATCTCCAACTTTCGCACTAGCCTCTTGTGTGGCACTGTATCAAAGGCTTTCTGACAATCCAAAAATATGCAGTCTGCCCACCCTTCTCTTTCTTGCCTTATTTTTGTTGCCTGGTCGTAGAATTCAAGTAACCCCTGTGAGGCAGGACCTGCCATCCCTGAACCCATGTTGATGCTGTGTTACAAAGTTCCTTCGCTCCAGATGCTCCACTAGTTTTTTTCGCACAATCTTCTCCATCAGCTTGCATGGTATGCAGGTTAGGGACACTGGCCTGTAGTTCAGTGCCTCCTGTCTATCCCCTTTCTTGTATATCGGGACTACGTTAGCTGCTTTCCAAATATCTGGCAGTTCCCCTGTTGCCAGTGATTTGTTATACACTATGGAGAGTGGTAGGCACAGTTCTCTTGCTCCTTCCTTTAGAACCCAAGGGGAGATTCCATCTGGGCCTATAGCCTTCGTCACGTCCAACTCTAGTAAACACTTCCTTACTTCCCCACTGGTAATCTCAAACTCTTCCAGTGGTTCCTGGTTAGCTATTCCCTCACTTACCTCTGGAATTTCTCCTTGCTCTAAGGTGAAGACCTCCTGGAATTTCTTATTCAATTCCTCACACACTTCCTTGTCATTTGTAGTGAATCCTTCCGCCCCTATCCTTAATCTCATAACCTGTTCCTTTACTGTTGTTTTTCTCCTAATGTGGCTATGCAACAATTTAGGCCGAGTCTTTGCCTTGCTTGCGATGTCATTTTCGTATTGTCTTTCTGCCTCTCTTCTCATCCTGACATATTCATTCCTGGCATTCTGGTATCTTTCTCTGCTCTCCAGTGTCCTGTTATTCCTATAGTTTCTCCATGCCCTTTTACTTTGCTGCTTAGCTAGCCTACATCTCTGATTAAACCATGGGTTTCTCATCTTCATTTCTCTGTTTTCCTTTTGGACTGGGACAAACTTGTTTGCTGCGTCCTTGCACTTCTGCGTGATGTAATCCATCATATCTTGGGCCGTCTTTCCCCTGAGCTCTGTTTCCCATGCTATATCTGTTAGGAATTTTCTTATCCCCTCATAGTTTCCCTATGAGGGAAACTGTGTGTGTGTGTGTGTGTGTGTGTGTGTGTGTGTGTGTGTGTGTGTGTGTGTGTGTGTGTGTGTGTGTGTGTGTGTGTGATGGAGAAAGAAACATTAGTAGTTAGTAACAGTTGAGAGGCGGGCCGAGAGAGGTTGCTCAACCCCCGCAAGCACAACTAGGTGAATACAACTATAGGCTGGTGCCCTATTATATAGGAGCCATTACAGTGTAGATCAAGAACTAGCTATAGGTTCAAGTATTACTCCTATCTCTCAGGATGGTGAGTCATACAAGCTGTGGGAAGTTCAGCACCTGGAGAGTGGTCACCCCCGGGGAGGGGGGGGAGGCACCTTCTTAGGCTTATCAAGAACTCCTTTAGGCCAACGACCGATGAGACATCATGAAGCAATAATTTGATGAACTTATTATTAAGAGCGTATAATTTATCTGGCGGTCCGGAGTGAACAGATTATTCTTGTGTGAGATAATGACCACAAGGTCACTAATATCTCCCGCCTAAAGTGCCCCTTATGCCCAACCATTTCTGAATGTTGTCCCAGGGTACTAAATCATGGCGTCTGATCGTTATATGAAACTTGCCGAGGTATAACAGCTTGTCCTATCACATAATACATCGCATTTCATAATAATAAAAAATTCTAAACGGGCAAAATATGGCAAAGAATAGCGGCACAAAAATATTCTCGTTTTCTATGCGTGGAGGCGCGGTTAGGTTCAGGTGTTTCAATGCACTATTTTCTGGCCGATGTGGCAAGCGGTGAGGACGGGCGGTATAATCAACACACTCACCACCTCAAATACGTCACCATTAAATACAAATCAACCATCGAAACACAGGCTAATGCAAATTACGCTTTCAGACAACATACAGGAAATTGTTCAAACCCCAGAAACAATACACACGCATTAGTTTATCGGAAACATTTAATGGTAGGGCCCACTACCACTCACAGGATGGGTATGGGGTCCACTACCACTCACAGGATGGGTATGGGGCCCACTACCACTCACAGGATGGGTATAGGGTCCACTACCACTCACAGGATGGGTATGGGGTCCACTACCACTCACAGGATGGGTATGGGGTCCACTACCACTCACAGGATGGGTATGGGGCCCACTACCACTCACAGGATGGGTATGGGGTCCACTACCACTCACAGGATGGGTATGGGGTCCACTACCACTCACAGGATGGGTATGGGGTCCACTACCACTCACAGGATGGGTATGGGGTCCACTACCACTCACAGGATGGGTATGGGGCCCACCACCACTCACAGGATGGATATGGGGTCCACCACCACTCACAGGATGGGTATGGGGTCCACTACCACTCACAGGATGGGCATGGGGTCCACTACCACTCACAGGATGGGTATGGGGTCCACTACCACTCACAGGATGGGTATGGGGTCCACTACCACTCACAGGATGGATATGGGGTCCACTACCACTCACAGGATGGATATGGGGTCCACTACCACTCACAGGATGGGTATGGGGTCCACTACCACTCACAGGATGGGTATGGGGCCCACTACCACTCACAGGATGGGTATGGGGCCCACTACCACTCACAGGATGGGTATGGGGCCCACTACCACTCACAGGATGGGTATGGGGTCCACTACCACTCACAGGATGGGGATGGGGTCCACTACCACTCACAGGATGGGTATGGGGCCCACTACCACTCACAGGATGGGTATGGGGTCCACTACCACTGACAGGATGAGTATGGGTTCCACTACCACTCACGGGAAGGGTATGGGGTATACTAACACCCTTGCTAGTACGCCCCAATGGTAAAGTTTTCCAGCGCGCCACTAGCACCATCACTAGCACGCTCTAACAGACGTCAATGGTCGACCTTGTCGCCGGATCTCTGGCTCTGAGTCCGTTCACCGGTACCTCATCACCTCTGGTCCTCCCAGAACACAGGACTAAAATGATCGAAAACATTATTAATGGGAGGGGAAACCTTACTCAACTCTGTACACGAAACATAGATGGCGCTGTGGTTCGTCTCACTTTGCAATGAGGTTAACATTTTGGGGTTGAAGTTTGATTGCTAAATGACAACAAGGAGGCCTATACCGAAGCTAACAAGGAACGCAGCCAAGAAACTTATCACACACCTTCACGACAGTATTGATACAAAACCCCAAGTGAGGCACAAGTACATCCCATCTTGAGATGTGCTTGCCATATCTCCCTCCTTAAACGAATCGATGAATCTCATCGCTCGTCATATATCTTTCTGCTCTCGTATTGGCATTCTCAATGGTATCTTGGAGTTCTTGAATATTCTGTGACACAGACCAGACTAGTTGGCCCCACCAGACCAGACCAGACTAGACTAGACCGGACCAGACTAGATCTGGTTGACCAGGCTAGATCCTGGTTGACCAGACGA